CTTCCTTGTTGCGAATTCCCAAGAGATAATGCTGGCGCAACTCTCAACGATGATTTGCAACAAACGAGAAGCCCCTGGCTCCATCATTTGTCGCCTGTGCTGCCCAACAACGGCAATTACGCTGCGTACGGGTCAACCTAGAACAACGCGATCTACATCGTCCATAATGGGATTTTCCAATTAGGAAAGCCAGTAACACGAGTGTTTCCCCTAAATGAAAGAAGTTGCTGTACTGAAACGTTATAAATTTATAATTGAACAAGATCAAAGTCAAACACTTCAACGAATTACTTTACAATCTGGTTCTCAATCTCTTACAAGCCATGACCTTGAGTCTTCACTCTCGCACGAGATGTAATACGCCGTTGCCGCCAGGTTGGAGCCTTACCTGTAATTGTTTTGCCAGCTCTTGATACGCCCATACCGCATCATCATGAACCCTCTCCGCCTCGCCGAATTCTCCCTCACGATATAAAAACACCAATGGCAGTGGATTATCCCGCCACTTCGGAAGACGGTTTCGCGAAGTTTGGAAAGCTGTCCTGATCCACGTAATCAAACCTAGCAGCCAGACGCCTAATGGTAAGGCTAGCCAGGCCACATTCAATACGTATAACGGTAGTTGAACTAAATGTGTGGCCTGCCACTAAATCAGATGAGCTAGCACCTTGCGCAATGACACCAGAATTGCGAAGCGTTTTAGTCAGAGCGGCCGCTATACTGTTCATGGCGCAAGCAAAGGTGTCATTGTTGGGACTACCACAGGTAGCAGTCGAATAGTTTGCGTAGTAAATGAGTGGCGCTAGCTCACGGCCATCGGGTTCACTTCTCTTATAAATTTCGCTGTTGTAGACATACCCTACAATATTCTTTTGTGGGAATGAATGGACAATACTCCACGCAACGTTAGTATCGAGATCCCAGCCAAAGGATTGGTCCGCGCCAGCACACATCTCGTGATCCCATGGTGGCTGCAACGGACCAAAGTGAAGGAGTTCACTTGTATTCTCTTCCATCCAAGTCTTCAAGACAGCTTCGCTGTACACTCCATTATTAACGGAGGCTCGGATACACTTGACGCAAGGACTGAGAAAGCATTCGGTTGCTGTGTAATTGACCGCCGAAATTGGCGGTTTCGTGCGATCCAGTGGTACTTGGTGGTCAATATCCTGCACTCGAAGAGACTGGAACACAAGCCCTGTTGCGTTTTTATAGACGATTGCTGTGGGTTTTGTGATGTTGTAAATTTTCATCAAATCGCCATGAAGCCTCGCCTCTTCTCCAATCATCCACATCACCGATGTCTGGTTGGGCAAACTCGACGAACAAGTCCACGAATATCCAGTACCATCTTTTTGAAGTTGACAATCGACATTGATCTGGGAACTTATATCGGTACATGCCGAGCAGAATGCCAAGGTTGCCAAAGGATCCCAGGTACAATTGCTGGTGCTACAAAAAAATGAAGGGTCGTTGTGTTTCTTGTTTGAGGCGTCAAGCAGGGTGGATTGTAAATCAAGCAGAAGATGAGGGTCAAGTGAGTAAACTAATCTTCTGGTTAGCTTAACTTATCAAGTCCTGATAGACTTGGTAAACCCTGTCTTACTATCGTTATTACCGGAATGACCATGGGCGGTATATCGTATGCTTCTAGCAAGAAGGGCCACATCTGTTGGCATTAGGATACTCTTATTAGAGAATTGTACGACATTTTGCACGAAAGGGTCCCAAAGAGCAGCCAGAAGAATTGCTATACACCCAAAGATAACAGACTGCCTGTCAGATGTCTCAACTATCAGCATCACAATTGAGTTGGGAAGACTGTAAGGGTGAGCTTCGACGTACCATACTGCACGCGTAAATAGCAGTTGCAATGCTCCTACGGGGCCATTTCTCAAACTCTGAAAAGTCTCAATATTTACAAGACTTGAAGATTGTTTGCTGAATAGCACCCACTTCAGCTGCGAAACACTATTATGCACCCCGAAAAGAATGCAGGCGCTGGCGATGTTGCCTAGCATAGATATTATAAAATTGATGGTAACGGGCCATTTTGGCACAGGCCGACCCTGAAAATGTTGAAGTAAAACTATTATGATGACGAGAGATGCGTAAGCAACAGTGAATCCCATTATCTCTAGTATCCACGTGTTATCGAGTTTTTCTAAAGCGGTCAGCTTTCTCGCCATGATGTTTTGCTCAGAGGGTTCTCGGAGCCCGCCGCCATGAGCCTCAAGCGCAGCAGATCGTCTTATTTTCGGTTCCATCAATGTAGTTACTCAATGCTTGCTAGTTTAAACTATTCATCAAAACTAATTAAAATCGGAAAAAGATTAAATGTGGTCAAGAAATATTCTAAGAAGACGTGAGAGATGTATTCAGTAACGCGCAATGGACATGTGCCAAGCCAAGAAATAATTTTGAGGAGTGTAAACCTTTACCACACATCTCACCTCCTGACAATCTCTGAAAGGTTTTACGATCACATAAAGGATCGAATAGTCACGCAGGCGAAGTAAAGCCACATTGGCAGCACTACCCAATGGAAAGCCTTATAAGTGGGATAAATCTGCCACAAAGAGTCAATCAGCCGCCAATCACAGACCATGAATGCCGAAAACAAACTCAATTGGTCATCAGCCCTATAACAAATAGGAGGATAATTCCCAACCCGCCTATGACTACTTCGCTCGATGCTGATTACACTCACTGCTCACCGATAATTGAACGATACGCATCATGCACACCCAGACCGAGACTAGATGTGTTCTCGAGGAGAATCATTTTAACCAGCAAGCTAAAATCGATAGCATAGCATGCTTGTGTCTGAAGGTAGCAAAAACTAGCCTACGAAACAACGTCGGGTTACGTTTTACTCCGCACACAGAATCAGCCGTACTCCATTTTATCCTGTCGGTATTCATGTTATTCTCCAGCCAGCTATTCATGGACCTGATAATGATCTTGTCTTTGAACTTGTTCTCAGACAGTCAGTCTGGATCTGTCATATCGCAGCCTACAAGTCAACAACAGTCTTCACCACCAATCTCCCATCGGCGTCTCTCGTTTTCCTAGCCATCTCAAGTGCCTCCTGAACGACATCAAGGCCATTAAATCTATGTGTTATCATCTGAGAAATATCGGGCAATGCATTGCCGTCTAGATGTGACCCGGTCACGGATGCTTTAGCGATCTCAATCGCCCTTTGGTAGGCGCCGGCGTACCGCCAGGTAGCCACAAGATTGATCTCTCGGGTCGTCAGCTCTGACACTGGGAGAACGTGGTTGGGAATTCCCATGCCGACGAGAATGACACTGCCGCCCGATGCAGTCGCCTGTGCAAAAGTGATCGTCAACATTTAGACCAAGGACGGCCAAAGCGAGCTAGCCGTAACCAGCGTATACAAGGGCGGGGTGAAGTTAACTCACGTAGATGCTGGACTGTAGACATGATTCCGCTCCCGTGCACTCAAATGTTCTTTGTACTCTGCCTACAGGCTCGCCATCAGGCCACTTGAACTCTCCAATCTCTGTTGCAGTCTCCTTGGCAATATCCAGCTTCTCCTGCAATGTTTCTCCCCTCCTAGGTTTGACTGCGTGCACCACAGAAGCGAACCCACGGTCGAGCGCAAATGCAAGGCGTCCTTCATCAATGTCGATCATGACAACGTCTCGGCAGCCTTCCGCACGCGCCGCCACAGCACACAGTAGCCCCACGGCCCCGGCTCCAAAGATCAAACACGCCTTTCTTGAAGAGATGGTGTCAGGTCCTGCCCGGCGGACCGCATGGATGGCGACGGCCAGTGGTTCGAGTAAAGCACCCACTTCAAAGCTTAGCTCGGACGGGAGACGATGCACCCATCGGGCTGGGTGGTCAACGAACTCTTGCAATGTGCCCTGGTAGTGGGGGAATTTGGATCCTGAACTGCGGAAGCGCAAGTCCGGGCAGATATTATATCTTCCACTGGAACAATGCGCACACTGTCCACAGGGCACACCACATTCAAGCGCAACGGCGTCGCCAACCTTTAGGCCCCGAGCTGCCTCTGAGGTACCAGGCCCAACCTCTACAACCTTTCCTGCAGCCTCATGGCCGAGGCAAAGCGCTTCACGGACCTGGATGTTGCCATTGGCAAAGTGGGTGTAATAGTGCACATCAGAGCCGCAAATGGTGGTCGAGCGTATGGCGATCCGAATGTTTTCTGCGGCAAGAGGCTCGAGTTTTCTAGTCTCGAGTCTCAAGGCATTGGGCTCATGGAGATACTGGCCACGACTCTGTTGGCTCTTGTCAGAGTTGATTGTGGTGGTCGACATCCTATATCAGCTTTGGATTCGAGACCTAACGCTGGTACAATGCATTCGCGAAGCGATAACGATAAAAATGAACAATCGTGAAACCAGAAATCCTGCCATTTCCTTATTGTTCCCTACTTTGGCCCACATGGTGAGGCTTTGACGTTCCGAGCTCTCCTTGGCGCCGCATGCCTCCCCGGAACCGAAGTCGGAACACCACCTCCGCTTCCATTCAGGACTGTGCCGCTACTCATAGCTCACGTTGGATGTGTGAAGTGTCCATCACCGTGTTTAGCACGTGGAAAGCCTAGTGGGTGTCGTCACGCAGGTTGGATATTGATGGTGGTGGGCCGCGTGCAGCAAATCCCCGTTGAAGAGGACGGAATCTGGTTTCCGAGCCCCACGATTTGCGGAGACATATCCCAACAGTACTAAACCCCGGATTATCGTGCCACATTTGAGAAGATACTTCCCTGTTTGGGCCTCAGATGGTGGCAAGACGCTTGGCCTCGGTCCATGAACATCCTCGGAAAGCTATGTTCTATGATCTCCGCCGCTCATCTGTTCGAAGAAACAATTGAGTTGTCCATAATCCAAGCCATCTTCTCCTTTTCTTACCCTTTACCATCGTCTTCATCCGTCTTACACTTGAGAGTCTCTGTGTCTTAGTCTCCTCTCTTTACTTGACACTCGATGACTTCTGCCATCATGTCACCGTACGCAAATGGGCTTGACGCCATTATCATTGGCGCAGGCCCAGCGGGTATTGCCATGGCCTACCGTCTGAAGCATGAGCTCCAATTTCACGACTTCATAATCTACGACAAGCTCGATGGCGTCGGCGGAACATGGAGGGCAAACACGTACCCGGGATGGTAAGTAGGAATACCGCTAGTGTGTAATCGGCAGTTGTGAGGACCGAGTGCTGACAGGATGCTCCCGATCTCAACAGTGGCTGTGATCTTCAGTCTCACCTTTACTCCTTCAGCTTCAATCCGAATCCAAACTGGTCAAAGCAACTTTGTGAGCAGCCAGAGATTCTTCAGTGTAAGTTCTGCTGAGACCACTTGTTCTTAGCGAGTGCGGCGTTCATCACAGAATGTTGGTCGAGGCAAAACTAACATCAAGCTCTTAACAACAGATATGGAAGACACTGTTGACAAGTTCGACATCCGCAAGCATGTCCACACCTCAGTCGAATGCACCGGCGCGAAGTGGCATGCGGAAATCTCCAAGTGGGAGGTGTTCCTCAAGGACCTCAAGTCGGGCCTCGAATACTCTCGCTTCGTGTCCGTTGTTGTGTCCGCCGTCGGCGCCATCTCTTTCCCGCGAGATGTGAAGTTCCCTGGAATGGAGAAATTCAACGGCCATATGTTCCATACCGCTCGGTGGGATCATTCCGTCTCATACGCAAACAAGCGTGTGGCTGTCATTGGCAATGGTTGCAGCGCCGCCCAGGTCGTGCCAGCCGTGGCCCAGAAGGCTTCCTTCGTGAAGCAGTACGCTCGCAGCGGGCAGTGGTTCCACGAGCGCCCGAACCGATATTATACAGAGCTCGACAAGTTCCTGTTCCGCTGGGTCCCGCTTTGGCAGCGCCTCCTGCGCCTGCGCATCTTCCTTGATGCTGACGAGGAGACCACGACCTATTTTCCAACACCCAAGGGCCTTCGGGTCCGCATCCAGAAGGAGAACGAGGCAAAGAAATACATCCAGTCCAAGGCACCCAAGAAGTACTGGGACCACATCACCCCAAAGTTTCCACTAGGGTGCAAGCGCCGTATTTTTGACCCTGGCTATCTTGACGCTCTTCGCATGCCCAACGTCGAGCTGCTACCTGAGGGTATCAAGGAGATGACAGAAACCGGCATCATTTCCGCGTCTGGGATCCAAGATGACTTCGACATCATTGTCCTAGCCACAGGCTTCCAGGTCTCCGAGTTTCTGACTCCCATGGACATCATTGGCGCAGACGGGCGATCCCTGCACCAGCAGTGGAAGGAGTGCCGTGGAGCCCAGGCATACCTTGGCACCTACGTGCACAACTTCCCTAACCTCGCCATCCTCTTCGGGCCAAACACCTTCCCCGCCAACAACTCGGCTCTGTTTGCATGTGAGACCCAGGTTGACTACGCCGTCAAGTCACTCTTCAAGCCACTGATCGACCGCCGGGCCGATGTGATAGAGGTGAAGCAGACTGTGGAGGACTACACGACCAACGCCATCCACAAAGAGTTAAACAACACAGTCTTCTCGGCAGACTGCTCCAACTGGTACATTGGCAAGTTCGGCCGTAATGCCGCATCCTGGCCCGGACTGGCACGCTCTTTCTGGGCCAGCACCTACTTCCCTGACTGGTCGGCCTTTAACATGGTGGGCGGCAGCAAGCTCTGGCGGTTCTATGCTGCCCGCCGCTGGGTGACCACCCTAAAACCGCTTACGAAGGCCCTGCTTACGCTGGGCCTTGTAGTCGCGGCAGTCCGTTACAGAAACTATCAAGACAAGGTTCCAGCTCTTGTTTACCTAAAAAGTCTTGCTGCGAAGGTGTTTTAGGCTCATACTTCGGGGGATAGTGTTATTGGGGACTTCGCCTGTTCATGCGAAATAACCGGCTCGTTTGATTTTGTGTAAAACGAACACTGCTGAGACTCTTTACATATAACAACATAGATTGGAGGAACAAATAATCAGAAAGTCAGAATGCTTGTACCGCTAGTCTATGAACATAGATGTAGATGAATGCTGAATTGGTTATATTAAATTTGGCTCTATTCCGACTTCTCCACCATGACATCTTATATGCGTTGTTGTCCTGCACCGTTCTCCATCGTTGAAGCCGCGTGTGTCCTACTGCAGCCTGTTCAGATATCTGAAAAGCTTCCTGACGACATAGCTTCTACAACTGACAGTAGGCTCGATCATTTCTAGGTAACTTTGGGGATTGCATCCGCCCGGGGCCCGTCGGTTTGTTTTGCAGTAGACTCGGAACTGTGGAGCAGTCCAAGGTTCATGGTGGCGGGGATTGGAGCTAGCCAGTGGAGTGTCTCCTCGCAGTGCTACGGATTCAGCATCCCGATCGGTAGCAGTCATGGCTCCACCGGGATCTAGTGGTGGTGCTTGTGGGAGTCGCGGAGGTGAATTCCGGGCTGGCGATGCAAGGACCCGGGTCCCCGTGGGGTTACCAGGGTGAGTTCCGGGTTTCGTTATTCGATTTCATATCCACATACTTGATCTTGAAAGACGAGTGATCAATTCTCGAAACTCCTAGCTGTAGGTATTGTTGAAAGTTTGATGCACAGAACTCTGGCTTTCGATCGTCTCATAACCTTGAATCCATTACTTTGCCATCCCTCTTTGAAACCCCAGCTACGCCCATCTAACTCGAGTCTCTCATAGCTAGGCGCAGCTTTGCAAGCATGTCTTATCACGAGCAGCATCTAAGCAACGTGAGTAACCTCATGCACGTCTAAATAACCCAAACAAACATGCAGACAGCTAATGTAGGGTTTTTTTCATCCCGTAGCTGAAGGATACCAATCTTTTCTCCGGGGATGCATTCATCGACGGACAATGGGTTTCCAAGGATAGGCAATTTGACGTCTACGGTTTGTTCCACCCTCCTCGGCCTCCTTCGGCTAAAGTTTACTTTCACGATATTCATCTGGTTGATTGAATAGAGCCCTCTTCGAGCACCGTCCTGGGCAGGGTGTCAGACTGCACCCTGGAAGATTTCCAGAAAGCCATCACCAGCGCGGACAAAGCACAGCGCATTTACTTCGAAACCACCACTGGAGCCACAAGAGGTGCACTACTGAGACGTTGGAACGACTTGATCCTAGAGAATCTAGATGATCGTAAGCACAATGCTCCGGCCCTGGTTTGCCCAAGGCTAATGCCTCTCACTGACACGCGAAATAATGGCAGTTGCTACAATCATGTCTTTGGAAAACGGCAAGACTTTGGGCGAGGCAAGGGGTGAGGTTACCTACGCCGCGAGCTTTATAGCGTGGTTTGCAGAAGAAGCCACCCGGTCTTATGGTGTCACAATCCCGTCTTCTGTTCCCCATACAACCCTTATGACTATACGTGAGCCAGTCGGCGTATGCGGCATCATTACGCCGTGGAACTTTCCAGCGGCGATGATCACCAGGAAAGTCGGCCCAGCTCTCGCCGCCGGCTGCTCTGTCGTTATTAAGCCGCCTAGCGAGACACCATTCAGCTGCATTGCCCTCACCAAGCTGGCTATCAAGGCTGGCCTGCCTCCTGCAATAATCCAAGTTTGTCCCACGAAAGACCGTCAGGCGGCCACCGAGCTTGCTACAAACCCACTCGTTAAGAAGCTTAGTTTCACTGGCTCAACAGGCGTGGGGAAGAAGCTAGCCGGACTCGCGACAGGTACACTCAAGAAGGTCAGCCTCGAGCTAGGGGGAAATGCGCCGTTCATTGTCTTCGACGATGCGAATCTTGACATGGCCGTGGAGGGTGCCATGTTCTGTAAGTTCCGGTGCTCAGGGCAAACATGTGTTTGGTAAGCGCCTACTTCTGTCTACTATGCGCGTGGCCAGATATGGACCTTTGGATAGTCAACAGACGGGAGACCTTCACGGGGTGCTAACGGCTACTTCTAGTGCGAATCGGCTCTTCGTGCAAAAGGGAGTGGCTATGGCCTTCACCGAGAAACTGGTGAAAGCAGTGCAAGCGCTCAAGACGGGGCCGGGCCTGGACCCATCTACCACCCAAGGCCCGTTGGTTAACAAGGCTGCTGTTGAAAAGGTCAAGGAACACGTTGAGGACGCGGTTTCTAAGGGTGCAAGGATTGAGATAGGTGGCAAGGCGTCCATAACAAGCGGTTTCTTCTACGATCCCACTGTTCTCTCCGGAGTGACCCCGGAGATGGTGTTGAGTCAGGACGAGACATTCGGGCCTCTCGCTCCAATCTTTGAGTTCGAGACCGAGCAGGAAGTCATACAGCTTGCTAATGACACCGAGTTTGGCCTGGCTGGGTACTTCTTCTCGCAAGATATCGCGAGATCCATGCGAGTGGCCCAGAAACTCCAGGTCGGCATGGTAGGCGTTAATACTGGAAAGATCAGTGCGGCCGAGGCCCCCTTTGGGGGCGTCAAGGAGAGTGGCTACGGTAAGGAGGGTAGTTTGTACGGTCTTGAGGAATACCAAATCATTAAGAGCATTACAATCGGCAACCAAAATGCCGGGCTCTGAACTTGAGTTGGATATATAGACCTAGAATAACAAGTTTATCTCGCATACCCTCTGCGCTCATGCTACTCGTGACAACTGATGTTGAGTAAACTGCAGAATCAATAAAAGCGACGGCTTCCTCCTCCTGATAGGCACCATTCAATGATCTCCTGGTCTTGGACATCCGTTTCAATTTGAACCAGCCTGAACAAGGTTCCGGCAGGCCTCTCGGAACCCGTCTTCCGTTGTTCGGAGTCGAACATTCTCGCTGCATGACGTAAAGGTTTCGACCCGCCTGCCGATATCGCTTTCACAAAAGACTATACTTTCGATAATTGTTGGATTCTAGGTCAGATCTTACGTGTCAAGTTTTCACCCTCTGGACTGCCACAATTCTTCCTAGGAGAGTCTATCATGTCGCCGACTCAGAATGGCGGCCGCATACACAAGATTGCCTCTATCCCGGGAGATGGAATAGGGATAGAGGTGATAGAGCAGACGGTGAAGGTTCTCCGGGCCATTGAAGAGCTTTTCAAGTCGTTCATTCTAGATATAGATACGCTGGATTGGAGCTCCAAGCGGTATCTAAAGCAAGGGGAATATATCCCGGCGGATGGATGGCACAGGTTGAAGGGGAAAGACGCAATCCTATTTGGCGCTGTTGGCTCGCATGGTATGTTATCAAGCATGAAACTAGAGATGTGTAGATCAACTCACAAATTTCTTGCTCTCTAACTACTGTTTCTTGGTTTAGATGTTCCCGATGATATCTCTCTATGGAACCTAATCCTCCCGATTCGGAAGAAGGTGAGAAAGTAGAGCGGGACATCGAGCTTGGAACTGACATTCAGTTAGCTAAACCAATACATCAACCTTCGTCCAATCCGAATTCTGCCAGGGCTCTCAGCTCCGTTGAAAAACTGCGCGGATGACGATTTGGACTGGATCATTGTACGAGAAAATAGCGAGGGCGAGTACGCCGGCCAGGGCGGGACTACTCATGATGACACTCCATACACCATTGCCAATGAGGTGGCCGTCTTCACCAGGGTTGGCATTGAGCGCACTATGCGTTTTGCTTTTGAGGTCGCGCGAGGACGGCCTCGGAAGAAGCTCACCCTGGTAACGAAAAGCAACGCCCAGCGACACGGCATGGTCTTGTGGGACAAAATCTTTTACGAGGTTGCAAATGAGTACCCCGACGTGGAGACGGACAAGATGCTCGTAGATGCCATGACAGTCCGGATGGTGCTGAAACCCAATACACTAGACACTATCGTAGCTTCGAACCTCCACGGAGATATCCTGTCAGACCTGGCGGCCGCATTGGCTGGTAGTATTGGAGTAGCTGCTTCTAGCAACCTGGACCCGACGAGGAAGAACCCCAGTTTGTTCGAGCCGATTCATGGAAGTGCTCCGGACATAGCTGGACAAGGAATTGCAAATCCTATCGGCACGTTTTGGAGCGCGGCGGAGATGCTCCGGTGGCTTGGGGAGGGCGCACCTGCGGATCTCTTGATGAAAGCCATCGAGACCGTCACAGCCTCCGGAACCAAAACAAGGGATTTAGGGGGGACATGTACACTTTCTCAGGTTACTGATGCGGTTATTTTGGAGCTACAACGATCATTCAGTACTGGCGGAATTGGTGTGTCATATTCGTAGGAGACAGGCAACAATCCAATTAGTAAACCGATTATATTGCCTAGCTCATAGTCTTACTGCTACCATCACGTTCTTCACCGTATTCTTAACTCTAGGCTAAAATAATTATCGCATCAGAACAGTCAGACATCATAGATAAGGTGTAAATTTCCATCTACTACATGCGTGGAGTGTTAATATCGTGAACCACGACGGAACCCCGGAACACGAATTCCGCTCGATGTTGAGGACGGAGCTTTATAGAGCTAGTCATAACAGAGCTATACCTACAGAGTAACTTTGCTGGAAGATAGCAAAACTTCCTGTGTTTGTCGCTCAAAAATGGCGCATTCATTCTTCAAATTGAATACTGGAGCTCTAATCCCTGCGTTGGGCCTGGGTACGTGGCAATCTGCCCCTGGCGAGGTCAAGACTGCCGTATCCTACGCACTTCGCTCAGGCTACAAGCTTGTTGACTGTGCTTTCTGCTATGGCAATGAGGGCGAGGTTGGAGAGGGCATCAAGGAGGCACTGGAATCTGGAGCCGTGAAGAGAGAAGACTTTTTTGTGACGAGCAAGATGTGGTGCACATTCTCGTCCCGGGTGGAGTTGAACCTCGACATGAGCTTGAAGGCGTTAGGCCTTGATTATGTTGATCTCTATCTGATTCATTGGCCAGTGGCTATGAATCCTAACGGTATGAACATAGCCTCCAGCCTATAAGCCGGCATCTACCCTTAGAAGGTTAGGATGAGATATTAACGAAGGTGATACTAGGAAACGATATCAAATTTCCCAAGCGGCCGGACGGCTCGCGTGACCTCGACCTGTCTTGGTCACATATCCAGACATGGAAGCAGATGGAGAAGCTAGTCGAAACCGGAAAGGTGAAAGCCATTGGGGTATGCAACTACAGCGTGAAGTATTTGGAGGAGTTGCTTCCCCATGCCACCATTACCCCGGCGGTGAATCAGATTGAGAACCACCCCTACCTACCACAGACAGATATTGTGTCATTCTGTCATTCTCGAGGCATTCACATTATGGCATACTCACCCCTTGGCAGCTCTGGGTCTCCTTTGATAAAGGAGCCGCTTGTACAGACCATCGCTGCCAAGCACAGCGTATCTCCGGCTACGGTGTTATTAAGCTATCATAGTTTGTATTCCCTGTAATCTTTCCGCCCCCAGCAAGTATGCTGACCCCAGGCGCTGCAGACAAGCGAGGGCGCACTGTACTTGCGAAATCCGTTCAGCCGAGCCGGATTGACGAAAACAAGCAAGTCATTGCTCTCGATACGGAGGAGGTGGAGGCACTCGAGAGCATCCACGAATCCATCGGGGTAAGAAGATATGTATACCCTGCATTTAACGTGGAGTTTGGCTTCCCAGACAAATCTTAATTCGTGGATCAGTGCTCTTGTTACATCGTTAGGTAGCCAAATATCTCCCCAGGCCGTCAGATCCGGACAGTCACGAGCATCGTATGATATTCTTGCCACCGCCTCCTCATTTTCCAGCTTGTGTCGTGAAATGAGGCAATCCCCGTGCATGCCTCTACTCCGCCTCCGGATGACCCATGCAAACGGAATCTAAATTCCGACCTGACGAAAGCGTAGATCTTGGAGCCGTGACCGCCATGCCCTAGCCGGCCATCTGCCGAGGACGCTAGTGGCTCATTTACTTTCTGCCTAGTCATGAACGTGTTCAGTACAGTATGCAGAGAGTGTAACTGGTACAATACTGCCCAAATATGAAAGCGAGCAGCCATTGACCTTTCCATGAGTATACGTATATCGAGACCAGTATTTCTCGTAAATACAAACGTTGCACAGATGCATGGTATGATCGCTCTGGGCAGGCTGAAGAGTCTCGGACCAAGGGATCTTCCGGGGTTCTGTTGGGCACATGACGGCAACAGAGCCTAGTTCGCACTACACTTATCTTTCTAAGGTTGTGTTGCATGCAGTAACAAGGGTGCATTGTCGGAAATGGCGAGATTCCGACAGACGTCTGACGGCAGTCGTCGCCAAGTCGAAGGTGCATCCGAGGCGCCAACAGTCCGGACAAGAAATGCAAATCAAACTTGACGTTTCCACGTGGATTATTTTTTACGTATAGCCAGATGAAGGCCATCACTATGAAAGGTGTGATGAAGCATTAGATGGAAACTCTCATAAAATTGTAACTGACTGAGGGGCCACGGTCTTGGCCAACGGCTCTATAGTCGTAGTATTCGACCTCAAAGTAACTTAACACGTTCAACCTACTATTGCAAATTTTCGACCACAAAAACGCTAGAGAGTGTCTGCCTCAACTAAGGCGCCTTAAACCTGCGCCTGCTGGTTGGCAAGAACCCGCTCGGCGGCAATAACAGCAACCCTCATGATCTCCTTCTCGTTCTGCCCGCTGGTGTCTCCGAACATGACGTCTAGGTCTTCCAACGTCTTGCCCTTGGTTTCCGGGACTAAGAGCAAGGCCCAAACACCAGCGACTCCACACATAATGGCGAAAAAGACGTATGTCTTGTAGCCAATGTTCTCAAGCATGGGCGGGGTTGTGATACCAACGGTAAAGTTTGAGAGCCAGTTGACACAGATGGCCAGGGCCACGCCCTTCGCACGCTTAGAATTAGGGTAGACCTCTGCGGGTAAGCACCAGCCCAGGGGCGAGTATGAGACGCCGTAAGTCATGATAAAACAGAAAGCCATCGCCACGCATGCCCAACCAGCGGACGTGTTGGACGACCAGTTCTTCGAGTAGACGCCATCCAGGGCAGCAATGATGGTGTAGCAGACGCAGGACCCGAACGCTCCGAGAATAGCCAGAGGCCTTCGGCCAAGCTTGTCTATAACAACGAAGCAAATGGCAACAGCCACGAGTTGCAGGATGTTAAAAACACCCGATAGAACGAGTGACATCTCGTCCGACTGTCCAATAGATCGGAACAAGGTGGGTGCGTAGTAAATGAACGCGTTGATACCAGAGAACTGCTGGAAAAAGCATACACCGCATGCCACGGCAGTTCTACGCAGCATCTTTGGTTCGAAAAGCTCAATCCATGAGAGCACTTCGAGCTTAATTCCGCCGGCACCGGGGTGTGCTTCGGCTAGTATGACTTTGTTAAACTCGACTTCTGCTACAATACCCTTGAACTCCTTCTGTACGCGGGCGTCGGTTGGAGGTAGTCCTCGTAGTTTACACAGGCTGGTCATGCATTCATCGTTGCGGCCGACGAGGGCGAGCCATCGGGGAGAATAAGGAAAGAAATGGATGCAAACGCCCAGAATCGTGGCGCAGACCATCTGCAGTCCGAGGGGAAGCCTAAAAGAGACTTCGCTGTCAATGTATCTCGTGCCATACGTAATCCAGAAGGAAATGACGACTCCAGATACGATGGAGATAGACTCCAAGACGAGAAGAGTTCCTCGGAGATTCGGCGGAGAGATCTCGGAGATGTACAGCGGCGCGCCCTGTGACATATGTGTTAACATCGGCCTCTTTCAGAGAATTCAAATGAGATAACAACAGAGGCAAGATGGAAAGTAGTTATGCGCCTCTCTTTCACATACCATTGCAAGGGTGCCGACTCCAATGCCTCCGATGGCTCTCCCAGCAACTAGTACGCCGTAGCTGGTGGCGGCGGTCTGCATGATGGCGCCGATATCGAATATGATAACCACAACTGTCAGGGCCCGCTTCCGCGATATCTTGTCCGCCATGTACGGCATGAACAGACAGCCAATGAAAGCGCCAAGCAAAAGCATTGCCGTCATGAAGCTGGTACCGAAAGCCGTCTCCGTCCGGGGGAAGGCGCTGTGGAACTGGTCCATCACGTTGATGATGGAGATGACTCCTTGGTCGTAGCCGAAGGAGAAGCCGCCGAGGGAGGCTAGAAAGGCAGCGCCGAACACGTACGAGCTACCCAGCAGACCACGAAGGCCGTCTTGTCCATACGCGACATCCTCAGCGAAGGCGTCTTGGGGCAGTATCTTGGCGGCGCCTTCCTCATGCTCGGAAGAGGCAAGGACACTCTCCTCGGGCGCGGGAGCACCTTGGTTGATCTTCAAGTCTGAAGTCATAGTGGATGGTAAAAGGGGTTATGTGATGCGACCCTAGTACAACGTTGAAATCGATGATGGTATGTCAAAGCCTGGCAAGAGGAATGAGATGAGTTGAGACAGAAGGCTGAATCCACAGAATTAGAACCTGGTGAGAATAGCCAACTCTTATACTCTTCCGAGGTTAGGTATAGGGCTCCGTGCAAGCGCTGAACACTCACATTGGCTGAAATAAACCGCAACCACTGCCATTGCCTAGATACCTCTCCCGGTACAATTGTCAGAAACTAGCAGGGCTTCTACCGTGAGGGTGTTGACCGAAACCGAGAACCTAGTCAAAGGGCGGAGAGATACCAATTATCCACTCTCAGTTTAACATTAGCGTAGCCCTTACGAGTGTGGGAATCTACTCTACTACGCATTACTCGTACAGGAGCGAAGCCGCCCAACCGTTCACCGTGGACAACTGACTAAACCGAGAGAGGCAACCAAGCCCTTGCTTTCGGCCCTTTGACTGGTCGATCTTGGGGTCGCAATGGAATCTGTATCCCGAGGTTTACAGCCTACCCCGGCGTAACCCCGCACGCTCAGCTTGGTCCCGCACAGAGCACCGCCCCAGTAGAAAGGGGCAGGCTTGACCCGAATAGTTATAGCTTCACAATTCCCCAGCATTCCCCGGTTCACTCCCCCGGAAATGCCCTCCGTAGCGTGCCCTGCGTCATGATGCGTCGAAACTCATATTCTATACAGCACCTACACTATCGCTACAGAAGGACTGGCTACTGATGAGAAGATGCCCAATGCATAGGTCAGAATGACACCAGGTTCTTGGAACCTGGACCTGTGTTCTTGGCCGGCATAGACAAATCAAAGAAACGTACAGAGCGTGCTGCCGTTGCGGTCTGTCTGTAGTCCACTCGACGATAGCTCACACGGTGACATTAATAGTTCAAAGACCACTGGCAAAACACTGTTAAAAGCTAGAATCCCAAGTCTGGGGCTGTGCTATGGGATTCTAGATTCCATAACTATCTGATAAGTCTCTTCTAGCTTACATTCTTCTAATTCAGTACTCGGAGAAACCAATACACATCAAACTTGCTATTTTGTGCAATAGAATACCAAAAGACTTTTCTGCCTCGATCTAGATTTCACTCTACTGTCTTATCTTCTAACAAGCTTTATAACCTCATTATATTTTACAAGATTGCTGGAATTACAACTGACCTCATTATGTTCTGCTTTCCTATTGTATAATATAATCCTCACATCTAAAGGTATAAGGATGAAGAGCAAATAGACACTCTTCTTAGAATCTACAGGAAACCGAGTCAAAATTGATCATGACTCGAGCTTTAAGCCAATGTGTCCATGTGCCGTGCGATTTCAAAGACAAGTTCGAACGATTGCTGAGTTTTCCGGATGGCGATGTAATTTCAGTTGTACCAAGTTCCAGGATGAGGAATTTATTCCGGACGCAACTATCTAGACAGGCGGCTGTTCCGCGTATGAAGAAATCTATTGACTGATTACCTTGCGCACCATACATTACCGCCGACAAGTCACGGCGTTAGACCGAAGCCGGCACCAATGGCTAAATTGCACGCCATCCTGCCCTCCTGGCGTCACTACCAGCCAAATCCCTGAGGTATTTCTTGACCCTCGTCTCTATTCCCTTCGCATCCAGGCTGAATCTGTCATAATTACTGGCGTTTGAGGCCGAGTATCCATAGGTGGTCATGCCCACGCTGGCGGTCACGTAGCGTGCCCAGGTCGTGGCAACGTACTCCTCAACGCTCACAATGGGCGAGCCGTCCAGGGGGAATACCGAGTTCTTGTACGCGGCATCTTGCATATCAAAATGCTCGAAGCTCGGCGCGCTAACCACACGAGTTAGGATTCCGGAGGCAGCCAGATTCCTCGCAGCTGCGACGGCATAGTGCAAATTGGTGCCGCAACTGGCGAGGGTGAGCTTCGCGTCAGCGGCTTCCTCGACGACGTATGCCCCCTTGGCAACTTTGAACCTGTTCGTATTTGCCACGGGGCCTACAGGGTCGCGACCGAGGGAAAGTAGGGAGGGGCCCGTGGACTTGGAGAGAGCGAGCATCCAGGCTCCGATGGTCTCCTCAGCATCGCATGGTCGAATATATGTTAGGTTTGGCATAGCGCGATATAGGGAATCCAGCTCCACTGGCTGATGCGTTGGGCCGTTTTGTCCCTCAGCAAAGGAATCGTGTGTTGCGAAATGAATGACTGGGAGATGGCTCAGGGCACCCATGCGGACTCCTGGAGCAGCCTGGGTACATAAGCAGCACGATCAGCACCGTCTGTTACACGCAAAGATTGAAACCATTCCACATATGTAGGCCGGTGCAAAGGCATAGGAAGCCAGGGGATAACTCACATAAAGGTAAAACATGAAGAACGTGGCCGTGAAAGGGAGGAAAGTGCCCGGGTTATAGGCGGCGATACCATTAGAGATGGACGCCATCGCATGTTCACGGATTCCATAGCGTAGGTAACGTCCCGAGTAGTTCACTGACGGGTGGAAAACCTCGGCGGCCTCGTACGGTACCTTGTTTGAATTGACAAGGTCGGCGCCGCCCCCGAAGAGGGCTGGATGGGCCTTCCACATGCTCTCAATGATGGTCCCATTAACCTCGCGGGTGGCGCTCCCTGCGAAGCTCTTCGAGTCTATCGTCTCAAGGACCGTCCGCCACTCGTCTCCGTTGTCACCTGTCCTCCTTTTCCGAAACTCCTTCGAGAGGTCTGGGTAGGCCGACTCATAGCGCTTGACGAGGTCATCCCACTCGCTTTGCAGCTTCTGGCCGTGCTGCTTTCTCTCCCGAAAGTACTTGAGGGAGGAGGGCGGAATCTGGTGCGTTGTCGACGGGTCCTGCCCTGCCAGGCGCTTTGATAGGGCCACACTCTCAGCATCAAAGACACCGTGGTGGGCCTTATACGTCCCCGCGGTCGAGGTACCGAGTCCAATGACGGTACAGACGTTGATGAAGACAGGCTTCCCCGTCAGGGTTCGAGCGAACTCAAATGCCGCTACCAGTGCCTGAACATCGTACGATCCGTCCGCAATCTCCAGGACGTGCCAACCGCAGGCGCGCATCTTCCCATTGACGTCCTCGACATTGATCCAGTCGAGAGGCCCGTCGCAGGTCACCTGGTTGTTGTCGTAGATCAGGACGAGGTTGTCCAGCTGCAGACTCCCTGCCAGCGAAATGGCTTCCAGTGCGACTCCCTCCATCAGGCAACCGTCTCCGGTCGTGCAGTACACACGAGAGCGGACGACATCAAACCCCGGCCGGTTATAGCGGGCGGCGAGGTTCTTAGAGGCGATGGCGAGCCCAACAGCGTTGGCGATGCCCTGGCCCAGCGGGCCCGTGGTGACCTCCACAGCCGGGTCTTCAATCTCTGGATGTGCATGACATAATGTGGTATAGCCATTGGTTTTCGCGCTGCCGTAGCCCTTGATCTCGTCCATTGTCCATGCATCGTACCCAACAAGGTGGTTCAAAGCGTACAGGAACATCGCGGTGTGGCCTGTAACGGATGCGTGTCTCCAGGTCAGCAAAACAAGAACCACACAAAACAATTGATCACTTCGGGGGCTGCGGATATGCGACTTCATTTCCACCGTACTCATCTCTCGGCTTTTACGCACCATTAGAGAGAACAAAGCGATCCCGATCAAACCACTCCGGGTTGGAGGGGCTGTAACGCATCGTATACTTGTACAAAGCGACACCGATGGCAGCCATGCCGATGGCCGAGCCACCATGTCCGCCGCCATTCTGGTTGCAGATGTCAAAGATGAAGTTTCGCAGTGCTAGAACAGCACGGTCATCGTCATCGAGATTCTCTCGCCAGCCCCTGACTTTGCCGGCTAGGGGGTCCTCCGCCGGTGTCAAAGGTACCAACGTCTGCAGAGTTTCGTCCTTCATCCTTCTTGTTAGTACTAGTCAGTAATTGCTGCGGACTGTGTTATCTTGCGTTCGTGAGAAAGAAGATGAACAAAAACGAAAACGAATGCTCTCAACTCAGTATCCACCAAGCTCTCTTTGCAAGAACAACTTCCGATCGTGATATGTAATCTGGCTCATCTAAACTATCCATCCTTATTGTTGTCCGGCATATTACAAGGCCAGTGGCCCTGCCGGGACACTGATGCCGGGGTCCCTGAGTCACACTCCGACCGGACGATTTCGAATGACACGGGTTTGTGATTCCGGGCCCCACTCCCTCCACAACTCCACAGTGGGAGCGCATAACGGCGGGGATCGGGATTTATCCTCCGGCCGGGGCATCCGCATGTCACGATTGGGGCACCCGTGGGGCACCCGCGTCTCGGACGCAAACCTGGCATTTTTCAGCGCCAGAGACACTTCCGAGGCACTGGCTAAAACACACGGTATCCCAGGGAAGAGTGAATAGCGGCGAGTGTGAATGCGCAACTTTCGGTATTGTCTCATTCCCCTACCAGTATCGTGCCTCCTGAAAGAGGCCGCTCAGGAATCTCATCATACCTTAGCCATATTCGATCGATACTTGATAAGACTTCTCCCCCATCATTCCAACAGCCTGCAAGTAAGCCTTACTTTTGCCAGCCGCTCCTCGCCCCGGAATCACGACCGATACTCAGCCACGGCTCCCTCCATGGCGGACAAGCAGCAGCCTGTGACGGGCAGGGCGGTGCTCGATAGGAACCCCGACAAGTTCCTTGCGCGCACCGTGCACGACCTGATCTCTCTCAAGGGTCGCACCATTGTCATCACCGGCGGCGGTCGTGGCCTCGGTCTGGCCTTCGCCTTTGCCGTGGCCGAGGTTGGAGGCAATGTCGCCATCATCGACCTGCTTGACAAGCCGCACGACCATTTCAAGAAGCTGGAATCGGAGTTCGATGTCAAGGTCAAGCTTTACAAGTGAGCTTCCTCCTCCACCTCTCCTCTCGGCAGGCTCTTGATCATACGCGGAGTCTGAGCGCGTATGAGCCCACAAGCATTGCGAGGTGTATCTCATCACATCGCAAACGGCGTATGGAATGCGGGATGCTGATAGAAGATTCACCTTCGCAGAAGCGACGTGACCAATTTCGAGGCCCTCCAGAAAACCTTCGACGAGATCGTAACAGACTTCGGACGTATCGATGGCCTGTAAGTACTCGTCCCTTGTATGCCTTCTGGGATTCTCTTCCCCTGGCCGTCTTAATACAGACAGCTCCTGCTCACACGAAGGCCCCAACCCACAGAGTAACCGCTGCCGGCATCTGCCCCGACGAGCCCTTCCTGAAGCGCGGGCCAGAGTCCGTGGCGCGATGCATGAACATCAACGTACTCGGCACATACTATGCCGCCCAGCTGGCTGCCGCCCAGATGGCCAAGCAGGAGCCCACCGACTTCAACCCTCGTGGTGGTTCCATCGTCTTCATCGCCTCCATCGCTGCACATGTCGCGAGCAAAGGCCAGACCACTAGCGACTACTGCGCCAGCAAGGGCGCTGTTGTGTCGCTCGCCAAGGCGTTGGGCGTGGAGCTGGCCGCGATGGGCATCCGTGTCAACTCCATCTCCCCTGGGTAAGCCTTCCCCCGTCTAACCGCTCAAACCTCTTGTCATGTTTTCATTTCTGGATTTATCTCGCATTTCTCGCTTCATCAATGCTTGCTTCCTCTTTCTGAACAGAAGGACTAACCACGGAATTGACGAATAGGTACATGTTGACCGACATGACGATTGACCTCTGCGATCGCTACCCCTGGCTGGCAGACATCATGGTCAATGAGCCGCCCATGCGCCGGATTGGCGACCGGACGGACCTGAAGGTTCCTGTGGTCTACCTCCTGTCGGACGCCAGCGCGTATCACACGTCGGATGACATCCTGATCACGGGGGGAATCCACGCAGGACGCTTGCTCTGAGCGGACACACAGCTATGCTACATAGCATTGCTTACTGATCATGTAACGGCTTGATTGGAATACTCACCCTACACACGCCAAGCGACGCTGAGAGGAATATGATACTTGCTGCTATTGTACATAGTTCGGGCTCTATTGGGGCCCCTTGTCATAGACTCAGAAGAAAAAGAAACGAACAATTGAATATTCAGCTGTCGCTATGACTGTGAAATGCACATGTCTGACCAGATAACCGCGCTCCTTTGCCAATCTTAAGCAAATGACATGATCGAAAGAACTGCTTTTTGTTTTGGATAGCCCTCTGGATCAGCTGGGCATGGCATGGCTCGACTGCACCGAAAACACGTTGCCCCAGTTCCCCGTCATGCCCTCCATGCTCGTCGCAAGCATCCAGTCGAAGTCCAGATCCATGCCGAAATCAACGGCCGTGCTGTTGCCGCCGTCTGCCCAGCACTCCCCCTGCAGCGACGACGCCGTCTCGGCGCGGAAGCGCACGGGCGGGCTCTCGTCGCTGGGCCGGATCGACGCGCGCGGGCGCTTCCTCGTGTTGTTGGCGACGGAGAAGCCCGACCTCGTCGAGGCGGTCTCCTCGCGCCCCGAAGCCAGCGAGTTCGACCGCGCCTGCCGCTCCCAGTGCCGCTGCAGCCTGATGAGGAAGTCGCGCGCCCGCCTGGCCGTGTCCCACGACGGCACGAGCTCGTCGAGCGCGCGGAAGCAGGCGCTCAGGTCGGCCAGGATCTCGTCTTCCCTCTGCGGCTGGTAGCGGGAGACCGTGGCGAAGACGAGCAGCAGGGCCGCCGAGAAGGTGATCGCGACGGCCTGGATGTTCATTCGCCTGAGCGTGTAGCGCTCCTCGTACAGGCGAAGGAGCTGCGCGATAGAGCTCGCAGCGTCCATGCACATCTTCCTAGCGTGGCCGGCGCCCGGACCTTGGGGTGGCTGTGGCTGGATATGTCTGTTTGACATCCAAGGCCGGTGGGCGTAGATGATACTCTGGTAGTATTGCATGCTAACGGTTCGTGAGCGTTAGCGAACAGGGTAGATCGCGTCGGCTTAGGGATGAGGAATAACCACTTACTGGAGCAAAATGACATGGGGTAGGTACGTAGCCTCCCGGTTGCCAAGATCCACGCGCAGCTCGGTGGGCAGACTCTCTTTCCAGTCTACGAGCTTTGTGACGGTCTGATGGTTAAGCTCTTGAAGAGCGCTCTTTGAGGTTATCTCGCTGCCGTATCTAAGGCTCGCGTGAACATGGTCAGAAACCGTATCAATGGGACATCTGCTTTGTCTTCAGACTCACAAGGTATCCCTTAGAGGTGACATAGCCTCAAAGAGTAGGACCTGGTATCTGCAGACATCATCTATGTGCTCGGTCATGGGCGACAGAGACTGCTGTATAGATGTGTTTGGGTTATATTGTCCGGGCATCTCGGCGCCGTTCTTCGTGCCAGGCTTGTCTAAGCTGACACCCTTCATGGACATGCGGAAGGGCTGGCCAAGATAAAAGCTCCAGACACTGCAAATGCTGTCAGTAACCACGTTTCCAAAGGCCAAAGATTAGCAAGCTCTTACTGGTCTACTACAAAGGCAGCCCAGAAGACGGTCCGACGTAGATCGGCCTCCGCCGCGGTTACCACGCCCTTTGCTATGTAAGGCCTAAGATCATGGTCTAGAGCGAGGTTGTAGGACAGTCGCATCGCCATGCCTGGAAGACGGAATCAGCCAAAGGGCAGGAACCTGGGGGCTCTCATCAAGGATCAGAGAACATACCGCTGAAGAGCCATCCTCTAGCATCCCTGCCACATCCTATGTCGTGTGCGCTCAAGAGGACCAAGGTTTGGATGGTTGCGACGCAAGGCGAATCTAGTTCTATTTCCAACAGCGCCTTTACCCTATCGGCGAAGAAATCCGCAAGAGACCTTGGGAACGTGACAAAGGCCGGGTGGTGGCGAGAGTCAAAAGCTGCCCCCAAAGCACAACTATATACGTACAGGTGGAAGTTAGTGCCTGGCGGACATGACAGGGTTATGGGTGTTCTCAAAGTCAGACGTACATGGCGTTCCTGAGGGATTCCGAGTAGTAAGACGTGTCCTCCCCTTTGTCACACCATGTCACCTTGGCCTCTTCGTACATCTTACGATCGACGACGTGAAACGAAGGGTCCTGCCACGTGAAGTAGAGTTCCATCAGGTGGTTCTCCACCTCAGGCGGGACTTCTTTGTTGAGGCCGAGGCGGTCTAGATGCTCAGGCCCGTCGTTGCGGATGGTGCGATGGACATTCATGCTTACGTCCGCAGCCGGTGTCTCCAGGAGGTTGAAGTTGGATGTAGATCCGTAGAATCGAATGTGGCCGCCGGGTCTGATATGTAGAGTTCCCACTCTGTCGGACAGCTGGTCTACAAGCTCATCGACGCTCTCGGAGGGGCTCATTCCGTCGTCCAACTCCATAGACGGACAGCTGGCCACGCCACCGGACACGGACTGCTGCTGGGGTGGAGTTGGGATATTTCCATTGAAGGCCGGCGGCAGTGCGGCACCTCCCGGGACGTATCCTGGATGTACCATGGACCCCTGTGGAATGGAGTCTGGCTGTGCGTTCCAATCCCAACCGGCTGGGTTTGGAACAATGCCGCCCATGTTGCCGGCGGCGTTTGCAAGCTCAAGCAGACCTCGAATGGCAGGAACCGGGCTGGCTCCGGCATCAGACGACCCCGGCATGCCGGACATGTTTGGTGCCGGTGCCGGTGCCGGTACTCCCGCACTGTTTGGGGGCTCAACGCTCCGGTCTAGGCGCGGAGCAGCGGCGGGAGATCCATGCGTCGCGCCGGTCTGGCTTTCCGCCCTGTCCTGGCCCCGTTCCGGCTGGATGCGGGGGAGCTGCAGAGTCTGGAGGATTCCTGATAACGTTTTGTCATCGTGCGGTGCCATCGGGGGGCATTGCAAGCCATGGTCCTCGATGAACTGGGAGAGCTGCTGCACTCTGTTGGAGAGCAGTTCGATAGCGACACGAAGTGAGAGTCTGATACATTATTACAGATGAGATCAGTACGTCTAGGTCTAGCCAGGAGCAAGAGTCCGAGAGCAAGACTGTGCTGTACTGACTTGCGCTTATCTTCCCGGGCCTCATATTGGCACTCCTTTCCCTTGCTGAGGCAACTTGAACAGGTCGGCGTCGCGCCATTACACTTTGCCCGGGGTATTAGCATTGACCATGCACCTGAAGCTGAGGCTGAGCCTGAGTCTGAGCCTGAGCCCACAAACAGGTAAATGTGGGGTCTGGGGTCTGGGGTAGACTTACCTTCACCTTACTCTCCCGACAAGCGACGCAGGCTGTCGTAACATGTTTTCTCTTGGTTTCTTGTTTATTCGGTGACGAGTGCTCCATCTCGGTCGGCAATTGAAACCCGGACGGGACCGGAAGGGGCAGTAGGCCGGGCTATCGGTCGGTGTTATTCCGTTCCAGCGACGTCCGAGAAGCCGTGTCTTGGCCGAACTGGCTAACAAATCAGTATTATCTCCTACAAGGAGCAACCGTTGGTGGGTTTGGCAAAGCAAAGCAAAGCAAAGCATGGGTAATTGCATACTGGATCGCATGAGATGAGAAGGAACAGGAGACGTATGACCGATCCGGGAGATCTTTGGTGATAACCGACCCCATACCCTACATTCTCCGTACGTAAGGAGGCACTGCCTAACTTAGTTAGGTAGAGCAGTATCTCCCTAGGTAAGGTAGCAAGGAAAACCCCTCAGCCGGGGGCCCCGTGGGGACCCCTTTCCTAGGTCGTGTGCGGCGGGCGTGCAGTACAGTGGCCAACAAGCGGGGAAGCACCCCAAGCCACGCCAAACCATACCAAACCAACCCGATATCCCGCACTTTCTCTTGGCTGTGGAGGGCGATCCGCGGATAATCTCCAACTCTGGCGCATGACCTGGCTTTTTTTTTCAGCACTGAACCCCGTAGACTCGACAGAGATGTTGATCACGAGAGCGCATGATTTGGTAGGTAGGTACCTAGGTATGCAACTGCCGGGTGTGGATTCCTAGGTACATCACGCGGGTTGGACGGGGCCCCCGCTTCTCGGAAACCAAATCCCGTACTATACAATGGTACAATGAGGGGTCCGTCCACGGGTCCCTGGGGTCCACCTCACCTCCACGGGGCTGGGGGGAAGGTACCTCTTGGCCGGCACAGGCAGTTTTTTACATTCACAAAACTTCAAAAGGAACAGTCAACTCACTTATGAGCTCCTTTTGCTTGATATTGCCTTTTATGCAGACATTCTTCGCCTTGGCGGTTCTTAGGAATTGCCATCGCGAGCATCAGAACTAGCATATGATAATGGCATCTTCTCCAACACTCGACTTGAGATGTATTTCGTGTTTACTCCACATATGCAAGCTAATGTAGTAAAAGAAATTCGAAGAAACCAAGTGCAAGAAGATTAATTCGATCTCTCCCAAAAGCCCGACCCCCTTCCTGACCAATATATAGTCTACCGTTTGTGTTTTCGTGATTATCGTATTTCAGTACTAAACCATACCCATCACATCTCGATTTCGTAGCCCTCGGTGCCCTCATCATGCCTCTTTATCACGAGTGTCGATGGCTCGAACCCATTCATAGCTCTCACATTGAGCGGCTGAAGGTTCATGTTCTTGTGATAGACTTCTAGGGCGAATTCTTTCCTCTCGGGAGGGAGCCTATCAAACACAGTTATCGGGGGCCCGTAGACGTTACCAAATACGTGAACACCACACGTCTTGCAAGTTGCACTGCCACCGAATTTTCGGCCTGTCAGATATTCGAACGTATGCTCTCTACCGTGAATTTTGACCTTATCCTTTGTTGTGTAAACGCCGATGTATGCGGTCTAGTCGAGATGGCGAGTCATGTTAGCCCAGCCCCCTTTCATCAGACTTAAACTGGTATGGGGGCCCACAAGCCTTACTCTCACACAGCTGCTACAATTATCTTCCTTGATCTCTTCCCCTTGAATAGGTACAAGTAACTCTGCTGTCACCTTCCCACACTGGCAAGAGAAGATATGCTGGGCATCTGTTCCGAAAATGTCCGGTGTGTTAGGCTCTTTGTCCTCTGGAGTGTTAACTATGGTTATGTCTGGTCTAGTCGGGAGCAGCGTATATGCATTAGTTCTCATGATCATTCCTTTAACCAGGCAGCAGGAGGAAACATACTCGATCTGGAAAGGATTGACATAAGGTTCTCGAATAGCGCGGATGTTGACCGCCAGCTGGCCCCTGAGCGGGCCTTGTGTATGCTCACTAGTAACTTCTGTGCCACAGACGTTGCAGAACTGTCCAGTCAAGGTGTTCGTAAGCTTAAAGACCCGCCAACAGAGAACGCATGGGCTTAGGTAGCTAGAAAGACCCACATCATCTCGCATAGTGGAAGTCCTGTACTGTGTGAGGTGCCCATCATCACGCACCACGGATAGGGAGCCCTCAGGAGGAACAAGCCATAAGGATCCCTTCTTCTTGCAGAGGCTACACGCGCACGAAACGGCGGTCCGAATTGGAGGCACCGAAATATCGAAGCGGAAGCGACCGCAGTGGCAATTGCCATGGTAAGTAATAGATTCCTGAGTGGTTGACATGATGCTCATGAGTCTAACTTAATGCTTTAGTATTGGCAATACCTCGCTCTAACTTGTGAGAAGAGCTAAATGATTTCTGGACCCGCTCAGGTGTGGACAGACACGATTTCGCTGTCACCCCCGACCGATCAGATGTTGGTCCAGTGCATAATGAACCCCGCATAACCAGCACTCTCAGCCCCTTCCCATGGTCCAGTATAAGAAACTCATGATTGGCTTGTGTATTCTGCTGTGCCTCCAGCATTATACAAGTATGGTCAGTTATCTCGAATCACATTTTTGCCAAAGTACTTACCGGGATTGTAAGGCTTATCTATAGGTCCAGTATCGGTGATCAATGGCAACTGTGGGTTTTCTGTGTCGAGCAGTGGCTCTTTTAACTCGGCGACTCTATTATCATATTGCAGCTTCGTTTCCTATAATTTTGATGGGCCTCCGTTCGGCCAGGCATCTCACGAGTAGAAGATGTATGGTTCCAGATGAAGAGCTTCACAATAAGGGTTACAAAATATATTCTTATCATCTTTGTTGAGCAATCAACCTCACATAATCCAGGTAGCAGTGATTGTAAATCATAAGGGCTGTGTCACTCATCATTGCAGAGTTCACATTTGAAAGAAATAATGGATAGCTGTAATTAATCCTAAAGAGATCTGATGCCATTCCCTTTGTCCAGACGGAATCGCCCTCATACTGTTTCGCCGGTTGGTACTATGGGTTGGTGGGTGCAATGGTTGATCTCTGCCCAATTTACACTTTCCCGGTGTCCGTCACTGCAGCTTCCTCCTCGGTAATACCCATCCGGTTCAAGTCTGTATTTTCCCGATGTTCAACATTACGGAAGAAATACCAATTGAAGAAAGAAGCTAGGAGATTGGCTATTCCAATAGCGACGCTAGGTTGGCAAGTCAGTTGTCATGTAATAGATATTTCGGAGAATCCCTCGACAGGTCCTGCCACTGTGTATCAAAATATAGACCACTTACAATGGCCAAATCAAGTGAGGGTCCTTGAACGCTGGCGAAGCAATCTCCACAATTGCTTGCGAAATGGCGTAGGTGAAGAAGACGATGGCCATAATACTACCCTTCATCCTGGGTGGAGTCATTGTGTATGCAATTTCGTATGAACTGACAGACACCATGATGCCACCAAGTGGCTGCAACCAGAAGGGAATGATGGTAAGCCAGGCAGACTACAACACACGTTAACCCCAATTAAATTATATTATGTGATACAATCAAGCAAAGCACAAGTGAAAGGCTTACTAAGGGAGAGACACCAGTGCCAACTTTACACTCGGTAGCATGATAGCCACATGGACTAGTCTCGTAGACTTGCCACTGAATAATTGCAGCGGCTGCGTTGAGGATTGCACCTATGAAATATCCACAAGAAATACGCTGGATCAACGAGAAGTTGACGCCTCTTTTTCGAAGGCCCGGGTAGAGAATCCAGTTGTATATCGGGATGGCGACCACAGTAGAAATCGGATTGAAATTGTTCAAGAGGTCGTTAGGTAATCCGTTCGTCGTCATGGAGCCTGCCATATTTGTGAGAATTGTATTGGTGCCTCCATCAGCCATGTACCAGATGGGCATGAGAGCAAAGACACGGAAAGCTTTAAGAGTCGTCTTCATTTCGTCGACGAATTGATCGTCCCAGGATATCCAACCAGGTTTGTGTCTTTCTGCAATTGCATCATATTTACCACTCTCCATCATTTTTGAGGGCTTGACGGCCTCCCAATGCTCGTCCCTGACCTTAAGACCCTTGGCCTCCTTGTAAACTAGGTTGACAACTTTGGCTCCATCAGCCACTGATGAGCCTCCGGGAGGATACATTGTTATACGTGGTTTGGCCCACACCATGCATACGGGGCACAGGATGTATACGATACCAGGCAGCATGCTATAACAGTCAACAAAAATTGCTATGATGCGCAACAGTCAAGAAGGCTATACTCACTAGGCGAGCCAGAAGCCGATTAGTTTCTCGCAATACGTGGTTGCAATTGCGAAGAAATCCCCGAGATTAGCAGCCCAATAGTAGAGTAATAGCATCCGCTCAACTGTGGCATTAGGGTCAACGATAACCTTCTCTCCGGTCTCAAGAACTTTCACGTGCTGCTTCTTCACGGTACACTGATCGGCGATCATAGGAGCGATAGTTGGCTTGATAAAGCCGGAAGCAAAGGCCAAGGTGATCATGCCGATCACAAATGGGGCAATAGCATGGCCCTCCTTGATTACACTGGGAATAGCGGCAATGACCAGAAGGATATGAGATATGATTCCAACAAGGATACCATACCAGCAGGCTTTATATCGTCCAAGTTTTGCGTCTGCGAGATACCCACCCAGCAGGGGTGTACAGTATGCGAGAAAGGTGAACAAAACTGTAAGGGCTTGGGCGGTCTGTAAACCAAGGCCCATGGCGCCTGGCGACTGTTGCGTCCCTCTAGGAGGAGCTCCCTGCCGGTTTTGTTGTCAGTCGTTCTGCCTCAAATCTGCTTGTAACGGTGTAGATGACTCACCCATCCATTACCACCCTCCGGGAGTGGACGTTGAATGAAATTAGCAAATACTCCAGTCACGCCATAGTATGATGCATTGTTGGCTGCTTCTATGAAGCAGAGAACGTAACCTGACCAAGAAACAGGGCCTGCAACTTTTCGAAGAGTTCGTTTCTCTTCTTCGGTAGGAGGGAGTCCATCGTCTTCAGAAATAGCCGGTTCCATGAATCCAACCGCGAGAGATCTTTTGGAATCGCCCGAATCTCGCTTGGCGACAGCCTCTGGTGCTGCAGCTAAGCCGTGACTGCCATCAAGACCAGACAATTGGAGATCAGAGACAATGGCAACATCAGTGGCAGCTATATCTGTTAGCAAACCTGAAAGTGGCGGAGAGAATGTCACAAAAAAAAAGGTACTTGCCCATCGTCGCAACTTGTTGAATCTATTCTCAGTTATCTTTTCGCCAAAGATAAGTCGGACAACAAACGAATCGAAGCTGCACTTGCACGATTCTTTTTAACTCCAATGGCCTATTCCGGGACTCTCTCCCGAGAGATAAAGCCATGCTGATTCATACAAGCTGATACGGAATGGAGCGCTAAAGCGGGATTCGGCAAATGCCAATGATAAGGCCGTCCAAACATGGCAATGACAACTTAGGCAATTCTAACAGTTGCGAGAAGTCTAGTTGCCGGTGATTTGGAGCTTATCTTTCCAACGGATGTAAGTCAATGAAAAAATGGGGTCGAGTTATGCTATTGGTCGTGACCGTCGGGTCCCCGTTGTATTCCCGAGTCGAGCTATTCCAGATTCCTAAGTTGAGAGGGGCAAGTGATTATGATTAGCAAGCCTGCGATCAGATATAAGAGGGCTTTGGCTTGTCGGGCAATTCCATGTGGTGTGTATTTAAGCCGACGTTATCTCTTTAGTCTAGAAATATGCGTTGCAGTCTCGGTCCTATCGCCAAGCAACCGTGATGCTTAGGTGCCGTTGTGCCGTCAACCCCACTTAGCAGCCACATCGCCTGGTAAGATCAAGTTGCCGATTCGGTCGCCCAAGAACTAGTCCGAGATGCGGAATGCGGAAGGACTGGGGAGGGGTGTCATCGCCAAGTGGATGGCAAATGCTTGTTTGTTCATCAATCCAACATGCTTCAATGGGCACCACTCTTCACTTTGTAACAACAACACTAACAGCCCGATTTTGCAACTCATTTTGATACACCATCAACATGGAGAGCTTGACGTCTCATCACTTACTACCACCATTTGCGGATGGGATCAAGACAGCTCCGCTAGTATCGGTATCTTTTGTCAAGCTCCAGGCCGGTGACAGCGAAGAGTCCAACACCTTTTTCAAAGCGTGCCAGGAACTCGGTTTCTTCTATCTGGATCTGTTAGGATCAGAATTAGGAGAGAAAATAATCGCGGAAGCGGAAAGACTCAACACTGTCCAGAAACAATTCTTCAAATTGCCGAACAATGTCAAAGACATATATGGCCGTCCCCATCTCGATCCGTTCTACGCTTACCGGTACAATGAGCTCGACGCCAAAGATGAAAATGGGGTGACCCTGCGTGGAGAAAACTATAACGTAGGTCTTGAAGCATGGAAATAGACAAAGATGCTGAGTGCGGAGCTTATGCGAAATAGATTCGCAAAGATGACATCCTCGGGAACTGCGAACGCCTTGCCTGCCATTCGATGATCCTTGAAAATCAGGAACTCCTCAAGAGCTACGCACTACATTGTCGAGCCGCCATTGACTGCTTGCTTGAGCATTTAAATACTCACTTGGAATTGCCATCCGGTACACTGGCTAATCTGCATCGAATTTATCAACGCTCTGGCGATCATGTACGATTCACGCAGGCGCCACCCAGCGAGTTCGATGAGGCTCGTGCCAAACGCGCCGAGCATACTGACTTTGGATCGATCACCATCCTCTTCAACTGGCTTGGCGGGCTTCAAGTCAGGCTCCCGGACACGGAAGAGTGGGTCTACGTCCGGCCTATCCCTGGTTCCTGCGTGGTCAATCTTGGCGATGCCATGGTCAAATTCACTGCTGGTCTCTTGCGCTCTAACATACACCGTGTTGTACCGCCTCCGGGAGAGCAGGCCGGTTTGACACGCAACTCATTGGTATTTTTTTCAAGGCCAGAGGACTCCGTGGTCCTTAAGCGACTTAAGGGCGGCATTATCGACGCCCAGCCTGTGATGGAGACTGGCGAGCCCGAAATGACAGCTCACGAGTGGATCATGCAAAAGGGCACAGGCAAACTCCCGGGTGTATGGACAAAGAAGGGATTCGAGTGGAGGGAGAACGACGAGAGGCTCAAGAATGCTCCAATTCAGATTGCAGGAACAGCATAGTCCAATATATGTGCATTCGTGTACCTCTGTCGCCACATTCTTCGAAGGTGCAGCTTGCAAATCATTACACAGCCTTTTGTCATTGCATGTGTCTTATCATCTTGAAATTTGTTTTCTGATTATTTTGTGAGTTTACCTCGATGGCGCTATCTCAAGCCACTGCTCAAGTCCTAGACATGCTTTGCGAGGTAGGTCCTTATATCTCTTCTCGTCGTAGGTAGCCTTGAGAGAATTCAGAAGACGCCTGGCTTTGAGAACTGTAGTTCTCCTTGCCCCTGAAGGGTTCTCCCGCTGCAGGAACCCATCGGCCTGACCTTCTAGCTCCATCCGCTTAGCACGTACATCGGCACCATCTGCCTCCTCCGCAGCACACAGCGCACAGCGACACTTGAAGCCCCACGTCCTTTGAAGTGACGCCGTTCTCGCCTCATAATCGCTCGACTCATCATAACTGTGTGTGATCTCCTCGCCCGCGGCAATCTTGCGTGTCGCACGGATAATCAGGAGATCGCCCACGTGGTCCTTCTTGGCATTGGGTACACAAGAATGGTTTGTATAGGACGCCCATAACCAGAAGCCAGTGCTGGCATTGCTGACGTCCTCATCCTCCGTCTGCTGTCCCGTGCCAAATGCATTCCGCTGAACCTGGTCGTGGACCTGGAATGTATCTATGAGAGGCTCCCCATCGCATTCACGAAGCTTGTTGCCGAGGCCTTTGTAGTCTCCAAATGTGTCGAGGAACTTGTTCGCCTGCGAGGGGTTATTCAAAAGCTTCTGTACCACCGCCTTATGCAGACCGGCCGGGTAGACGCGGATCGCAGCATCGTCTCGAAGGTCACAAGTCAAGGCAGAGAATGCTTCTTTCTCGTGGCTCCAAACAACGATGAAGGCTTTCTCGCACATGATGATCTCCTTCGGCTCGATGTCTCGAGTCGCAAACATGCCCCGCCCTGCTCCAGGGCTCTCCTTGACCTCAGTATTGCGGGTGAAGTTTGCAACGTCGGCACGCCCCTGAGTTTTCGACAAAGTCTTGACCACCTTGTTTAGGTCGTAATTACCGGTAGCCTCCTCATCTAGACGCAGCTTGATTTTCCGTAGATAAAGCTTCGCGTACTGATTTTCTGGTTCGAGTTTCTGCTGTTCTTCAAAGAAACCTTTAGCATCTGCAAAGTCGCCGAGACTGTATGCCGCACTACCGGCCCGGTAATAAGCCTTTGCGTCTAAGGACTTTTCTTTCTCTCCTTCACTGTGTGTTAAAGATGATAGAGCATCTGTCCTGGCTTCATCAAAACGCTGCAAGAGAAGGTTGACGTGAGATCTGTTGCGGTGGAGATCGTTACGCAGAGTCTTGTTTGCTTCGTCATCGTCCGTGATAGCCTTCAGACCTTGAGTGTAGAACACATGCGCTTTTGCAAAGTTTTGCTTCTCTAGTGCAGTATTCCCCTCCTGCTTATACTCTGTTGGGGTTTTGGTAGCGGGAGTCTGGCGAGTGTCTACTTCACGCCATGACTCTTGATTGTCGCTATAAGCCGTGATGATCAAATCTGACGGATGATCGATTCGGATGACCGTTTCACCCAGGTTATTCAGGGTGTAGTACGGCTCCTTAACCAAGAAGTCAGAGCCCAAGTCGAGAACATTTCGCCCCATCTTTGATGTGTGCAGAAACACTTCTAATCGCTCTGAGTCATCGGCCGAGTCGCCTTTCACAGCAGCCCAGGAGGATGCCTTCAGCTCAACAACTGGTGATGAACGGTGCAGCGCAAGCACTTTTCCACGGTGATGCGTTTCCATGCGTAGTTCGGAGAGCTTCATAGGTTCCAACTTTGCCAGCTCGGTTGTGCAGGGCGGATATGGATTCCCAACAGCATATGCCACCATCGTGTCCTGGCTTTTCTTGGGCGCCCCCAGGCCGAATGCCGCCGAGGCAAAGTCCTGCATTAGAGAAGATGAGATGGCTTGCTGCGTCAAGCCTTTGGGCTCGCTGGGTTCCCGTTGCTGGCCACTTTGCTCTCGACATTTCTGAATGCGGTCCTTGACAGACTTTTGAACACGCTCGGACTCCTCCGGCGTCATAAAAAGAGTGTTGGGAGGTGCCATGGTGAATTTTTGTATAAGCGCAGAGTAATGGCGAGATGCTCTACTACGAGGCTTTCTTTACCCCTCCAGGCGCGGGGCTCTCAGCGATCTTTGATCGCCCCTGGAGACCCTGCAGAAGAGAAGTTGATGTGACCGGGACAGATGCTTGTGAAGAAAAGGGCCTTTTTCTCTTAGAATTCGATGTTGTGTTTTAAATCGGTGGTACCCTGAGAGGCATCTTCTCGTTGTGAGATCTTTTGGATCCAGATTTTTTCCCAAGCTGCAAGTGCTGTAGTGCCTGGCCGTTGATGACTAAGGCAGGCGAGAGCCCCACGAAAGACCAATGCCCCACTAACCTGCAGATATCATGGCTTAAAGATGAGGTATGGTGTAGTCAAGTGTGTTAAACTCGTTTGACGAATCTCATGTGTGATAGGATCAGGATCTACTGACATTTGTTAAGCTGTGGCGAAATTCTCAAAAGAATGTTTGGAGTGTTCATATCAAACGGGTTGTTGTGAGCCATTGTGATTCATAGAGTTGCTGAAGGGTAGAGTTATAGATAGTAAGCGGGGGCTCTAGTGCCGTAGACGCAGCAGCCCCAAGCATGTGTTTGCGCATTCTTCCCCATTGGCTCAAGCTATGGCCGGGGCAATCGGAGGGCGATCTCTTGTTAGTGCGCTCTCCCGGCTTCCGATCTCCCCCTATCAATGTGTCATCGCCGTCCGTGTTCTATCATTAGATATTCTCTCCTCCATTTACTAACCATCTCGCCTTACCCTCTGCTACAGCTCTTGTATGTCTTAGAGCATTTCCCTAGATATAGTAGACTCTCTTCAGAGCATTCACGGCCTTCCCCGTCCATAGCATTCCGAACGAACCAATCAGCCCGGGAGCTTATCTCCAGCCCTATTGCTCGCACGAAGGCACAGAATGGCCATCTTCAGCGCGGTCCCGCCTCCTTCAGACACGCCCTCGCAGGGCGCGACTTCGCAAGCCCTGCCGCATCACGGGCATTCTGCGTCTGGCACAATTGACATCGAGGCATGGACTGTGTCGGCTCTCGAGTCGCTTAGCGTCTCCCCGATCGCGAGGGGCACCGGGACCCCGCTGGCCATCCCCCTCGACGAGCACGGCAACCCGCGCTCCGCCAACGCGACTGCGGCAGGTATCACAGGGGAGCGTCGTGTCACCATCGCCCTTGATGGAGATGCAGCTGCCGTGACGCCTCCTCGTCGGCCCCCCTCTCGCCGCGACTCGATGCGCCGCAGGGAGGCCCTCCTGAAAGGCAAGGAGGGCAGCCGGCAGAGGAGGCGGTGGGATATGGGTAATGAGTGCTCCCCCATAGCCTCAGGATAAGGGGTATAGTTGCAGGGCTATGCTAATGTGATATGCTGCCAGCTCGTCTCTGCGATGTGCCGAACGTCGAGCCCCCGCTGCCCTCCGATTGGGAAGTGCATCCCACCCACGTCGTCCGTCATATTCCGTACCATATTGCGCAGTATTGGGACAAAGGTCTTCAGCAACAGGTTGAGGAGAAGAAGGCGGCGGTGGCTCTGCAACGGAAGAAGCGGGCTGGTGACGCTGGCAAGGTGCCCCGGGACCTGCGCGATAAGGTTAGGCATAAGCCGGGCCTCAAGGGCTGGGTGCGTGTTCTAGAGGAGCCCGTGCGCCAGTTCCTCGTTGAGCGTGGTGTTGGCGAGGAGAGACGCGAGGACGATGATGACAGCCTTGATTCCGAGGATGACCAGATCGTCTTCGTTGGGCGGAATGGGTCTATGCGCGACGGCGGCAAGCGAGACGGCTGGAAGCGGGCGCATCGAGAAGTCCACGAGAAGCCGGTCGACGCCGGCATGGTTTTTGATTCGTTAGAGGATGACGAGAGTGGTGCCTTCAAGTATGTCTCATTTGAAATGATGAAGAAGAGCCTTACTAACTCAGTATCTAGGCGTTGGCTTACCCACTCCATCTCCGACTACTACGGGCTTGATTCGAGATCTATCACGATGGGTAACCCCTCACGCAGAGTTGTCTATATCGGCATCAAGGACGCAGATATCCGGAAACCGCAAGTGCGACCGGAGCTTCCACGACCCTTGTGGGAGCTTTTCTGAATTTGAATTTTGTTGATGGCATAACTGGAGTTGCCAGAGGGAGTCCGTTGTATACTATCTACTCAAGCACCTCAAAGCAATGGTGCATATAGATAAAGTAGAGTTAAGCATCTCAGGGTCCAGATCAGGTCCGAACGCGTTTCATGACCTCAAAAATGTCCTAGTGAGCCTGGCAACGGTAAACCAGTACGGCGTAGGAGATCGCTGTCAGTCATGACCTATAGCTCATTCAGTCCATGAGATATAAGGGAACATACACACTTAGTACCGTGAAACACACACGCAATCCCGCTGGTTGAGGAGTGCCGCTCCGGCACGCATATGCAAGGGCGGGGTCCAACTTAAGGCTGTTGTGTCGGGTTAATGAGAGTCTCGCTCCTTGGATAGACCTAAAACACCATTCTGGGGAATTATTGTCCGCTATCATTGGCCAGCATGAGTACATGCTCACAGATGTGCCAAGGCAGATCGTCATTAAGCATCTGCTATACACCTACCAGAACTGGGGCTCTATAGCCAGTGCCAGAGGTACGGGTCTCATTGGCTAATAGCAGCAAAACTTTCCTATGTAATATACACAAACAACAACATTTGCCCTTGCCTTCCTTCGCCGTTCACGGCAGATATGTCCCACGCCACCGGCTGGCATATCCCTGAAGATGGCCGGCTAGCACGGCTCCGTGCAGGCCGCTAGAAACATCTTGAAAAGCGCTGTCGTCTGGCTATGGGGACTGGTGGAGGATTATCTCCTGTCTTCCGCGGTTCTACTGGATCATTGACATCGTCTTTCGAAATGCTGTGCTATTCTATCTTGATATCTCTCCTCGCAGGGGCGAGGGCCAGTCTCATTGAAAAAAGGTTCAACTTCCAACCGTCAGTTCAAGCTCATCAAATGGACACAAAATACAGACTAATCCACGTTTCAGGATTCGCAATGGTTTCTATCCTCTTGACGTAGTTGATCAGCTGGCAGCGGCCTCTATGCCAAAGGTCGAAGCATGGATGGCCAAGAAGGCAGGGTCAACAAATTGCACGCTTGAAAACGCGGCTGTGCGACGAGAATGGTACGTGTCAAAGATACTTGGTAGAATATAAATAACACCGATCCAGGAGTGATTTATCTGTTCCGGAGCGGGAGGAATACATCAAAGCCGTGCTTTGCTTACAATCCAAACCGGCACGAGCACCGAAAGACCAGGTGCCCGGAGCTCTGAGTCGATATGATGATTTCGTTGCCACACACGCTACACTAGCTATGATGCTGCATGACACAGTAAGATCTCAGACTCCGAGCCCACCAAAGTAGATACGTTTCTAAAGATTTGGACTTCTAAAGACGCATTTGTTTGCAAGCCACAAGTACTTCATATGGGTCTACGAGAAGGCTCTTCGCGAAGAATGTGGTTATACTGGATATCAGCCCGTAAGCCTTCATGGTCAAAACTCAATGGCAAGCATCTGAGAATATAGTATATGAACTACGACCGCTACGCAGCAGATCCCATCCATTCACCTATGTTCAACGGGAACGCATCCAGTATGGGTGGTAATGGTGCGTTTGTAAACTATACGGGAGTGCCTCAGCCGTTCAGAAAACCATATGACCATATACCACCTGCGGATGGCGGTGGGTGTGTAACTGAAGGACCCTTCAAAGAGTGTGTACATAAGCAAATTCCACGAAACGTATGGCCGATGCTAATATTGTATAGCATGATTGTCAGCATCGGACCAAAGGCGGCAATGGTTCCTGGTGTACCGAAGAACCCTCAAGATGATGGGCTCGGCTCAAATCCTCGTTGCCTTCGTCGTGACGTGAATAAATACTCTGCTGCTGGTGCCACGGCCAACTATACTTATTCGTTGATCATGGACAACAAAGACATCGACAGCTTCTACAATCGATATCTTGGACAGCCACCGCTAAAAAATGATCCTCACCCATGGGGCGTAAGTCGTCGAGAATTCCAGTATCTAGATCAAGGTATAATTGACACATGATGTAGCTCCACAATGCAGGGCATTATATGATTGGCGGAGACCCGGGTGGTGTAAGGCCTTTCACACATAACATCCACATAAGTATGGTCTACTGATACAAAATTAGGACTTTTACTGCTCTCCTGGCGACCCAGCATTCTGGTTCCACCATGGCATGCTGGATCGAGTGTGGTGGATCTGGCAAATGCAAGATCCTGAGAATCGTGTCAACCTCATACCAGGAGGAGCCGCGATGAACATGACTCATGGCAAGCGTGGCATGGAGGACGTGATTGTCGATCTTGGCTGGACAGCACCTCCCGTGAAGTTGGTAGACTTGAATGACCAGCTTGGTGGTAATGGTGGTCAATTTTGCTACTATTATGTATAGTTCACGGTTACAACACTCCAATCGGAATGTTAACAATTCTCTGGATAAAAGCCATTCCCTGGAAATAACATCAGCCCTCAAACATTCTGTTCATCACAGCTATCAACAATATCCATGTTGTATCGCCGGCCTGACATGATAACGTATAATGTCAAGCCAGATCACTGCTTTTTATGTTGGGAATAGATGAAGTTTGCAGCTGAAGATGTATTAGTCATGCAACAATGCGGCGGAGATTTGCAACATACCAACTGGAATTAGTCCATTGTCACTGGCCCAGTCTCTCACACCGTGTCTCTCCTTCCCCGTGCCCCAGTGCTGGCGATCGTCCGGTTTCGTAAGATTCAGAGAGTCGGTGGTTCCATTTGCCGGTACAAATACGAGAAATGCATATCGATGCTTACCCGTCTTCTTGGGCGGTCCAGGGGGCTTGTATGGAATGATATCTTCTGTGCTTGTGAGAGTACTCAGCTCGCAATTGCTCGAGGAAGCTGCAACGCCCGTCAGGATCCAGTGGCACATCTCCGACCACTCTGGGTTGTCTCGGGATGGCGCATCTGGGTCTGTCAAGGTAATTGTGTAGGTCACATTTGAACTAAACGCTCCTGACACAGACTCAGGGGCCGACTTGAAAGAAATGCTTGGTGCATCTTGTAGCTTCTTCGGTTTCAGAGTGTTGCCCAGATCAGCGTACTCATTTGATGACCATTTGACGTCGAGCAGGAATGAGGGGAGGAATTCGTCAATGACTGTGGAAATCAATCAATTAGCGATTCCAGTAAGCTAGAAGCAAGGACACAAACCAGTGGGAATAATCTCGGCTTTCTTCAACCTGTCCGCTGGATTAGCCACGTGAAGCAGCAGATAGTACATCTAGAGCATGAATTCTCTTACTCGTGCCGCACTTTATAGACTCCTCCTTCAGGATCAATTGGGCTCAGCACCTCCTGGGCTTGTCGGAAGAGGTCCCAGCTCAGCCCTAGCTTGAGTGCTGATGCTGTGCTGGCCAGAAGAAGGCAAATCGCTAATCTCGTCATGGCCCGCACTTCGGTGTTGTAGACTGCAGTGATCACGCTGTTATGAGTGTGTGCTGGATTGGATCAAGTATTTTCCACCGCTAAATTAATTTGGCTTGATTCATAACATGAGCTGAGAGACGTGGTCTCGTACAGGTGTTTACAAGAGTTTGTTTTGAGGTGAGGTTTGCGGAAGCGAGGGTCGCCCCGCGCCGTTGGTGATGTCATTCCGTCGTATGCGAATATGGTCACACATCGACAACCCGAAGCTATCTACTGAACGCTCGAAATTCAATACTGTATTACTTTCCACTAACGAAATGAGTCAATATACTTGGGTTTATATTGGGGTCGAGCGAGTTCAATCCAGTCCAGGTCAAGTTCTGGTGTAGCTTGCGGGTTATAAGAGTTCACCTAACTCGAAAGAAACCAATACTTAGCATTCATCCAAAATCTTCAATAATGAATTGCATGATAAAATCAGCTGGAGACACGAATGATTCCAACAATTAAGGCAAACTTGACGACGGTAAATCATGGCTTACGCAGCAGTTGAGTATTAATTAGGAAGAGATGCGCTTCCCACATCACCGCAAGGCATACTAGGTTCTCATTGACTTCAAGTTTGAGCAAGACACACATGCAAGTCGTCGGGAAAAAAGATGCTTGTCATCATAAAAAAACCGCTGTCAAGTTTCCTCTGCGCCTTGTCATAGCCGATTGCGGCTCGTGTGTATTTACACCGTAGCAGACTTGTTGGTACACAAGACCGAAAAGACTCTTTAAACCTTTCGTCATTCAACTACCCCAATCACAGAAGGTACCATTCATCATATACCAAGAAAATGTCATGTCTTCAAACCACATGTTGTTATGTGTATCTAAGACTTTATAGCCTGACACCAAACCCATCTCGTCATTGTATCGAGATATGGAGAGAAGAAAAAAGAGAAGCCCTTGAACCGCTACACCGCTGAAAACACCCCTGCCCAAGATGGCATGACTTACACGCCCAGAGCACTGTTGAAGGCATCAGCTGCAGCCTGGCCCTGCTGGGCCTGAGCCGCAGTCGAAGCAGCTTGGCAGTCAGCGACAGTGGCGTCAGACGCGTCGCACTTGGAGGCGAGCTGGCCGCAGATGAAGTCGGAGATGACCTTGATGTTCAGGGCAGAGCCGTGAGTGAAGGTAGCCTCGTCAACAGGGGCGAAAGATGCCTCCTTGCGGCCGTCAAGGTTATCGGCGAACTTGATGGCCGGGTTGGCGCAGCTGCCGAAGTCGACGTTCTGGCGGATGCGGAACTTGCGGAGCGCGCGCTTGGCGACACCGCTGGCGGCACGGCATGCCTGCTCCTGGGCGTTGCAGTCGCCGACAGAGGCGTCGATCTGGCCGGAGTTGGCGGCGTTGGAGCAGGCGTTGTTCTGGACGGCGCAGGCACGCTGGATGGCGGCGCCTACATTGACGAAGGTAGAGCCCTCGACGGAGAAAGGACGGTCACCCGCGCTGCTGACGACGGGGACGGGGGCGGAGCCCAGGTTACCAGTAAAAGCATTCACATTGGTGCCAGTCGCAGCCTCAGCATTGTCCGCGGATGCGGCGCTGCTGGACGCGGGCTGGGCTACAGCACAACCTTGCCAGTCAGTATTTGTCGAGACACGACGCCAGCGTTAACACGACGCTTTGGGGGAAAGCCTACCAGTAGCATTGGAGGCAGCATTGCCAGCGGCAACACCAGTGCTGACACCAGCGACGGCGGCAGCAATCTCGTCTTCGGTGACATCGGGAACCAGGAGGTTCTGGCTAATGATGCAGCCAACAGCATCATCGGGATCATCGCAAGTATTACCAGCAGCAGTCGCGTCGTTCAGCTATATCAGGTCAGTATGAGGATCGTAATTACGGGGAATTGTCATGGATGACATACATCGCCAGGCGCGAAGGTACCGCTCTGGATGGCGAGGTTGGGATCAGCACCGATAGAAGCGAGTTGCACGGCCACTGCGAGAGCGATGTCCTTGTTGCCAGAGGCGGAGGCGGAGGCAGGGTCTTGGTGCTGGGTAATAGCAGCAATCTCGGCGTTGACGGCAGTCTCGTTGCAGAGAACGGACTCCAGACCGACCTTGCCAGTGTTTCGCTCAAGAGCACGGAAGAGGATGGCGTTGGCTTGAGCAGTGATATCACCAGCAGCCTTGGCATTGGTGAAAGCCTGGTCAGCAACGATCTGCTGGAGGCAATCGAGGTTGTCAACATTCGGGGCACCGGTAGCAGCGGCAGCATTGCCGAGCAGTGCAAAGACGGCGTCTTGGATCTCAAGAGGATTGTCCAACTGAAGAGCAGTGTTGACGGCGCGGAGGATAGCCTCATGGGAGTGCTCCTGAGGAACCTCACGCTTGGTGAATCTACCGGTGAACAGGGGCAGCTCACGAGCGGCAGTTAGGCCCGCAAGGGCGAGGATAGTAGCTTCGAACTTCATGGCGTCGTTAGATTCGTAGCGAACAGTGGTATCAAAAAGTGCAACGGATCGAACGGTCGAGAAACGAGGGCCGGCCTGGTGTTGAATGAAGTAAATACAGCAGAAAAAGAGTGTAGCGAAATGAAGTTCCCAGAACTGAAGAAACAAAGAAAGAGAGTGGAAGTTGAAGACAAGTTAAAGAGTGTGAAGACAAAAAGGGAGAAGAAACACCGTCACCCGGGAAGGAAGAGAAGCATTATATACGGTCTGGGCTGGGCAGCAGGCGGGAAGTCGACGATGGAGATCGTACTCGAGCCTTTCGTCTCATACTTTCTGAGCATGGATCCTTGACCCTTCGCCTAGCACCTTGTCTGCAGATCATGATGGGCAGGTCAGGGACGCCAGGCGATGCCAGGCCGCTCCAACCGCTGCCCTGTCATGAGCGCCACCGGCTGCATTGCACTCCGGGACAACCTACCTCATCAAGGGTTATGATCAAATGCTGGACAGGGATGCAAGATGGAATCTGCCATTGTGCGGGGACCGTTTGGGCTGCCAGGGGTGCGACAGAGCCTTGTCCTGGCCTGCGATGTTGCAGCCAGGGATTGGTCGTGACGAGAGACCGGGCCAACCTAGACCACTCTGCGTACAATTGCATGCCAATTGCTGAGCGTCCGGAATCGAGAGCCGACGGCTGTCAAGCGAAAAGGATCCAGCGCTGAGAGACCTGACCAGCCTCACGTCCAGAACGAGGCAAGCTTGGCATCGTGCGACGTGCTAGCTTGCCGAGCGCTAGGAGCTTGTTTCTTCAGGGCCATGATACGAATACTGGTAGTAGCTGCTCATGTCCAGAGCCTCGGTAAAACCAAATGCAATTTTCTCAAGCATTGATCTAGCACACGAAGAGAGGAGTGGTTGATTGATTCAAAATCTACCGCCTGTTTGCTTCCTCATAGGCATAGAGGGCATGAGTAGCGGTCAGCAGCAGAGACACAGAGACTCGTCCATGATGTGTGTGTATGGTGCATCTGGTGCATCTGGGAGACGATGGAGGTGCGGCTCCTTTCTCCCAGACAGTCAGACAGCCAGACGGGCCACGAGATGACTACGCCGTAAATGTTATGGAGAAGCTGAGCGATGAGACCTCGCTGTTGTTAGAGGATGTAGAGTTCTGACAGATGATCGGACGCCTCACGTCTCAGGTCGCCGGAGCCGCACGCGAAAGGCGGTACTACGCGAGCCTTGGCACACAGGGGTCCCGCTCCTTGACAAACTTGTAACACTACACCAGCAACTCCTTCCAATCCGCCCTCTAGACAACCACAGGAAAAGTACCTGTACCGCAATCGGGCATTTCTTCAGACGACGAGCGTCGCCGCTTCACCGTACCTATGCCTTTGCTAATGCCTATCCCTCGACAACACAGTCATGGAAGCTTCTGAAGCGCGCGCAATGCTCCGTGACAGGCTGGTCTATCGGCTCCTTCTGGTATAATCTGCTCGTTCTCTGCCAATCCGGCCCAGGGCCCGATCCCTGCACCCTTGGGGTTGAGACTGTTCAGACGGTAACCCTCGAGGGTATTTCGGGTCATTGCGAGTCGAGGGCAGACGAGATGAAAGGGCAACCGGTACGAGGCATGTCTTGCCGCCTCTCGCCTTTAGCCAAGTATCATCGACGAGCAGCATTGCTCATCCCAACAAAGTCCCTACCAACGGCCAGGTACGAAACTGGCAACACGTGTCGGACCGTTTGAATTTGGCCAGATACGCGCCCCGCAAGATCTTGCTCTCGTCTGCTCGTCGGATGATTCGAGTCTGAGAAGTTTGGACGAACGCTACAATCGAACGGCTATCCCTACCATTTTCCATGTGCAGTGAAATCTCCAACTGATCTTGTTCAATTCAATGTTCCAGGTGAGGGTCGGTGCTCTAAAAGATTTACAGCAATGAGTGGATGATCGAAACAGTAGCCCCTTCGCGTCCAAGAAGATGAAGTGCGTGGTAACAGCCCAGATCACCATCAGCAGAGTGCATACTCGTTGCCTTGGTAAGTTACGACAAAGCCTGTCTGGAATAGGGCACTACCGAGTTGATCACTATCGAGTGCTCGGTGAGGTCATTGTCCTTGGTAGATGGGATGAGCGAAACATACAACTTGATCCAAGCAGGGGAAACTACGCAATGCAATTCTGTGATTTCATTGGGGCAAATCGCCTGTCGTCTTTTCTGTCAACACCGTCATGGCATAGGATGTCCGAGCTTATGCCATACCGGCGCGCATGAAGGAGCAGCCACACGCGGGGAGAGGGTGAAATGTCACATCAGCACGGCTCCTTCTCGGCAGACACACATCCTGTCAAGCATGATCGACGGGTCGTGGCCTTGGCCCACCCATGATCCCATCAGAGGAAGTACAATACGATGGCATATAAGATGGCCCAGCCTGCGATCGCAATGTGGTCAGTGTCGTGTCGCATCCAGAAAATCATCGAATTTGTGGTAGATATGGTTTCGGATCATTTATCCATCATTATCCGAGCCGGCACTGCGCCCTTGGCACCCGTTTGACACAGATTGCCCATTCGCGTCCCATGAGATTGTGCTGTACGGTTGGAATGAATCATATGCTGCTTTAAGCTTATCACGAGAATCGCTCGCCATTTTACCTGGATCAGAGGGCCAAGGATTCACCATCGTCGCTCATCTTGGCTTGTGCACCTTTTCTTCAGTGAGGCAAACAAGAAACACGATCGCCAACACAGAGGAGTCACAGGAGCAGAGGAGGAAGCGGCTAGTCAGGAAAATGATTTTGTCGATTTTCAATGCTTGGGATGTTTGTACAATGGCATTGCCGAGGGCATGTCTAGAGAAAACCCAGCCCAAATCTCTCCTCCACCCAATGACATCTATAGGGGACCACCCAGCTGCCCAAAGACAGACAACTATTAGTCTTACTGTATTCGTACACCATCAGCTCCTTAACCAATGACAAGCTTCCCGTCCTCGGGGAAGTCGTATGCCGGAATCTCGAGGTTGAGAGGGGCAGGTCCCTTCCTTATACGTCCTGAGATGTCGTAGTGAGAACCGTGGCAGGGGCAGAACCATCCTCCAAAATCGCCAGCCTCGCCGATGGGGACACAACCCAGATGTGTGCAGACACCCAACATGACCAGCCACTCGGGCTTCTGAACACGGTCCTCGTCCGCCTGGGGATCTCTTAGTGACTGGATGTTGACCTTGTTCGCCTCGTCGATCTCGCCCTGAGTTCGGTGTCGGATGAAGACGGGCTTGCCTCGCCATTTGATGATAACCTATAATGGCACTGTGTCAGAGTTGACCATGCTTCGACTATTTGCATGCGCTACATGGTGCGGAGTAGACTCACGTTCTTGCCCTCGGGGATAGCAGCGAGATCGACCTCAACCTTGGCCATGGCCAAAATATCAGCTGATGCCGACATGTTCTTCAGGAATTCTGTTCAGCCAATGTCAGCCATCTGCAATTCGTTTCAATTTGCCTTGCCCCTTGTTCATCTAAGCCGCGTATAGGTATCTTTGACGCTCTCTCGTCTTTCTCTCGATAATTTCCCCAATCCTTCCGATTCCACCGTCGTGTTCCGAGGTTCTCACTCACCCTGAATCGTCGACTTGGCACCAGCAGCAGTGATTGCGCCCAAGGTTCCGACCATGAAGTACTGGAACATCAGGTTCGTGTTGCCGCTGCTCTTGGCCATGTAGTGGCCGAAGTTGGGGACCTTTGAGGCCTTGCTCTCGCCCTTGAACGGGCTCTCATAGCTGGCAGAGGCGTCATTGCGGGCCGGTGTCGTGCTGAGGGCGCGGACGGGCAGCGTAGGCTTGCAGCATCGCGGGACGGAGCGCACAAACGTGCGGGAAGCGTTTGTGAGTGGCGCCATAGCGTGTTGCGGTTTCAATTGGGAGGAGGGGAGAGCTCGTGAGCAGGAATGACCTGAGGTCTTTTTCTGAGCTTGCTTGGATCTGAAGGTGTTGATGTTTCCGAGCTAAAACTTTTGCTTGCCTCAGGCGACAATTGACAGATCGAAATTGGCTGCTCCTCATTGGCTCAATTGTGCTGAAGCCCGGCACGTGATGCCCCGACAACTTCCGAGGGCCATCACCAGGATCTTAGTCCCTTTGCACCGAACACCTCACAGAAAGATTCATTGCATCTTGACTTTTGTACAATTATTTTTAGGTTCCCATTTATGTGACATCACTACGCGCTTGGCTTAGGGCATTCTACTGTATCCACGCCTAAAGTGGTTCGTATCTGCAGGTATGATCAAGACACACTGCACAGTAAGGAAGACTCTCTTCAAAGGCGGCGGTAGGCGGTAGTTTGTGAGGTGCAATTCCTCCGGATGAGATGCATAAGATCGCGCTCCTAATGCATCCTCTTGAGCTCCTCCACAATGTTTCGCATATTCTCGACACTTGGCCCCAGGCCCCGACATATCTCTTCCTGGATCTCCTCATCCACGTCTAGAAATCTCTCAAGTAATTCCCCATCTAGGAATCGAAATGGGCCATCGCCTTCTCGTTCCGCGTTTCTAAATGCTCTGTAAGACTTGAAGTCTATGTTGCCCGGTGTCTTCACCATTGTAGTTAGCTTCGCCTGGAACCGCATGAGCAGGTCCTGTGCCTGCGGCGCGATAGTTCCAAACATGTAGATTGCGCCCTCGACCTAATAAGAATCGTGTTAGTTGCCGTTTTTAGTAGGACGCCATGATGTACGACTTACCGTGCCCAGGAATGCCTTTGGTATGATCATGGCATCCGGACTTGTCTCGACAGCGATCTTGCGAATTCTATTTACCATCTCGCCGAGGTTGATCTCGCTCGTTATCTCCATCCGTCTCTGATCCTCCATGGTCACACCGGTGGGATTCCTTCGCAGTACCATCAGGTTACCCTGCGCATCCGCTTCCAGCCATGAGTTTTCTTCAATATGAGATACTGCTGTGGCCCATCCAGACTGGTAATGACGTGCACACTCGATTAATTGCGGCTCCATACCATCTTTAGCTGGTACCAACTCTACCAACGAGAGCGACTTCATCAGGTCGGCAACGGCTATTATATTGCCTTCGACAGCTAGATCTATAGGGTAGGTGGAAGGACGGTATGAGGCAACCCTTGTCAGTGTCGCCGAGGTCGTGGACTGCTCAGCATACTTGCTCACGACGACCGTCTTCGTTAGCGCCGCAACGATCATGTCGTCCATTACCGCCAGAGACCTACACGCTCCCTTCAAGTTGTGGCTCATGATCTGATAAGGGCTCCTATCGCTGTCCACGCCAAGAACTAGAAGTCGTCCGCGGAATTCAGACTGCTGTGAGGCAATCTCGCCATCTTCAATGAAGCTTGTACCAACAAGGAATCGTTCCGCGGGATTGCCATAAGCATCCGAGAGTGTTGCTCGAATGACACACTCTATCAATTCTGTTGCTGGGGCAGTGTTTAAAATGAATGGTTTGCCAAGGTTGTCAAATATGACCTCGTCAACCAACTTGAATGAGCTTGAGATCACCTCCTCGCCATGGACAAGTTCTTTCTTGATACATCCGAGACCAAAGACTTGTTCCTTGGGAGAATAGGCGATGCGGCGAATTGTCTCACCCATCTCTAGAGACCGAACATGAGTGCGCCTCTCTGTATCGATCTGAGAAATCTTTATTTGGGACTCTGTCGCTACAGCGATCGAGCCGGGAAAAGCCTCTGTATCGAAGGGGCAGATACAAGTTGCATCTTCAGCGGTGACCGCAGAGTACACAATTCTTCCTTCCGAACCATAGATCAAGCTAGGGTGCTCCGTAGTCGCAAAAATATTGGACGTCCCATCTGCGAGTGGGAGGAGGTGGAATCTTGCTTGTCTCGTACCAAGGACGACGCTCTTGCGACCAGACAAGGTGACGTCCGTAGTCGAGAAGTTATAGGTGATCACATTGCCATCCTCCATAGCGACAAACAACGTTGGACCACCGACTGCGGGTGGCAATACCTGGGTCAAAACTATGTCTCGTGGTATTGAGGCATTGTCATCTGTTCGTCGCAACGGCTCACCCCTGTGGGGATGTAAAGTAGCTAAGTCGACGATTGACAAGGAACCGGACGTCCAGAAGCCTATGACGCCGATGTCGAGGAGATCTGGTGCAACGTGAATGCAAGCAACCTGGTCGTTTTCAGCAACATCGTTCTGTCCTGAGACCAAAAGGTCTTTCTCAATGTTCAGGGAGATGAGTGATTTGCCATCTACAGACACAAGCAGCCAACGCGTATTGGCTGAAGCGTTAGTGATCTCCGAACCATCTGGTGGCGACCACGTAGCTATTGTGACGCCGCTGTCAGCATCTATAAGCGTAGCAGCTGCTGTCGTTACTTGAAGCAGCTTTCCACTCGGCAGATTTCTTGCAAGTAGAGTTTGAAAGCCTAATGCAAGACCTTGATATGCCTCCACTTCCTCAATGTCGCCCGTAGCATCGAATCGAAATACTCTTGTCTCCGTCAAAAAAGATGCGAGGAGGGTATCAATCTTTTGTGCACCGTACGACCGAAGAGAAAACAAACCCCTGACGCCTTTGAGATCCGCGAGAATGCCAATGTCTCCTAGACCAACGCCGCTGCGAACACTTCGCAGGCTACCATCCTTGTAAGCTCCGCTGCCAGTGACGATCCGGGCTTGACCAGAAGAATACTCGTTGCCCAGTTGGCTATCGCCTTCTCGGTTGCCCATATCCATAACAGTGAAGTCGAGAACAGGTCCAATGTTCGGCAGTGTCTGAAGTAAATGGAGAAATTGAGCTGCATCTTCGGAGAAGTCGGTACGGTAGAGCTGTGAATCTCCGTAGTGCGATGCAACGAACAATATGTTGTCGCCAAGGTAGACAAGAGAGCTTGCTCTCGCAGTTTTGCCTATGTAGGTCACCTGCATGCCAGTCACAGCGGACCCGTCCGTGTTGATAGTGAGCAGGTGCAATCTTCCATAGTCATCTGCCAAGAAGTAATTCCGTTCGTCATATTCCGCCCACGCCACAAATATTGACGCCTCCTTCAGCGGCGCTTCAACCTGGACCTTCGTCACTTGATCTATATAGAGCAAGCGTGTCTCCCCAACGACGAGCAGGCCCCCGAGGTGCGCTCTAGCAGTAGCCACATTGCGGAAATTATGCCGTTTTTGCTCCTCGCTGACCCTTCTCACAGGTATCAAGATTGCAGCTCCAGGATCAGGTACGTCTATAGATATTTCCCTATCTCTAGTAGGGTCAAATTTCGATGCCGAATTATCCGCGTCGTTTCCAGTAAGCTGATACGTGGCCAGCTTCGAGTCGGGATTGTCGGTACGAGTTTGGTAGAGGAAGGCGAGCTTGGGGTGAGTTTCGGAGGGGAGAAATGTGCTGGCTTTGATGAATAGCTCTGAGAGTCTGACCTGCTCCATCCACTGCAGGTTCAGGGTCGTACCCTTTCTTGAGAGGAGCCGCAGGACTGTCAAGACGCCTTCCCAAAGATGGAGTGCCATGAACCGCCCTGTGGGGTCCACTAGGCATTTGTCCTGGCTCTGTGAATCACGCATATGCTTCTCCCCCATGTCCTCAAAAGTTTGGACAGTGTCCAATTGGCTTGTCTGGGGGTTCCACGAGAGTGTGAAGTACTGAAATCGGTCGGTGCCAACGAAGAGGAGATCGGTCGACGAGTCTTTCGGTCGCAGCTTCTGGAGCATGGAGATTGTGCCATGGACGACTTTCGAGTGAACCATGACCAGGTGGTCCTCTGCGAGACGCCATATTTCTATGCGGTTGGCCTTGCTATTTGCATCGTCAGCACTGTCTAGCAGCAGCCAGCTTCACAGGTCTGCTAGGGCTGCTCTTACGCCAGGACCAAGCTGTCCTCGTCTTCTGACAGAAGCTTGAGTTGCAGCGCATGGCGGACGCTGCTCGGCCGGTGAATAGGTGCGATGTAGGCCATAGTCGTGTTCTCGGCCCGGTATCAAGAGTGCCACGACGACAGGTCATCACATTTGTCAAGGGAGATCCCACTACAGTCGGTAAAGCGGTGCTAGGCTTCGATGGATGATGCACATCACGGAGATAAGATATTTGCGGGGCAGCTCTTAACTACTGTAGAGCTTAGGTGACGCGCAAAAACGCGGGACAAACGCCACCTTCTTCAAAGCGCGCCCTTTTTTAATTGACATCCAATGGATCTCAAGCTTCAAACAATCCATGGCTATGAACATCTTCCACAGAAAGCAAATTAGTTAGAGAGCCTTTCAGGAATATCTTCCTCGTCCTACGAGGAGCCCTCAAAATTGAGCACGTTCTGACAGAAGAGACCATCCATCACACGTTCTCCTGGCCTTCTTGATAGTAAAGCTACTTGCTGTTAAATCGTTTTTTCTTTTCAATGACGTCCACCTAATTGCAGTGACCTCATCTCTTTGACGAACGTCTTCGCCTCCGTCGCCCTAACATTGACAATTCGAAGTCGAATTGATACTTACGGTGACAGAAAGGCGCAACAGTTGATATAGTGCATGCTACTTTGTAATTCCGCTCTACTAACAGAAGAGTTCAGGTACAATTGCGCTTACGAAATCTCGGCAATAATACCGGGTTGCAATTCTTAACCGGCAAAGCTTCACAACATGCAGCTATAATTCACCTACACGGAGAGGACCGGATAAGCCGCAAACGATACTTTCCATCTTGACATGTTGAGACTGCTAATGTAATTGCCGGTATCGTACCTGCTTACTGAGTCCTCGAAAGAAAGAATAAGGTATCCCGAAATCAAACCTACAATGTGTTTAGCTCCTCCCCTGCACCAAACTTTGCACCAAGTACCATATTCGGCATCCAAGGCGACGAAGACATGTGGGGACGTCATGTAGCGCGCGCGCCCTCAGGAGACTATGCATCGTTGTCCTTGTATGGCAGTAAGGCGCGCACGCTTACACGTCTTTTCCACTATGGGCAGGGCGTGCTATTTTTTTAAGTAAAAGATTCGGCTCTCGCTCTCTGATGGCACCAGCAGTCTCTCGACTGTTATGCTCTCATCATTCTCTTCCTCATACTATTCTTTTGAATTTTGACACTTGAACCCTTGGGCCTTCGACCTTTATTCAAGTGGTAGTAGATCATCGTCAAAATGCATGAAGCAGCTCCAGGAAAAGATCAACTTGTGGAAGATGCCGTGGGTCGTTTTGGTCTATCAAGTAGGGGAGCCTACAACTACATCCACAATGACCATTGGGGTGCTATTGAGAAGGCACTGAGCAATCCATGGGCTCCAGAAAATCCAGAGGGACTGTGAGTCTCAGCAACTCAAGATGATGATGAAAATGCTGATCGGCTTGAAGAATCATTCTCGGGGTGGCGGAGAACGCTATGATGCATGAGATGATTAAAGATTATATCCTGAACCATGTGCGAACTCATCAATGTAATACTCTGCATTACAGGACGTGTCTTTGACAGCTCTTTTAGTTGACAGTTGACCCAATTACTCATCTAACTTACGGCAAAGGCCCAAGAGGAAGCAAGCGCTTGCGAGAAAGTCTAGCTTCGTTCTGCAACCATAGTTTCAGGGCCCACAAAGAGGTGACGTCTGACGAAGTCATCGTCCTTTCAGGAGTAGGGAGCACAGTTGACAGCATGGTCTGGGCTATTTGCAATGAAGGCGAGGGGCTCTTAATTCCTCAGCCGCTATACACGGGTGTGTTGTGTCCGCTATCGCTTATGCATCGATTTAATCAGTTTTAGGATTTCAATTTGACATTCCTGGTAGAAGCCGTGGCAAGATTGTACCAGTTAGCTTCCAGGAGATTGAAAGCTATACAGGATTTGACGACATTTTTGATCCTGATTTCAACAAGAAGGCTTTCGAAAATGCCCTTGAGAAGGCGAGATCAGAAGGTATTGTTGTTAAAGCAGTGATTCTCACACAGTAAGCCAGACCCATGTTTCTAAAAGTTTGGAGTTATTCTAATGATTTATATCAAAGTCCACACAATCCTCTAGGAAGACCATATGTTAGTTATATACGTACGATCAAGAAGAGGCACTGATCATGATACCAACAGCCTGTCGAAACACTGAAAGAGATTGCAACATTCTGTGGCAAGAATCATTTGCATCTTATTTCAGATGAGATCTACGCCCACAGCGTCTTCGGTCAAGGAACCGCTTTCACATCTATCTTGGCGCTTGACCTCGAAGACCGCATAGCCTCCGATCTCGTTCACATTACTTATGGAGCAAGCAAGGTAATCTCTCCCTTTATGATCCCAGATGGCTTCGAGATACTTATGCGTTTGTGTTAGGATTTCTGCGCCAATGGACTGAGACTTGGCGCGATGATATCAAGAAACAAAGGTCTCCTAGGCGCGATTTCAAGCAATAGGTACCCGCATACTCAACAATCGTGCATTTCTGTTACTGACCGTATCGCAGTGTGTTCGCCTGGCCGTCACATATCATTCAGGATATTTGGGCCAGCATGATTGACGATGTCGAATGGCGCGATGACTTCTTCGCTGAAAACCACAAGCTCATGAGAGAGAACTTTAATCTTGCTGCTCAATTCTTTGAGGAGCATGGAATGCCTATCTACCAAGGATCGTGAGTTTAGTTAACTCGTCCTTCATGCTCCTGGCCTTTTGCTTACTGGTCCTCACAGAAATGCTGCTGTGTATATGTGGGTAGACATGAGGAAGTATATGGTAGCCAAAGGAGAGGAAGATCTCGCCAAAGACCAGACAGCGTTCCGTGTTACTCCAACACACCCGCAGCCATTATATAAGGAACGCGAAGCGAAGATCATAGCCACTTGTTTCAAGAATGGTGTGATGATAGGCCACGGGTCAAACTTCTTTACTGAAGAGCTTGGATGGTTTCGTGTTACCTTCACTGTTCCCAAGGAAGCTTTGACCGAGGGTCTGGGTCGTCTGTTGAAGTCCTTGGAAGAAGTTCAATTGAGCTGGAAGTAGTCTTGGTTTTGATCAGAATGTTTGGACAGCTTGAGGCAATCTATTTGGTTCGCGATCATCTCAATGTTCTGTGAGATCGTCGTTTCGTCCTGTAAAATTCAGGTGTCGAGAATGTTCACAGTAGATTGGTGAGATCACAAGTCCCAAGATCAATTCTAATTTCATGGATGAATCGGTCCTCTCGACAGGTCACGCCATGGTGGTGCTACTTTCGAGCCTACGCTAACAATTTAGCTCTTCACACAGCATGGTAGGTCATGATAGATGTTCAAGTGCACTTATCACCGGAAACCCCATTGATCAAAAGAATGGTCGTAATTGGCTAATCAAACATGCACATCCCTCACCGAGCCTAGAAGCTCAACTTGGGCCGAACGCCGTTTTGAACTTCCCAAGCGCTTAACAAAACACAACAGGCCCAGTCAGTTACGCGCCAAGCGCCTTGACGACCTCCTCGCCAACCTTGTGCGCCGACGCCGGGTTCTGGCCGGTGATGACCTTGCCCGCGACGACGACCTTCTCGCCCCACTGCTCGGCCGCCTTGACGAACTTGCCGCCGCTGACCTCGTTGAGCTTCGTCTCGAGCAGGAACGGCATGTACTCGCTGAGCTTCATCGTGTCCTCCTCGGCGTTGCTGAAGCCCGTGACCTCCTTGCCCTGCAGCAGGTGGCTGCCGTCCGGCAGCGTGACGTTGACAAAGGCCGCCGGGCCGTGGCACACGGCGGCCACGACCTTGCCCTTGGACGCGAACTCGGCGATCACCTTGCGCGACGTCTCGTCCGTGGCGAGGTCGAACATGGGGCCGTGGCCGCCCGGCACGAACAGCGCGTCGAACTCGTCGGCGCGGCCCACGTAGGCGGACAGCTTGTCGGTGTTCTCCCACAGGGCGGTCTGGTTGGCCAGGAAGTTCTGCGAAGACGGGTCCTCCTTGAACATCTCGACCGAGGCCGGGTCGAGGGGCGCCTTGCCGCCTGCGGGCGAGGCGAACTTGAGCTGGTAGCCGTTCTTGACGAAGACATCGTAGGGGTGGGCGAGCTCAGGCTGCGGGCAGCAGTGTTAGTCTTGGCTTCCGCCATACTGAGGGCGTAGCATGTCAACTTACGAGGAACCAGCCAGTAGGCTTGTCGAGAGAGCCAAGCTTGTCATGGCTAGTGAGGACGATCAAGACCTTCTTTGGTGCCGCCATTGTAAAGGTTTTAAGCTGTTTGTTGGGGTTCTGAAACGTGGAATCGTGTGTAACTGAAGTATCGAGGGCAGATCAAGTCTGAGAGGTGATCATAAGCTGCTGATGTCATTTGAGGGATTGATTGATGTTAACTGAGACATCTTCACGAGGACCAGCTTCCATTATATACTTTCTTCTGCCGCGCCGAGGCATAGCTCTGGGCGGTGGCCAAAGGGCTCCTCAAACTCACCGAGGAGCTCCCGCAGTGGGAACCTACCACCGCCCCACCGCTAAATGAGGGGTCTTGTATTTCTTGGTTACGTCAAGATACGATGCAACACCCTGACAAAAGGCAGTGGCACCGACTCCTGACTGACTCTCTCAACTCCCCTTTGACGCTGCATTCTGACCCTGCATGGGGTTTTGTTCCGCAAAGAGCAATACACAGTCGGAGGAACCACGCTCCATTGCTTGGGTAATCAGCATTTTTATACTCAACAATGACTTCACTTGCTCGTTCTGGGCAAGTGAAAGCAAGCAATAGCGATTCCTACCAGCGCCGGAAATCAACCATATTCGCTCAAGTGCCGTAGATGTGCCGCATTTACCATGCAAACCAAACATGCAAGATCTTATGCAAGTTTCAGTGCTTACCTAGCTTACCTGTACCTAGGTAGGGCAGCAGTCGGTCGGGTACACTATCAGTATCATTTGCACCCGGAGAGACGGTGCGTCCTTGGAAGTCCGGCGGCAGGCGGGAAAACTGCCGAGTAATGGGATCTTGGATAGTGGATCTCGAAACCCACTCTTATCCGCACGACAGCCCATCATTCAACTCATAACGCTTAACTTTTCACAGCGGGGACGGGACGCTTAGAAGCTTGAAGAATTTCACATGGGGCGTGTTTTAACTGCTACATAGTGTAGTAGGATACTGCTTTGCTTTGTCATCTTTATCAGATCTTTTCTTATCCCCGGACTGGACCCCATCCGTGTTTCCAAGGGTTGCGCTATGTATGTATATGTGATGGACGTGATTATCCCATGATCTGACAAGTCGTCCGCCTGCCCGCCTCCACCTCTTGGGAGGCTGGCTGGAACCGAATGTTTCCCCATTGAACCCATCTTCTAAACGCCGAAACTCCCCCCAGAAGCCAAATACACCCCTTTATTCCCTAACCCCTATCGCCTGCTGTTCTGACTCGCAGCCGCCATGTTTCCAAGTGTCCATTACCAAGCAGGACAATCTCGGGGGATATCGTGAGTAAAATCAAGAAGAACAAAAAACAAGCCAGAGCCGCTCTCGCTCAGATATATACAAGAAATGCAAAGAAACGGGAGTTCCCGCTTCGGATCAGGTCAGTGAAGATGTCGTCGTGGGCTGCTCAGATCACATCCACATCATGTTCCTCGACTGCCGTCTGTTCTGCTGCCACAGCGGCCGCATCCCATCGCCGCTGGGCTCGCGGTCGCCGCTACCGTAACCGTTGCCGCCGAGCCCGTGGCCATTGACGTTGCCGCTGCTGCCACTCCCACTCCCGCTCCCGCTGCCGCTCCCGCTCCCGCTGCCCGACAGGTCGCTCTCGTCCTCCTCGCCGATGCGGCTCAGCGCGTCGTTGAAGCCGCGCGAGAAGTCCTCGATCTCCGGGCTGCTGTGCCGCAGCGGAACCTGGTCCGGGTCCATGCGCGGCGCGTTGTACGCGCCGTACGCGCCGGCCGCCGCATCGGGATGGGCCCCGGCGCCCGCGTAGGCGGCCGGGTTCTGCCCCGGGTAGCGGTAGGTGCCCATCGGCGGGAGGTTGCGCGCGGGCCCGCCGGATGAGATCTCGGTGGTCGTCCCGCTGGGTGCGTGGTGGTGGGCGGGCACGCGCTCCCAGCTCGGGGGCAGGCCGCCCGTCTCGTACTGCTCCTGGCTGCCGTACACGGGCGCGAAGCCCGCGCCGCCCGACATGGGGCTGATGTACTGCGTGTTGCCCCTGCCCGCTGGGCCGGGGCCCTTGCGCGTGTTGCCGCGCCGGCGCCGGCGCCAGAGGTAGAAGCCCACGGCGACGAGGGCGATGAGGATGGCGACGCCGCTGATGGTGCCGCCGACGATGGCGCCGGTCTTGTTGACGGGGGAGTGGCCCCCTCCGGTCGCGGAGGGCTCGGCGGTCTGGAGGGTGTTGCTGGTGGTTGCTGTTGGTGTTCTTGAAGATGTGCTGGATGAAGAGCTAGAAGAGGATGTTCGTGAGGAGCTCGAGGAAGAAGAAGAAGAAGAAGACAATGATGATGACGAAGAGGAGGACGAGGATGTTGAAGATTTCGAGCTGGTGACGGATGACGAAGAAGCCGATGTGGAGGAAGCCGTCGTTCGCGTGAAACTGCGAGTCCCTGTACTGGGATTGACACTTGTTGGCGTCGCCAAACTGCTCGGTATATCCGTGAAGGACACGCTCTGGCTGGCGATATTCAGCGCCGAGGTCAAGCCCGACGCACTCGCATGGACCGTCGTCGCTAGGTCGGAGGCGGTCCCACACCCGTACTGGAAGTATCCCCCGTCGAAGACGTTCTTGTAGCACACATCGCTCCCCTGGCAAGTGAAGACATATGGGTTCACCTCTGTCTGCGCGCCGCTGTTGAAGTCAACACAGCCGGTGAAGACGCCTGTCGTACAGCTATCCTGCCCGTTCGGACAGCACCCCATAGCACCATGTTCGGCATCGAGGACGCAATGGGACCCGGCGGAGCATGTTGCTGGTAACTGCGGATCGCCACCTATGTAACCGCATATTGTGTTTGTGTCCTGCCTCCGCAATAGCTCATTGAAGCTCTCTAGGTTGATGGGGGGTGTTGTGGGCAGCGGCGGCCATGCTATAACGTTGAGCTCCCTATATTCCACCGTCTTTGTCTGTCGCGGGAGGGCATGGGCGTCTGCGAAGTCGAGGATGCTGGAGAAGAGGAGGAGGAGGGCGGTGGGTGGTAACCGCAGGAGGCGGCCGAAGGCGTGCGGTCTCATTGCCGTGGGAGTTGTTGAGACATTCGCCTTGTTGTGCGATAGCGAGTCGAGTTTAGCCTGTGGTTGAGAGGCAAATACTCTGGATAGCTACCTAGTGAAGTGAAGTCAAGTCAAGTTAAGGTAAACAATGGGATCTGAAGAGCAACGAAAGATCTCAAAAACGAAGGTCAAATCTAAGACATCTGCTCAACAACGAGTGGGTAACAGCAAGTTTAAACAGTATGTTAGCAGGTAGGTAAAAGAGATAATAAGGTATTGTAGAAAGAGGGCAGGATTGGAGGAGGAGCAGTCAGTGAGTCTGGAAGGAGGCGAGAGACTAAAGCAGGATGCAGCAAGGCTGACTTTAGCAACTGATTTGCAGGGTCTCTTTCGCCTGCCATCATCGAGTAGCATCCAACCTACCACACCAGTACAGTACAGTCCACCCAAATGCAGTGCAGTGACAGGGGTCCCCTTCTGGCAGGGGTCTTCCCAGGCGGGTCGGGTGCTAAGAGCAGCTAAGCAAGAGCTGCTGTGGGGAAGACCACGCAGCGCCGCCGTTGTGTGTCTGGGTGGTCAAGGTGTTTTGGGTGCTGGTGCGGCACTCGGAAAGCCCTCTGATGGGTACCGCATTACATTTCCAGGGTTTCCAGGGTCAACGGTAGGGCAAAGTCAGGAAGCCAAGAGTCAAAGACACATGGCAGTGTTGGCTGCCAATAACGTTACGTTGACACGGCATGCGCATTGCTAAGGAATGCTCCTCCGTAGTGGACCTGTGTGAGACAAGGAGAGATCCGACGACAGTGCACCTCAGGGCCTCAGCTGGATCAAGACGCCGACTGGCACTCGAAAGACGGCCAACTGCGCTTAAGCGAGCACCGCATCGTATCGTATCGTATTCTATTCTACTCTACGGGGGGCGGCGAAGATTGTCAGGAGCAACCAGCCGATGCAGGGGAAGACAGTCAGTCACTATCGAGGACAAGGTAAGACAACCTTGAGAAGAGAAACATGCGATTGAATCGGGTACCTACAGCACACAGCAACATGGCACACCTAAAAACGGCGCTCGCGATATCCCTCCAGGTATCCAGATTCAAGTGTCTTCCAAATATCGCAGGTCTGCCCAATGAAACGGCAAGATGTGGCTGTGGCTCAGCCCTTTGAACACACACTCTCTCTTCTGTCAATGTCAGTGTCAGTGTCAGTGTCAGTCTCCCCAGCCCCTCGCCACCCGGAGCGACAGCCATCCAGAATCCAGATGCGAGATGCACCAACAGACGACGGCCGTCAGTGCGCTCGGTTTCTTTTTATAGCGCTGCTAAGCTCCGCAGCCAATCATGCACACTCGCAGCGGCTTGGGTGTGGCTCTGCGGCTGTGCAAGCAAAGGTCCCCGTCTCGAGGTGGTCTGGGCGAGGAACCACTCTCGAGCCACTGAGCCACTGAACCGAGCCGAAGCCAGGCTCGCCAGGGCCGTTTCCTTGCAGGAACAGACCAGCCTACTGTAGTCCATCCCTAGTCTCGCTAGTCTACCAGGCCTCAAGGCTTGCCGTTCTGGGGAAACAAAAGGGCAGATCGCAGCTCGAGGGGCAACATCGCCGCCAATCCGCGCCCATCATGACGTTTCCCCGCCGTGAGTAAGCTGGTATGGTAGCTGACTGCTAACTGAATGCTAACTGAATGCTCTTCTTAATGTACCGCTCCTCCCACTTCCAACTCCAACTTCGCAAGCGATGATGATAGCATTCTGTCGCATCCTTCGCCACCGTTGACCTCACCACCAGACCCGGACTACCAGTTCTTACCTCTTATCGCTAGCAACAAGAGGGGGGTTTCTGCTACTTGATGTCAACAGCACACACTAACTACCGAAGATTATCCTGCCTCCAGCCTGCTTTCTATCTTCTCCGATGCGACTGATTTGGTCTCGACCATCATGGTACAGGACCACTCCGGTGCTGCTACGGCTCGTGATCGCAAGTCCCTCCCGGCGCTACACCCAAAGTTGGCCGGCGCCGATACACTACTCAACGTACTCGGCTGCACCTGATACCGGCGTCCATTTTTGTCTCTTTCGCCTCCCACCAAACCGTTTGGCTCGTACTCGTGCTCGTTGCCAGCCGAGCTTCGTCTTTGGATGAGGACGCTTATCTGGGCGCCTCTTAGAAGTCACTACTGTCCTGCTGCCAGGATCACTCCTGGCGACTACGGACAAGCTTGGCTTTGCTTGGAGACACTGTAGGGCTGATTTTAGCATCCGCATGCCGTGCATGCGCCTGTGAGATCCAGAGAGGACGGGAGGAGGGACCCAAATGTGGCTGGCTATTTTCGGCCTGTAAGATTCGAGCAGCACACGGCCGAAATAGCAGCCGCTCGGCGCCAGCTTGCTTCCTTCTTCCTCCCCGTTGTCCAAACTACCTAATTCGGCTTGCATGTGAGGCGTTTCATCGTGATTGAATTCAAAATAGATCTATCTCAAACGGACCAGATCCTGATGCTCTACGATATACGTGAATTGAGAGGGTAGATTCGAGGGGGGTTAGCCAGGTAGAGCTGCTGTCATTGAGGACCTATTCGCCAATGACCCATTGAATGTCTGCCTTGGGCCTACACAAATCTCGGCAGTGCAAGAATATCGCCGTGATACAGCGGGAAATTAATTCAAGAGACTGGCAACAATCAGCAAGTCGGGCCCAAGCCTATTGATGCATTGCCTTTTCTCCTCTACTAGCCTTCGCTGACATAAACCAGACTTGGCGGCTACAGATATTGATAACCGCTATCTACATCATGAGAAGCTCTTGATCGTCGCCACAAGCGGCTCATACCAGCTATTGGCGAGCTTCTCGTTGCCCTGGTTATTGGGATGCACTCCGTCGCCCGTGTCCGTGGCGTCGTTGAAGCCCGTCCAGCAGTCCACCACTGTGATCGGGCTCGCCGTCGAATTCTTCGACGCCGCCCACATCGGAATCGCTTTGTTGAGCGCTACGACTCGGTCTCCGCACTGTGGGCAGTTCGGCGGGTTCATCGGTATGATCTGGGCGACCTGAGCGCTGCTCGTCAGCTCCCGCGTCCGTCACAGACGACGTGCAGTCTTGTCTGGATCCGCTCACCAGGATCTTCATCGTCGGCTTGCTGCTCCTCATCTGGTCGACCATCGTGCCGAACGCGGCCGTGATGTTCTCGGGCGAGCGGTTGTTCCACACGTCGTTCGTGCCGAGGTGCATCATGACGACGTCCGGCTTCGTCCGGCTCAGCCAGCCGGGCAGCTGGTTGTTGGAGACGATGCCCGTGGCCAGGATGCCGCCGTGGCCCTCGTTGGCGCCGTCGTAGGTGAAGCCGCATCCCTGCGCGGGCAGCGTCCCGACGAACTTGGTGTTGGTGATGCCCGCGGCCTGCAGCTTGCGCCAGAGCAGGGCACGCCAGCAGCCCTGTACTCGAGGGTCAGCTCTTGATCTCTTCTGCACGAAGCATATAGATGCTGCGGGACACTTACGGGACTGCCTGTGATCGAGTCGCCCAGCTCCATAATGCGAACTTGGCTCTGGGCTGCAGTGCAGACTGCCAGGCCGAGCGCGGCTACGAGCGTGACCAACCCTCGGAATGCCATGCTGAATACGCTTCTTCTTAGCAGTCGCCAGTCGTGATGGCGTCCTCTGCATGAACCCGGCGCTCACTTATAAAGTAAGGGGGCGACGACTCTCAGAAGATGCCAATTGCCGAGGTTGTCCATTCTACGTTGCGATGGTTCCACGTACACCGCTCGGGCTTGCGGTGGGCTCCCCGGGAGAAGTCTGTCTTGCTATATTTCATCTACGGTATTGATGTCATGCAGGTGGGTAAGAAACGCGGTTATTTCCATGGTTGTGCGTCTGATTGGGGGGCCCTCTCGCTCCGGACTTGGACGTTCCGCGGTCGGCGGCTGAACAAGAGCCGCGACTGATAATTGTGATATTGTGAAGTAGACAATCGAGACTATGCATCTCCAATCGAGAATAGTAAATGAGCCAGTATGATAACACTGCCATTGTCCGAGCTACAAGCTACAATAGATCAATGATACGGTGATGAGATCTCTGCCAGCCCTCATCAGCTGCTCAACGGAGTCACGTCCTTCATGTGGTCTACAACGAGACACTGGGCATCGTTCGAGCCCCAGTATATCGTGTTGCCATCGTTAGCAGTCTGCTGTCCGTTAGAGAGCTTGTCTCCCCATTGCCAGAAAAGATCCGCCGAAGTGCCATCAGCTGCAGTCGCTATCGCGGCCTGCTGCCACGGCTTCTCGATACTGCAGTGATTTGAGCCCGTCCCATCTAGCATCACTATCAGCTTTGCACTCAGACATCTTGACGTGCGGTGGGCACTCACACTCTTCTAGCATGCATGGCTTATTGGCCGCCTTGCAAACAGCAGCATGATCTCTAATCCATCCTGGGCCGAAAGAGTTGGGAACGCCCCCTGAGAGACATGGTTAGCAACTGCTCATCAGCATGAAGCAATTCACTTACAGCTGTCCGGATACATGTGATATGTTCCAAAGTCTAAGGTTGAGATATTGAGGTTCTTCACGAAATCGACACCTTCCGAAGTCCCGTATGGATATGACGTCGCACCAGGCACCCCAAAACCCTCGTCGCCTAGAGTGACCATATGATTAGGATCAAGCGATTTGATGTATTTCGAGATGTCCGTGGCCCAGTTATAAATCACGTCAGTGCTGCACCCCTTGCAGCGTGGCTCGTTGGCGAGCTCCCATGCGAAGATGGCCGACGAGTTCTTGTACCGACTGACGACAGCGTTGACATAGCTGCGGTACTGAGCCTGTGCTTTGGAGTTGGTGTAGAAGCCTTCTTTGGTCCCGCCAAAGGCTGTGACATACGCGGGCATGCCACCGTAGTCACTCCAGTTATTGACGAAATTGATTATGAGCTTGACGCCCCTCTTCTCTGAAGCCGAAACAACGTAGTCTAGCCTCTGCAGCCCATCAGCTCCGGTGTTGATCTGGGACCCAGAAGATGCAAGGTATTGGTAGTAGACGGTTCCGGCCCCTGGCCTGCGCGTGACGTCGTTGAAGCCCCAGACTCGCAGAATCTTGAGGCCGGACTGCGCAAAGCGGTCTAGCACCCCATCCACATCTGCGTTGTTGGTTAAGAATCCAATCCAGTAGGAGTTGGATCCAGCAAAGTATCCGGTTTTGCCATCGATGGTGAACTTGGTCCCGTTGGTTGATGGAAAGGTCGTGGCCTGGGATACTGTTGGAAGACTGCTGACAGCTCCAACTAAACTGAGGAGAGCAACTGTCTTGCTGGATAACTTCATGATGAACTCGCACCAGCAAAATTAGCACTTTAACAAAACGTTGACGTGTATCAGACGAGGTAGTAGCAGCAGCTAGCAAGCTGTTATAGGCGACAAGGTAAGCTGCCTGTAGGATCAGCCAAGGGCTGTCACTTGACAAACGAAGGACGATTCATGCCCATTGTCTCGAGTTATTAACTCATCAATAACCAACAAGTATATCAAATAAATCGACTTGTCTTGGGCTCTGTCAATGCGCTAAAGACATCAGGCAAAATGGACCAAGTTCGAATACAGGGGCGGAAAGGCTCCCTCCGTGGGGCTCAACCAGAACGATGGCAGAAGCAATGTGCGAATTGTCCATCAATTTCACCTCTCTGACGACTCTAAGAGTTTCCTTTGCTATAAGGAGGTATCTTGTTGCCGTCTTTGAGGTGCTTCGTGGGTCTAAGTTCGGCGGTGGACAGTGTACCCTCGCAAAGGACCAGCCGGCGACTGTATCATGATCTTCCAGTAGTGGCAAACCCCCAAGTCATATGAGCAAGTGGTAGAAAAAAAGTGATGATTATAATAGCAATTACAATGAAAGCATGCGTCGGAGCAAGACCTCCAGATAGTATCCATGGCTAATTCCCGAATATCATTGTATCCTCGAGATATTGGGATGACGAAATACATGCTTCATGGGCACCTGGCCTAAGGGCCTGCCCGCCACGTTGCAATGACTACTCCGGCGCATTGGCCGGCTTCCGGGGATTGGGAGGATGACATGCCGCCGAATTGCTGACCGGCGCCGAATGTGAGATTGAGAGGTCGTCCGAAGTGCCGGCAGCTGATCGAGATCTGAAACGGCTAGCCGCGGCGGCGGACTTCATGGACCCGACCGACAGCCAATTATAGGGGCCGCCTCGAGACAAAGCTTAGCGACCTACAGCGCTATTTAGCGTCCGTTCCCTGTTTTCTGGGGCCCGTGTTAGCGCCTCGGATTAGCTCATGAGGGGGCAGAGCTGGAGCATCTGGAATTTCGCCTCAACCTCAACCTCGTTTCTTTTACGTACCACCAACAGGGAGCTGTCTTGCCCAGCAATCTTGGCAATTGAGAACTCATGGCTCCGATGCGCGTCAAGTCGCGTCCCGTTTCTGGCATTGAGCCCGGCTTGCGAACTCCGTCGCCGTACGGTGCCCGGTATGAGGTCTGGCTCCCGGGCATTGAACAGGATGATTCCTTCCGGGAAGTGGTCAAGAAGCTGTCGATGTAAGCACGTCTTTACAGTTGTGCAAAGGTCTTTGACTCACTTTGACAGATATTTCGTCGACGTGATCACTCTCCCGTCAACTTTCGAGCAGCTAAGGACCACGTCTGCTGGTGATCCTCTTCGCCGTCTGGTGGACCACCTGAGCCGGGAGTGCAAGAATCCGGCTATCGTTAACGCCTTACTGTAAGCTCGGTCTTCCTATTGAATATGAACACAAGTCTGATCATAATCACAGTGCTCTCAAATGGCATTACGGAACAAGTAGTGAAGATAAAAGCTTGAACGAAGCACGGGCCAGCGCAGCCGAAATTGTTGCCTGGAGATTTCTTACGCACCTCTCTGAGCGTGAGATTGTTGACTACTGTCTCTATGAGATACCTGACCTAGAAGCCATCGAAAATGAAAGGCGGGGTTCTGATGAAGAGAATGGCTCTCACCCCGTCAACGAGAACAGCCCATTGCTGGCTCAGGCGTGGTCTGGCTCGGCCGAATCAACCCGTAAATCCTTGAACCGTACTGGTGGCAGCAAGCGGTATCAGCTCTTGCAAGCGATATCACGCCTGACAATGAGCATGACAGTTGATGATGACGATGAGGAGGAAGAAGACGATCCCACTGCTCCCTTCACTAGTCTCAATGCTCTTGAGATTGCCGCCATCGCTGACGCCAAGAGATTCCTCAGCCAGCACGTCGTCCAGAAGATAATCACTGGAATATGGAACGGCGATATCATTTTCTGGGACCAGCTGTCTGTCGACTCTGTCAAGAAACCGCGCTACTACGACAAAGCCAAGGCCGATCCTTTCTCCCGACTTCGCGTGCCCAAGTATCTCAAGTCATTTGAGGTTGTATTCTTCCTCTCGTTTCTTGGACTGTTCTATGCCACTCTTGTCGAAAGGCATCCTTATAAGATCCCCCCTATTGAAATTCTTCTCTATATCTGGTTCGCAGCCTTCTTCTATGACGAGCTCAGCGAATGGATTGACGCCGGCTCAATTTTCTACGCTGCCGATGTCTGGAATCTCTTTGACATGATCATGATCTCAATCGGTATCATTTTCGCCGTCATGAGGATCATAGGGCTGTCTAACAATGATGGCCATATGATCGATCTGGCTTTTGATGTGTTATCTCTCGAAGCGCTCTTTATGGTGCCTCGAGTCTGCTCCGTCCTCAGTCTGAGCCCCTATTGGGGCACTCTGATTCCATGCTTGAAGGAAATGGGCAAAGACTTCTTGAAATTCATGCTCCTTGTAGTGATCCTCTACCGTAAGCACTGCTCTACCTCAGCATCTAATTACATTGATATGTGGACTAACCTGTCGCAGTCGGCTTCCTTACAACATTCTCTCTCATCGGCCGAGAGACCTTCACCCTTCCTCACATGACAATGGTATTGACGAAGATCTTCTTCGGCTCTAGCTATGTCGGCTTTGATATTATGGAGCAGATTGATCCTGTCTTTGGCCCGCCACTGATGATCATTTTCGTCACTCTCAGCTCCATCCTGTTGATGGGCTCCCTCACTGGTATGCTGAGCAACAGCTTCTCCCGCGTCATCAGCCACGCCCGCGAGGAGTACCTGTATGTCTACAGTATCTATGTGCTTGAGGCCTCGACTAGCAATCGACTCACTCATTTTTATCCGCCCTTCAACCTCCTCGCTCTGATCATCTTCAGGCCTCTGAGATTGTTTCTGCCCTCTGACAGCAAGTTTCGCGCTGCTCGAATCATTCTTCTGAAAGCGACACACCTGCCTATCGTCGGTGCCATCCAGCTGTATGAGTTGATCGCCGGCAAGATTTACCACGACGATGGATTTGCAGGTTTCAAAGGACCCCGTCAGCCTTCGGTCCCCTATAGCACTCCCAAGAAGCATCGAGCACATGTGAGACCGACATCATCGATGCGAAACTCTCCACGACCCCAGAGCTCGGAGACTGTGCCACGACTTGCCTCTTCTCGTGCCGGACCGGCGGTGTCTACGACGTCATTGGTGGGTGTAGAGGCTGACGACATGGGCATCCCTCCTACGGATGTCGAAGTCAAGATTGCTGAGCTATCGGCCAAGATCGACAGGTTGACCGAGTTGGTGGTGGTGTTGCAGGAGCAATCCACGGCGAAGGTCAGCGTGTCGTGAGGATTGTTAGGCATGAGAGGTGAGGTCAGCGGCGTGGACGCTAGCAGCATACAGTAATTTAGCTCTTCAGACAAAGTCCATGAGCATTATCTGTGTTTGTATATTATTTGTCATCATCCTACTATCATGATCTCATAGCAAATGGAGTAGAAGCTCAAGTTGGGCCAGGTGTTGAATTGATGCTATGAGGACCACTAGTAGTATACAGCCATCCTAATGTGGCATCATCCAGGATATCACTTGATCTTGTTTTTCAACCAAGGTTTTGTTCCTCGCTTCTCTTCAGGCTGCAGGCCATGTTGTTCCAATAGCTTATGCACCAATCGCTGCACAGAGAGCGTTTCACAGAAATCCTTGATATTGTTCTGCTAATTCTTCCGGCTTGATCGCCCTGAAAGTCAACTATACCTTTCAAAGCCAGTATTGAAGCGTTGTGTATGAACCACTTATGGCATGACAAAAAAGTGCGACTAGCTATTTTGATTTTCACCACAGACTTGCCCAGGGCTTATAATCTTCGGCCTGCATCAGTCGCTGCAGCTGACGTCGCCTAAGCCCTATATTTCCTCCGTCAAAAATTGAATACACTGTGGCATCATTGAGTAGCCGCGGGAACACGGTGTTCTTGCCGTAAGACGTCCTGCATTCCATTAGTTTTGCTCGCAAGCCTGGAAACATCTGTTGTGACAACAACAATCATCATGGCTGGGAGGGAGGGGAAGCGTGACTTACACTCCAACGAGCTGCATAGTTTCCCATACTGCCGTCACCGCCTGGTCACTACAGTACACCTTTGCCTGTAAGCATGCCTCATATCGGCTGTTTTCATCACCAGCCTCCTTTTCCAGACCGCTGAGAGCTTTCCAGACCAGAATTCGAGAGGTGTCTATCTTGATCTTTGCATTGATCAGCAGGTCGGCTGGACTCTGTCTTGCCAGGACGGGTACACTGCCACCACGACTGTCTTCTCTTGCAAATTTAAGAGCTGCCTCGAATGCCGTACGCATAGTGCCAACCGCCATTGCGCCAACGAGGGCCGCCGATACGCTGAAAGCTTTCTCAACAAGAGCGGCACCCTTGCCCCTGGGAGCGAGAACATTCGCTGCTGGGACCTTGAAGTTTGTGTACCTTGACAGAGGTCCTGAGGCTGCGATATGACCCATGAGTTCCGGCTCGCTTATCATTTGATATGCGCCTGGCTCGTTCTGTGCCACAATCTCCCGTGTGACAAGAAGGACTAGAGTGTTCGATGCTGGATCAACATTAGGATCTTCGGGTCCGCCGTCCTCCGAGTATCTACAGCATAGACAAGAAAGCGTTGCACCTTTGCCGTCCCATCCGGCGCTATTCGTAGTCCACAGCTATGAAACGCACAAATATCAGTACCAAGTAGACTCTTGCACAAGCCAACACCTGCCTACCTTCTCTCCATTCACAATGTAATAATCACCCTCGAGCCGTGCAGTGGTTCCGAGTCCTTTACCCCCTTTTTCTAGCCAATTCGCTGTGCCGCCCGGCTCGGAGTGGGTCAGACTGGCTAGAGGCTCGCCTTCGCAGGTGATAAAAGGCTTCAGATATTTCTCGTGTTGTTCAGGGGTGCCTCCAAAGATGAGTGGCAGTAGTCCAAGGCCCGTACCGATGACATGCACCATCACACTCGAGTCCACTGCATACATCTCCTCGAGAGTGATAGCACTGTCGATAAAAGACTCATTGCTGCCGCCGAGTACGACAGGGACTTGCGCCTTTACAGCACCAGCCTTCACCAGCTTTTGGTAAATAGGCAAAGTCGATCGAAAGCGCGACTCTTGGTCGTGGAATTTCTCGTAGGTTTCACGAGCCGGTCCGAGAATCTCTTTTGCGAGAGCAGCAGCTTCATCGCGAAGAGCCTTCTGCTTGTCCGTCAATGTAAAGTCGATCATGGTCTTGTTAAGCTTTTAGATCGCCTTCTTGATAAAGGTTGAGTCGAGCAGTAAGTTTAGAATCAAACAAATCACGCTTTGGGCCCTCAGATGGATAGTGGCAGGAATGATGGATTAAGATGAGCATGTTGGGCAGTAAGTTCACCAAGGAGAGCATCGAGCTTCTTATGATGCATCAAGCTCTCCTCGAAGATAATGACAAACCAAATTGAAGCTTGTGATAATCAACGCCTCCAGCATAATTAGGACTAGGGTGATTGGACCCAAGTGCTCTAAGATAAGGATTTTGAACGGGCTCCACGCGGATAGGCATTATCCTATCTTCCTCCCGCGTCACGACTGACTCGCTCAACCTCCACCTCTCAGCTCCACTTCTCCATACCAAGCACCCTGAAGAGGGGTAGTTTCCTCGTAGAGACCCGATAGAGCGGTCACTATCGGATTCAGGGCAGATGTGGCGTATCCATGCTGTAATGGCACGTTATCGCACTTGTTGAACAGGCGCCAGCACGTTCTGATTATTTAGAGGAGCCACAAAGATAAGGGTTCGAAAGCGCGTTGTAATCGAGCACGAGAATTGTTAAATGCAGAGGAGGCGTTCACACAAGCGATTTGATCAAATGATGCTCAAATCAATTCCATTCTATTGTACACCTCGTGTGCTACGTTATCAATCATGGTCATTGTCATTCTCAACGTTCAGAGGGAGAAAGTATGAAAACACTCTATGCTTCTGATACCTGTCGAGATCAACATTTCCGTGCGCAATTACTTTAACATGATGAGAATGTCCTTCTGCAGGTGTCTATCATGTGTATATTCTGGGTGTCTATTCCTTTCCCGCAGACTCATCGCCTTGGAGTATCGACATGGCGATAGCATCTAAGCTATCACAGGTACGAATCTTATTTATAACAGTAGGAACTTCTTGATCAGAAGCATTGAGTATTGCCTCAAAGATAATTTGTAGCGTCAGGAGGCACGCCTTCATATCTTCTCTCCTCTTCCTACATGCACCTTTGCGACGATGATCTGAGTGTGGATCGTATATGCACTCTGTGCCGTATATGTTGGCGCAAGCAGCACAGCTAGGAGCCGCGCCGTCGCACTTGGTTTTCCTCTTTCGACATGAGATGCAAGCAATGCTCACACACGTTCGTTTCTGCTTGGTAGATGGGCGGGTCTCCGTCGGCATCCGATCTGTCGGTGCCGTCCTGCTGATAGCTCTATGATTCATGGCCATCGGTGCTTGCGTTCGGTGGTCAACATGCTGCCTAGAGATGGCCATATCGTGTATATCTAAAAGCTGCGAATCAACCAAGCACTCGAACTGTGGAATCGCTCAGTAGCAGAAGTGTGAGAGGTACCCGGACATATCAAGTCTAGACCAGACTCGAAGGCTTGGAGGGGGGCGATATATTGAGATAGGATGATGGACTGGAATTGAAAAAGAGATCGCTCGAAGTACAAAATGGCGTTACATTTGCCATTTCTGGGGTCATGGAAAGGAGACCGAGCAATGGACGTGTGTGATCCGCAAAGACAGCATCTTAGAGCTTCTAGGACTACGCAAAAGCTTCTGGTAATGCAATGGAGTCGTAATTTTAAGGGGCAAAGGTCCAAAAGCTAGATTCGGAATGCAACCAATCCAGGCGTGAGGTTGGGATTGAACATAAGCAATATTCTACTAGTATAAGTGTGTCACCAGCCAAGCCTCTAGCCACAAGTAGATGGATTGCTCACATAGTACCAATCACTAGAGTTATCGGCGAGAGATATTGGCTTATCACTGACCCACACGGGTAAGAACTATCCTATCTTCTCTCGACGCCTGTCTCTAGCGCAGCAGCGACTAGGTGGAAGGTGATTGGACAATGGTAGCAGTTGAGGATGATTATGGCACGACAGCTATGAAGGAAGGCTTCAATGTGAAGATTATGTTGGAGATTCTCGCTAGCTGATTGATCAACTGAAGCCATGATTCGCATAGATAGTCGTGGGTTGTCGCAGACGACCTTGGGTATAAAACCAGTACTCGTGCCCAGGCTCAGATCTTTCGACGGAAACAAGACGAAAGATAGACCTTTCATCTCGTCCGCATAAACGCAAAGTAGAGCCATGGAACTTACACCACCGATCATTCGGCTGCTTGTACGTATGGTAATGAGAATGTTTACATTGATGCTAACCGCTCATCAGATAGCCCTTTTTGTAGCTCTTGGCAGTCTAACATACGGTTACTCTTCTAGCATCATCGCTACGACGCTGGGCCAACCTTCATTCCTGACCTATTTCGATTTGGACACGCGCTCCGATACTGCTGGCCTCATGGGTGCCATCAATGGTATGTTTCAAGGAGGAGGATTAATCGGAACTTTGTCCTGTACCGTGACAGCCGATTGGCTGGGAAGACGCAAAGCCATGGTAATCGGGTCTGTCTTTGCCATCTTAGGCGGAGCTCTGCAAGCTGGAAGCGTCCATATAGCGGTGTTTATCATTGCCAGATTTGTATCTGGTATTGGAATAGGTCAGACGGATATGCCCTAGGAATTCGCAGTTCCGCTGACTCGATTCAGGCGCCCTCGTCACCTTGGTTCCGCTCTATCAAAGTGAGACTGCCCCCGTTCGATCTCGCGGCTTACTAGTTGGACTCCACGGTGTTCTCATCGGTACTGGATATGCGGTCGCTGGCTGGATTGGTGTGGCTTTCTACTTTGTCAATGCTGCCGGGGCGCAGTGGCGCATCCCGCTGGCGATACAGTGCCTTCCGCCGCTAGGTCTGGTTGCCGGTGTTCTATTCCTCCCTGATACCCCCAGATGGCGTAAGTAGTATAGCTCTCGTTCGTGTAAAATTAACTAATATTTTCAGTACTCACCAAGGGCCGAGATGCAGAGGCATACACATCTTTCAAGGCTGCGAGGGTTGAAGAAACAAACAACATTGCAGACGAAGACAATGTCCGAGCAGAATTTGAGCAACTGCGAGACGATCTCATAAAAGAAAGAGAGCAGATGCTCAGTTTTGCCGATCTGTTCAAGAAACAGTCAATGAGAAAAAGATGCCTGATTGGGTTTCTTACAATGGCAGGTGCACAAGCTACTGCCACTATCGTTATCAACAGTCAGTTCCTATGAATCCATTGGGTTTGCCTACATCGCTAAGATCTCTTTAGATTACGGCCCTACACTTTACAAGAGCCTGGGATTCGGCACTGTTCAACAGCTCGTCATGGCAGCCGGCTGGGTTTCAATCGCTCCTTTTGGAAATTGGTTCAACGCCGCTGTAGTTGATCGCCTAGGAAGAGTGAAAATGCTCAGTAAGCTCAACACGGACACTAGAAATGTGACCTGGCTAACATTTTGCTTTTAAGTTATCGGAAATGTAGGCTGTATTGTAGCTCTCGTTGGAGAATGTATCACCGTATCCATCTTTCAGCTTACCAGCCACAAGTCTGTTGCAGCGGCAGCCGTCTTTTTCCTATTTCTCCATGTCGGCTTCTTCACTTTATTCATAGATGCAACTACCTACATCTATGCCAGCGAAATCTTCCCCACACCAGTAAGGGCTAAAGGTCTTGCCGTTTCAGTTTCGGGTCTCTTTGTTGCGACCATCATCTTCTTACTGGCTGCTCCGACCGCCTTCGACAAGATTGGGTGGAAGTACTACCTTGTTTTCATTGTTCTAACATCTATCAATACCTGCGTGATTGGACTTTATTTCCCAGAGGTACGTGAACTCGTTGTCGAATTGATGCTGGTATGACTTACGATATATTAGACGCGCCAACGTTCGCTTGAACATATGCAAGAACTTTTCGGGGATGCGATTGAAGGCGTTGCTACCGCGACTGAGAGGTCGAGTGACATTGGAGACCTAGGAACCGAGAAAACCAAGGGTCCAGTGATTGCGGCGAACGACGTCGAATAAAGCCTGAAAACACATTCGCGAGTTTGAATTTCCGTAGCCAGAGTATTTTGTGGACTGTACGAAGACCTATTCTATCTTCCCTGGTCTATTGACCTAGTAGTCGACAAGAAAGCCCAACTTTCTGCGACTCGATCTGATCTTATAAAAAAAAGAAATTATATTTCAACTATCTGGATCCCCTATACTTTGCCAGAGATTTGCATCAAGAAAGCCACTGTTGTTATAAAGCCAGCTCAAATTTTCGTCTTGAAGAGATGGGAAAAGGCTATCTTGGGGATTGACTGATGGGAATCCAAGATCGAATTCGGTCGTCGGTAGACCATAAGAACCCAAGGAAAACAAGGCAGGACCTGGATCAAGCTTACTGCCCATACCTTCGGGCAATGCTTGACGCGCGATGACTTCATCTCCGATGATATAATTAGTGCTGTCGAGAGATGTGAGCCACACATTTGAGAGCAACTTGATTGCTCGATAAGCTCGGTTGCTCCACGACCATGTTTGACCCATCTCTTGCAGAGCAGATGTGCAGATTTTCAGTTTCTTCAGGGCTTGCTCACGTAGATTTGGATTCGAATACACTGCATCCATTAAGTGGATTGTCGCTGCTGCAAATGTGTGACATACGGCTCCAACGGTGATATACCTCTAACACAAATTGTGAGACCTCCGGATTTGCTGGAAATGGATGACTTACGAGAGAGTAATGCCGCTTGTATGTTTCCAGGATCTTGGAGATTGCAGAGGCGGAATCTCTACAGATCTCCCAATGCTCATCATTCTTCTCCGAATCAGATTGGACTTTATCAGGTTTCCCCGGACGACAAGTAATCAGGGGTCGGTGGAGCAGGATCTGTGCCACATGATATTGAAGACTATTTTCGTCAGAGACCGATCCTCACGTCAAATACTTTTGTCACTACAAGATACTCACTGCAATTGATACACATGAGGGAGATATGGGACGCTTGATGTACTGGGAAGACGCAGGTGGCTCGGCAACCCTAGCTTGAGAGCATTCATGGTCACATCAATCTTCGAGACGAGCTCTGCCATGTCTTTCCTCGACAGCCGACTGTTCGGAGAGTATCTTTTTCATTCATGATCAGCTTTACTCTAGTAGCGTGGTACATTCAGCTTACATTGTGTCCAAAGCATGAGTTACAAGCTTCAGATGGTCGCACATGTGTTCGGCGGTAGAGGCAATTCTACAGTGAATGCCGAGAGCGTCCGTTTTGTCTCCCGGAATCCAAAGTTCAAACTCGGCTGCACTAGAGAGCTTCGGCTTGCCGCAAGTGATGTCGCGATTGTAAGCATTTCCGGGCCGGCCTAACCCTAGACAGAAGAGCCTGGAAGAAGAGATCAGGATTGGCTATTGACTCGAGGCAGATTAAGAACGCCTACTTATCAAGCGCATAACAGCCCCACCATACGACTTTGCGTACATCTGCTTCCTCCTGCGTTATGAGGCCAGATTCTGCCCATTGATCACAGTCAAGATTTAGCCCGAGATTGTATGCCATTCTAGTCGCCATCCCTATGTCGCGATTAGCTCGATGTCATCGCGCTTCCTAGTGTTAGAGCTTACCAGAACAGAGCCACCCGGCAGGCTCTTTGTCCTCTGCCATCCAACGTATTGAAAGAAGCGCTGCAGACTGCACAGTACTGATGCTACTCTTCTCAATCTCGCTCATCAGTAGAGCTTTAGCTCGTTGGGCGTAAGCATCGCCCGCGGTCGTCAAGTCGCCTGGCCCTGAGTAGACTTCTGGCCGATCAGAGTAGCGCGCGCCAAGCGAGAAGATTGACAGAAGCAGAAGTGGTGTACAGTATTGATTCCGATTTCCATTGTAGAAGTCGCGCATGAAGACATCTTTCTCAACAATGTACACCCATGGGTTCTGCCATCGGAAGTAGAGCTCTATCAGATGCTCTTGGAGCTCGAATGGGATGTGGATCAGATCTGCGCATGTAGTCTGTGCTGAAATATCATTTTGGCCAGGGGAGCAAGGACTTTTGTTATCAATGTGATCATGAAGAAGATGATAGTTGCTCTGTGGGCCAAAAAATCGGAGTTGGCCGTCATCATCCAGGTTCAAACGCCCGCAAGTGTCCGTTATCCTAAGGAGAAGATCATCTCCACTTGAAACACTGAAAGTCTCTTCATCATTCTCTTCAAGAGGCGGCTGGTCTTCTCCTTTGTTTAGCTCTCTGATATCTTCAACCTCCTTGTCATTTTGAACAGCACTTTTTAGCGACAGGAGCTGCTCTTCAAGTAGCCGGATACGAGCATGAAGCGATTCGACATAGCGTTTGCTGGGAGGCCTATCGGTCATAATTAGTCATATGTAGCGCAAGGTCGGACTTCACCGAAGCTCACTTCCTCTTATTCTCTTTAACTTGATATTCACACTCCAGACCTTTGCTAAGACAAGACTGGCAGGACGGCTGCCCACCATCACACTGTCGTTACGCACTTAAGTTAGACTCTGTAATCAGCGAGGCTGAGGGAAGAAACTGGAAGCTTACCCGGCTCCGTCTTTGACGACACAGGCAGCAAGCAATGGAGACACGCTGCCTGTGATCCCTCTCTCTCTCCACAGTAGAGGTGTTCATGTGGAGCTAAATGATGTAGTCGCAAATTATCAGTCATATACACTGTGCTTTTCTGTCGTAAGCATCACTCCAGCAAATGACTTTTTCATGAGATGAACACAATATGAGCGTGACGAGCCCGCAGCCTGCTTCTCTGTCGCTGAATGGCGTGAGACGCTTATCTCGGGATCTTATCTCCACACTCTAAAGACCCGCCTCAGCTCGAGCTAGCATGGCGCGTGGATTAGAATGGGTCTTGTCCTTGGTCTTGGAAGACTTCGATTCGACGATAGTCGACTTAAATGCTCCACTGGGTGAGCCTGGTTTTCCGGTGCGCTGCCCGATACGCCGCGACCAGACTGCTGGGCAATGGATTTCGACAACCGTACCATGGCGGCGAGTCGGCTGTGGCTCATTCAAGAGGAGTTGACCTAATTCCGTTCGAAATGCATATCGATGATGATCAACACACAATGATACTAGAGCTCGATTCATTGCAGGCCATACTGCAAGTAAAATTGTTCTATAAGCATTACCAGTAAGTGTTGTCAAGCTCAAGCGCGCAGCGATAGCTGCATTTCGAGGCAAGTCAGTTATGGTAGTGTCATCAGAAATCAATCGCACTTTCTTGATTCGGTTGGATTCGTGGATTCTTGATGCTAGCAAACTGCTACTGAGAGCTTTTTTCTCTTCGAGGATTACATTGTAATTTAATGTGATGTGATGTGGTGTGGATGCACTGTTTCTGGATTCGGCGATCTGACCTGCTATCATTGGTTACTGGTAAGCTTAGTGAAGAGGGCAATAGATCTCACTGCTGACTAACACGCTCTCAAGATATCACATACCTAGCACACACACACACACACAAAAAAAAAGAAAACAAGCCTCTAGGGCATGAGAACGTACTGAGAATGAAGGAGTGGCCACCCCTGTATTGTAGATAATGATAGCTAAGTCAAGCGAGTGAGAATGAAGTACGGAGTAACAAATAAGCCACCTGTTAACCTGCAGCAGTAAGACCATGCTCTTCCAACTTTGATGCAAGACTTGACTCTCCGCTTGTTTTCTTTAAGGTGACATGTTAGTTTTCGATGGAGAGAGCAACGAGGTGCCAATTGACCTGTGGAGAAAGGTAGCCAAAGACATGGGGCTCAGGCCAGCACAACTGATCTGGTGGAATTGCTCAAGATGTATTTGTTGAGTACTGTTTATCAAGATATAATGTCAAGCTTCGAGGGGCCTAAGTTTATGAGGCGGCTTAAGGTTCAATCTCAGATCTCTCTAGAGTAGAACCTGAGCCTTTTTTCCTCAATGACTAGCTCTCTATGGGTAGTTATCAGTCCTACTTGACGGGGTTCAAGGTCTAGGCTGCCTTTTTTTCCCCCTCCTTATGATAATGTATAATTCAAGACACAAAGGCGAGTTTCCCGCTTGTCCAAACTCATGGATGGAGGAAGAATCAAGCCGAAGGTTCGCATGTAGAGTAAAGAATATTGGAAGGGTATTTAGAACTTGTGGTAATTATCAGGCAGGTTATGGCACAGTCGGACCATAATTGTGGGGCCATTGTATAATTGATTTCTTGGAGAGGGTTTAGTAGTGTCTCTGGTTGAATTGATCCATTTAGACAATAAGCTTTGGAAGACTTGTCTTGAAGACGTTCGTAGGGTCATACTTCCGTTTCAAATCCAGCAACAACTGATAGTTCTCGCCATAGATCCTGGACCAGTCGCTCTCACCGGCTGGTAGAAGAGATATGTACCCTGCACCAATGACATCATCACTTGCGTTCTCCAGTATATCCTTCTTCAAAGTAGATGCCCAAGCGTTACATTTCCCAACCAGGTCCTGTACAGTAGTGACCGAGAGCAATTCGAGCATTATGTGATTAGATCGTGGTGAAAAGACCGATTTGTCAGTCGGTTGAGCTGAGGAACCCCGAACGAGATGGCCGGCGAAAAAGGCGCCGCCGCCGGGAAGCTCGCTCGTGTGTTTGGTGATGGTCTCAACTACCTTCGAGGTCAATCCCCGTACGTTGACTGTGTTGTTTTGGCCATATGAGCCGTACGGAGCAAGCATATCGTTTGCCTTTAGAAAGCCCGCGACCGACGTCGGTGCGATAGTGTTCAAAATCGCTGGACCCAAAGAAGCAATCTTCTCAGCCCACTGTCGTCCCTCATTTTGATCAGGGGATGACCACATGAAGACGGAGAAGAAAACTCTGCCCATCTGAGGTATATCCATAACGCTAAGCATCACTCCAAGAGCCGGGGGGAGCCCTGCTTCGAGGAGTTTGTTGAGACCATTCGTCCACTGCGTGACAGTTGACTCAAAATTGCTGCTCTCATAGATAACAATTCCCGACAGCACCTGAAACGTTTAGTAAACGTTTCGATTCCATTTATTCGCCAATATGGAGCTAAGGAATGAAATACCTCTTTCAATGGATACACCTTCACTGTGACTTCAACTACCACACCAAACGTCGGCGCTGCGCCTCTCACCGCTTTCAGCAGCTCCTCATCTGCCTCAATCAGCTTGCCTTCCGCCGTTACCAACTTTGCTGCCACGATTTGATCGCATCCTAAACCAAAGTTGGCACTCATGGGTCCATAGCCGCCCAGCGTTGCCCATCCCACGTAGCCAACCGTTCCGATCGTACCGCCTGGCGTCACTAACTCTTGAGCCGATAGTGTCTCGGCCACATCCCGCAGCAATGCGCCGCCACCAATTGTCGCAGTCTTCTTATCAGAGGACACAGATACAGAATTGATCAGGCGCATGTCAATCATGAGGGCACCGGCAACTTGCGAGCGGCCGGCGGAGTCATGACCGCCGCTACGGATCACGAAATCAAGACTGTGAGCTACACAGAACTTGATAAGAGCTGCCACAGCCTCAGCATTGGAGGGGCGGGCGATAGCAAAAGGCACTGCCTCAGGGCGGCGGACGTAGCAAAGTGCGATAGCATCGAAGTCAGGACTAGACGGCGTCAGGAGAGTCGTAGTAGTCTCGGCTGTGGATGCCTCGAGGGCAGTCAGTATGCTGCTTGTGCCTGGAGCCATAAATGCGGGGCTGATTGACGCAACGCTGAGTTTATGATACGTGCTTTCAGGGATAGATACGCATTTGGAAGGGTTGCGGTCAGGGAAGTTGCACAAGTGTCACTTCCACGGATTACCACGGATTTAATAGAATTGGTCCGTTCCTCAGTGTGGATATACACAAGAGCTGTGCCGCAAGCGATGGATTTTCGGGTTGTCAGTTTGGCCTTACTAATTCGTACATTTATAACCAAAATTCCGATGATTATTGATTTTAAGTCAGCTCACCGCCCCTAGACATTCAGCAAGATGTATGCTTGAGCTTGCCTAAAGGACAATGAGGGGTCAGGGCAAGACTAGAAGCCATGGGGACTGTCTAACGCTAACTTGCAAAACGCTAAGATATGAGCAAAACCGAATCACTTTGAGTCAACCACGTCGGCAATCTTATACCATTTCAATAGACGATCTGATTGTTTGCTGTGAGAAGTAGTTTCTTGAGAATGAGGAACACTGATATTCTAGTCTTCATCAACTCATACCATGCTAGTGACGGGTGGAGTTGTTGCTTAGAATACCCACAGTAAAACTCTGAGAGTATACCTTGATTTGCCAGAAAGTTATTTACCATGTGTTACGTGGGAGGAGTAAGATTTGGGGGGTGGGGGCTCTGTAGGACTAGGGGCTCAAAAGCTACTGGCTCAGAGACCGTTTACCGGTTTCGGCTAAGGCCCACGGAGCCCGAGTGAGCAATAGGGGCGCTTGGCTGTATCCAATCTAAAATATGACATCGATAAGTCTTTGAGTTGAGTGTATCAAAAACCTAGAGATACTTTAAATCCTCAGTTATGAACGAATACTTTTCTTTGCTAAGCTACGATGCTGAGGTACAGATCTGTACCCACTACTTGCTGTTCGTCGGCTTTCAAGACATGGCTTGTCTTACTTGGTGGTGCGGATTATTTTCAGAGTATTTCTGAGTCTTTCGAATTGTGCCCTAGATTATAAATCGATAAGAAATTCTCTTGAACTTTTCGATCTATTAAAAGTCGATGTCGCGTTCAAATTCCAGCGCAATACATACGTCCCCAGCCTAGAAAAGCAGCCCAGACGCCTGGTTCCCCTAGTCTGTCATACACATCAAAATGACTTCGTCAAGCGAGGGCCTGAGCCTTCATGTCACCGTCACCATAGCTCCAGAAAATGTCACCAAGTTCTTGGATGCGTTCACTCCAGCGTACAAGCACGTTATTGCCGAGCCGGAGTGTACCTTTTTTGCAGTGTACCAAAACCAGGACAACCCAGGGGAGCTCTCTTGGGTTGAGCACTGGTAATTGAAGCCAACCCTTCTTAAAACAAGAAAATAGTTAACGTTTATCAGGACGAAATCAAAAGAATGGCTTTTGACTGTATGATCAATCTTTCCACACAATGTCATGTTTAGCTTCCAATCTGTACTGACAGCAGTCTAGGTGCAATTCACTAAGGAGTACTACAAAGAATATGCCGAAATTACGGAGCCAATGCTTATTACACCTCGTCAATTTAAATTCTGCTCGATTGCACCAGGGTTGAGTACCGTTCAAAATGTTGAGTAGATGTTATTCTCCATTTGGGCGTTGTCAAGTCCATACGTTTTGAAGGGAGATCTATCTAATTTCACTCATTTACAAAGTTAAATATACTTTCATTTCCATGTTCACTTTGTGAGAAAATTTTCGAGCATCAGCCGTGAACTGACCTAACAAGATGAAAGCCTGTTGTTTGGTAAGGTATAAAAAGAAACAGCATCAGTAGCTTAGTATCAGAATGCCGTGATATAGCTGCACTACTCCGCTAATGTATATTGCTGCATTTAGAATACTTGCTCTTATTTTGAAGTTGTATTAGTAGCGCTAAGTGCTATTCCGAGGGATCGAATGCGGCGAATGTTGCAAAGGTTTAAAGGCCACACTAGCCCAGTACGCCTTATTAAGCTATTGCGTAACACTGGGCTGCTGATAGTACGTATTTGTTCTTGCATGAGCTCCCTACTTTCTGAGAGGTTGTTATACTAGGGATGATTTTCGAGGTCGCTCATAGATCTTTCTATTTGAAACAGGTTCTGATATACAGAAACGAACGTTGACCCGAGTAAGTTCGACGATGTTGTGCCCCTCTAAGTAGGTAGATCGATCTTAGCGCAGGAAAGGAGATGATGGAGCACGAAAAGCGCTTGTAATAAATCTCAGTACCCTTGTAAAGCACAACTGCCTGCCAGCCCCGGGAACTCGGGGCAGTTGAGCGAGTTTACTCCGCAAAATGGGGAATACGCCGGGGCGACTCGGGGCATTGTGGGTCTAGTGGCCATAGACTCGGCCGGAATAGTAATTTTTATCATACTCGGCTTAACAGCTTATTCCAGACCCCATGGGGTCATACTCCAGATTTGTAACACGCAGCAATCAGGTATAAGAATCAAAACTCTCTATGAAGATGAATGCAGGTCATGTCAGGGCTCGCAGTTCAATTCAATGAGTTCTTGCTATCGAAAATAAGGCCAATTGAATCATGTGAGCTTCACGTCTTTCAGGGATATTCCAACAATGTAGCCCAGCTAACAGAGTTCTAGTCTTGGACTTCCTCGAACTCGGCACCTTGGAGCGAACGACAGCATGGCGAACACAAAGTCCTTCATGGGCTTCACAGGGAAAGCCTTGATGATAGCACAGACGGCCACAATTGTCTGCCCTTCGTTCATCCTATTCGGTTACAACCAATCTAACCTCGGTGGTCTTGTCGGCCTCTCCGACTGGGTGGACCATTTTCCTCGCATCGATACCGTCAATACCCATGGATCTCAGAAGAGCAACAACGCCACGATACAGGGGCTCATCGTGGCTACCATGACCCTCGGCGCCCTTCCCGGTTGTCTTTCTTGTTCCTACACGGCTGATCGATTTGGTCGACGGCCTATAATCTTCCTCGGAGCTCTCCTTTCGCTCATTGGAGAGGCTCTGGAAGCATCGGCTTTCCACCTGGCACAGTTGATCATCGGACGAATAGTTCTTGGCGCTGGAATAGGCATGCTCAGCGGCACAGTCCCCACGTGGCAGAGCGAGTGTTCTAGTGCCAAGAATCGAGGTAGGCACGTCGTTTTAGACGGCCTTTTCATTAGCTTGGGCTACGTTCTCCAAGCATGGATCAATCTCGGTTTCTATCAGTTCAAGACTGGTCCCATCACCTGGCGGGTTCCTATCAGCATTGCCGCCTTCTTCTCGCTTGTGCTCATGTCTTGTATCTTCTTCATGCCTGAATCTCCACGCTGGCTCCTACGCCGCAACCGTGTTGAGGAAGCACAGATGACCCTGGCGGCACTCAAAGGCCTCTCTCCGGATGCGGAGGAGATACGTGCCGAGATGGCTGCTATCGAGATATCACTGGAGGATAATGCTGGAAAGAGTGCATCTCTTCGTGAGCTGCTGAAGATGGGAGAGGACAAGTTGTTGTATCGTTTCGGCATCTGCATCCTGCTTCAATTCTATCAACAGATGTCTGGAGGCAACCTCATCTCGGTGTACTCTACGGTCATTTTCCAACAAGGTCTCGGCTTGGATGCGCAGACAGCACGCATTCTGTCGGGAGGCACTCTCACCTGGAAATTTCTCTCGTGCTTTGTGTCTTTCTTCACTATCGACAGATTTGGGCGTCGTATTGTGCTGATGGTAAGCGGCACAGGGATGGCATGTTGTATGATGTCTTTGGCCGTGGCGACATCGTTTCCAAAATCCAATTTCGCCGCGCAGGTCATCAGCGTTCTATTCGTTTTCCTCTTCAACTTCTTCATCCCTATAGGCTTCCTTGGAGCCAACTTCCTCTATTGCACGGAGGTAGCTCCGCTTCGGCTGCGAGTGGCAATGTCGAGCATTTCCACCGCTAATCATTGGCTTTGGTAAGTGATTTTAACGGCGTTTGATACAACGAGTATGACGAAACTGGATCTGACCTTCATGCTTAGGAACTTCGTTGTGACAATGATCACCCCAGTCGCAATCAACAGCATAGGATATAAGTACTACATTGTCTACACATTGATAGGATTCTGCGTCCCATTTTCAGTTTACTTTCTGTATCCCGAAGTAAGTCAATTTTCTCCTGAAACCGTGACCTTCCGACACGATGCTAATCATACTTTCAGACTATGGGTATGAGGCTAGAGGATATTGATCTTATCTTTAGGAATAGCCCTTCCGTGTTGGGCACGGTTAGTTACGCAAGGACGAAGCCACATCTGCCAGTTGAAGAGGCATTACATGTCAAAGAAAAGACTGAACACCAGGAAGTCGCTTGAAATAACAACAGGATAGGTGACCAACAGCCGAACTGTACATATGCTAGAGAGTAGACTGCATAAGACATGAATTGACAAGATGGTCCGGAATTCTTAAGTAATATTGTCATTTTGCTCAAATATCCTGATTTACATCATGACATCATTCCCAAGCCAATGTTGCATCGGCCGGGCTACCATCGAGAATCCAATCAAGAGACTCCAAGTGATTGAGAGAATCTAAACTCCCGAATCCACCGAGCAAGTCAAATGATTGCGCCTCATGCTGTTGAAAAATCGATTGCGATGGTGTGAAAGAGCTGAGAAGACTCTGGCTTGAATCAGAATTTGTGATAGATGATGTAGAAGTCGGTCCTTCTACTCTTCTCAAGTCACGATTGAGCGATTGAAGCAGATCTTTGGCGTCATTTCGAGCAGTATTGAGCGGCTCAGATACCCCCTGCTGCCTATCTAAACTTGATGAAAGCGTGGGCATGTAGTTGGCAAGCAGGTCTATAGCATGCTCTATGAGCTCCTCGCTGCAGCTCGGGGCGATCTTCCTGCTGCTGTCATCCTGGCCAAGCGTATGACACCTATACAGAACGTGCATGAGACCACACTGAAATATCAAACTGGGTCCGTTTGGTACTATGCCGGAGATTGCCTTGCTGACTTCGTGACTGCTTAGTAGGTTGATAATTGCTGCGCAAGCACCGGCGCAGATGTCAAGACTCTGCGAACTGAGGTGTGGTGTCGTCAAATGTCAACGCGGGCCGATGTATGAGCACCAGAGTACATTGAGCTAGCAGCGAGAGCCACATGCGTATCACAGACTGTGGTTCGGTATATAATGTATTTTGATTTCCCAGGAAGTTGCCAAACCGTTGATCCCAGGCTTGAAGATCATTGTTGAGCTTGGCGATTTTCTCTGCTCCCTTTCGCCGTCGCGTGGTGGTATATAGCTCACTCAATGTCTCAGATAGAATACGGCCTAAGTGAACGTAGGCAATGAATTCGCTGACTTGTGTCACCTCTCCTGGTAGAGGGAAGGCAAGTCGCGATGTGTTGATTTCTGTGAGCTCACAGTCTAGTGGATAGTCCACATCAACGTCGACATCGCTGATCAGCTTGGGTAGTCCCTGGGCAACTGATGTCAATCTAGCATGGTTTAAGCAAAGAAACAAGTAACATTTCAAGAACGTTGTCTTACTGATCATAGATATATATCCACCACCACATCCGCTTTCTCATTTCTACTTGTCCTTCCATGAACTTGAACCTCCGAGAATGTCGATGAAGTCCTAGCGACTGCGCGAGCCTTACTAAAACTCCATTCATTTGTGCCATAAGAAGAACTTGACCTGTAACCTGCAGATAAAAAGAGAATAGAATAAGAGCATGTAAGCTGGGGAGATCTCCTTTGCTTATAAGTCGAGGGACCATTGTCCGAACAAAGGATAGATACGTAGATATGAGGTTCGTTTCTACAACTGAATTGTTCGGCATCGAGTTCAGAATCAGTACCAAGCAGATTTGGAAAAGAGCTAGCAACGCATCGTCTGAGCCATCCGAAAGGTTGGATGTGATCAGGCTTGACACACGAGACATTGACCGCGTCAAATCTGACGGTGCGAGAACTGGACAGAGGGCACCCCAAATGTCGACAAATAAACTTATTTGTTGCGTGTAAAATGAAAGTGGCATAGGGAAATACTGTTGAAGACTCTCGACGAATGACCGCGGAAGCCCTTGCTCCAGATCCGTAGTATCCAAAAGCTCCGAACTGCTGCCGTAGGGCTCAAGAAGATGGAGGCGGAAGCAGCTTTCAGGGAAAGGCTGTTGTCTAATGCGGCGGTTCTGTATAATCTGCTGTACTGACAGAACAAAATGCACGCCAGATGTAGAGCCCGCAAATCGCTCTCTGCCATTTGAATCCAGCACGAGCCGTCCCATGTGCGTAATGATGAGAGCAGGCTTGCTTAATGAGGTTTCTTGGGAATGCGTAGATACTGGTCGTAGTTGACTAACGGTGACAGACTGTAGCAGCTCATTTCGAGAGTTTGGAGTACCTGCGGTGGTTGCTGATAGCTCTTCAAGGCGACGGTGTAATGATGCATTCGTCTCTCGTTCCGCCCGAAGCGTGCGCTTTAGCTCGTTATTCTCAGCTTGTAACCTTTTGATTTGGTCTTCAGATGAAGCCTGGAATCCGCGTATCTTCGTCTTCCTGCGTAATTTGGCCGAAACTATACATTGGGATCCGGCCGTAAGGCAATTACCACACTTCAACAAGTCAGACCTAGGTTTAGGAAGCAACAAACAAAGGAACAAATTCCGACTTACAGACGGCACAGCTCCATCACATTTGACCTTTTTCCTGAGATACTGTCGTCAATTCATCAATCGAAAATCCTGAAGTGTCCGGGAATCATACAGGCGACATCGATCACTGTAGAGGGTCGTCAGTCACACATTTCAGAGCAAGGGCGGTAGACGTGGAGCGCACCAAACCTGACCAGCCACTGTCGGATGAGAAACAGGTGGGTCCATCTTCCAAGGCCCTAAGAACAATCATATTGGACAATCTGTCGGTACTGCACAGTTTTCAAGATAACATTGGATTGGCCAAGGGTTGAATGGCGGTGCAAACTGCGGCAACAATCAGTGCGCCGCATGTGGTTCACGCGATGACGCTGCTCGGTTGGCCGTGTGGATCCTAAACCCCTTAGTGCCGGAATAAGGCGCAATCCCGACCACCTCCAAGACAGAGCTATCCCGGGGGAGAGGGATCCCCACACTCAGATTATATAACTGCTGCTTATGATATATACGGAGATGATGTCAAGTCGTTTGGACAATTCATTGATCGTTGATAAATTGAATCGCAGGGCAACAGACCTCGTGCTTGAGAACTTCGACCGTCGTGACATTTGACCATGGCTGCCTCTGTAATAGATTCGCGCGTATTTCGCAACCTGTTTGGCACTCAAGAGATGCGCGATGTCTTTTCAGATGAGGCTTACGTTCAGCGCATGATTGAGGTTGAGACAGCACTTGCACGGGCGCAATCGAAGGTTGGTGTGATCGAGCCAGACGTTGGAGATGCTCTCACACAAGCTATGGCAGGTGTCAAGATCGAGTAAGTTGTCGCCGCCACAGACATTCCCGTCGTGTGAACGTAGGCTAAATCTCTCTTTTCACCTTAGTTATGAGAAATTATCTATAGATACAGAGATTGTAGGATACCCTGTACTGCCCTTGGTCACACAGCTGGTGGCGCAAACGCCAGCGGAGCTTGCCAAGTATATTCACTGGGGGGCGACCACACAAGATATAATGGACGACGCTTCCCAACTTCAGATGCGTCAGGGGTTGCGAATAGTCAGACGAAAACTCCAGGGGCTGATCAGAACGCTGCGCCTTATGTCGGAGAAGTACCGCGACGTACCAATGGCAGGCCGAACTCATCTCCAACACGCTTTACCGTGCACATTTGGCTATAAGTGCGCAGTCTATCTTTCCGGCATGATCCGCCACCTAGAGCGTCTCGGCGAGATTGAGAAACGATGTCTTTATGTCCAATTTGGCGGGGCTGCGGGAACTCTTGCGTCTCTTGGCTCGGATGACAGCGGGATCCGCGTCCGTGCCGAGCTGGCGAAAGAGCTTGGCCTTACAGATCCGCCAATTACTTGGCACTCGGTTCGAGACAATGTAGCTGAGATTTTGAATTTCTTGGCGCTGGTGGGAGGCTCCCTTGGCAAGATCGCGTACGATCTTATCGTCATGTCCTCCAACGAGATTGGGGAAGTCTCAGAGCCCTTTGTGCCTCACCGAGGGGCGTCATCCACAATGCCGCAAAAGAGAAATCCGATTTCGAGTGAGGTCATATATGCTGCCTCCAAGCTACTCCGTTCCAATGCGGCACTTGGGTTAGACGCTATGGTCGTGGACTTCGAGAGAGCTTCGGGTCCTTGGCATCTTGAGTGGGCAGCTATCCCTTCTGCCTTCGTCCTTGCTGCAGGCTCTCTGCATCAGACCGAGTTTGCTCTCAGCGGGCTGGTAGTAAACACCGGCAATATGCTTAACAATCTCAACTCCACAAGGGGTTTGATTGTCGGAGAGGCAGTGATGATGGCGCTCGCACCCTTTCTCGGTCGCCAGGCTGCCCACGACTGTGTCTATGCGGCTTGTAAGGAGTCAATAGAGAATGGAAAAGTTCTATTCGATATACTCAAAGAGCGACCTGAGATTACAGCCCATATTGACGAGACGAAGCTCTCGCAAGTTTGTGACCCGACAAAATACTTCGGAGCAAGCTGCCTCATGGTAGACAATATGATCAGAGTTGCAGACTTCTCGACGAATACGCAGAAGTATGTCAACGGTACAAACGGATTTAAAGCATGATGCAATTTCACGACGGTGTCCCGTTGGAGTATTTTAGGCTATGACATATTCATACCTAGATCTTGTATTATTATGAGAATGACAAAGTTAATTCAGTGGTCCATGAATGTGCAGATATAGAAAAGAATGAAAAGAAAACAAGGCTTTTAGGTGAGTTTCCATGTGTGACAAATGACCTATCAGCGAAACAGAAAATTTCCTGTGGTAGGAAACTTAGTTAAGCGACGTATATCGCTTTTGTAGCAATATGTGCACACAACACACCATTTTATCGCAAAGTTGAGAATATAGCGGGACACCTCAGTATGCAGGAAAGTGTCGGCCCCTACGCACATCCATCCCGATCTCAAAGAATTTGCACATATGAGGAGCTTCGCTGCTGGGACAATACAGGAACAAATAGCTCGGTGTAGACAAGCCAAGCTTCGCAATGTTCGGTTTTTGTACCACGACTCATGAGATTTTTCATCGAGGGGCTTATGATGTCAGGAATGTGGCATATGAATATTGCTTGGACCTAGATTCCAATTGCTTCCCACCAAACCCAAAAAGCGCCACCGCCGTTTTCGCCTTTTCGCGTGCATGCACCCCTGCGCTAGTTTAGTGTTGATTAGATCCTGCAGCACATTACTCAACCGTCCAGATTGTCTGGATGCCTTCATTTCAGCAACCGTGATAGGATATGGCTACCAGAGACTGTGGACGTCAGAATAAAGCAGCCAAGGGCATCAGAAAGGGTATCCCATGTTTACTCCAGATTTCTATAAACCAAATACTCCGGTAGAGACCAAGCTTAGCGTCCGCCCTGGGTCCTGTCCTAGGATGGGGGCCACTTACTCCGTATTGCTGCCATCAATTACGCACCCCTGCACTGTTTGTGACCAGGAGACCCCGGCCAAGCTCGGAGTGACTGATAACTTTGTGATATCACTTGGAGAAGCGATGTAATTAAGCTTTTCACTGTAGCACGATCTGCCGATGATTATCCTCTACTACAATATTCCCAACATACGATGCAGATTTTGCATCATTGCTCTTGGCAAAGGCTTTCCCACTCCAGATACAACGTTGAAACCCGTTGCTGCCTGAGTCAAGGGGATTCCCATCGATCGGAATGTGGGAAGTCGTCGTTCTGCTTACTCTTTCCGTCGTATTGTCACGAATTTCCCGAGGCTCACTCCACACGTGCTAGGCCATGCGCCATCCTTGCTAGGCTCGCACCATGCGGGCTAGGCCTGCACCACGCAAGGTCGGCATCCACCATACGAGCTAGACCTACATGCCATTACACAGTCCACTTCCCAACCTCATTTAGGATTAATCATGACGCCTTCGTGTCTAGGCATTAGACGAGTCGCCGGTCTAAGACTCTGTCCACAGCGGAGCCTCTTCAGAAGACCACCACGGTCTTATCCTCCCAATACGTGAGTCTTTCTCCGGGTCCATCATACCGACCTGCTCCGATATGTGCTTTAATGTCTGGTAGCTGGTCGATCGTCTATCACCACTAGCTGTTAGCATATCTGTTGACGTCGAGTTGTGCTGAATCGCCTGTGCTTGTCACTGGTTGGGAAGCCCAGGTGCTCCGAGGTTCTCCCCCTGTCTCCTTCTAGACCAGGATGCTTGACAAGGGTCGAAGGAAAAGTACATATCCATATCCTGGAGAATAGAAAAGAAGAAATGTCCCCCGTTAGCTCATGGTGTTGTCTTGGTGACTAGGTGTTCCATCTCTCCTCGTTTTCCCCAGCTATTAGCATCAGTCCCTTGCTCCTCATCAAAAGCCATGGCTCTGTCAAGGAACACTAGTGTCAGGAGCAGTGCCACAGGCACTGGCACTGCTACTGGCTTTGTTTTCGGGTTCAATGATCACCTGAATGTTCCCAAACGACCTTCCATGGTTGAAAGATCCTTCAGCACTCCACATCTGCCTTCCCACAATGACCGTTTCAACATTGGAACCCCAATACCAGAACCTTCCAGGTTCTTCTCAGCTCGTCAATCAGTCCGCAGTGTGAAAACATACAATCCCCGTCCATATTTCCGCTCTCGAAGAATCAAGAAGGGTACCATTGATCGGCCAGAGCTGCGGGAAAAGGATCCTCGAGGAATCTGGATTACCTTGATACCTCTCTTTGGCTTCTTTGTTGGCCTGGCCTCCATCGCAATCCTGTCTTGGAATGGATATAGGTCGGTTAGTAATCACAAGTACTGCAAGGTCTTTATCGACGACTTTTCAAATGGTTTCAACTCAACGATATGGACCAAGCACGTTGAAACAGGTGGCTTTGGGTAAGCTAGTTGACACAGCCCATCCGATCAACATCTCAGTTATACTAATAACAGTAACAGCAATGGCGAATTCGAATTGACAACTGGGGGCGACGAGAATGTGTTCGTCCGTGATGGACAGCTCATCATAAAACCCACCATTCAGGACGAGAGTTACATCTCGAACACCAGCTTGACGAACCTGACTGCCGATGGCACTTGCACTTCACGAACATCTGACAACTGCGTCTTATCGGCCAACCTCACAGCAGGAGAAATTGTGCAGCCTGTCAAGTCTGGCCGCATCAGCACCAAGAACTTTGCGGTTATAAGATATGGCAGAATCGATATCAAGGCAAAACTTGCTGCTGGCGACTGGCTCCTCTCCCAAATAATGATGTACCCAGCAGAGGATTACTACGGTGCTTGGCCTGCATCTGGGGAGATCGATATCGGAATCGCTCGAGGTAACAATTACACCTACGGCAATGGCAAGGGCAATCAATTGCTTCAAAGCTCTCTACATTGGGGTCCGGACTCTACCACTGACCGCTGGCAAACAACTACCGGTGCACGAGACGCTTTACACTCGAGCTACAATGACAAGTTCCACACGTTCGGCCTTGAGTGGACTCGGGACTATCTCTTTACATGGGTCGACAGTCGCCTGGCCCAGGTTACCTATGTAAAGTTTAACCATCGCTTCTTCAAACTTGGTGGCTACGGAGCGACATACGAAAACGGGTCAAGGATTCTTGACCCCTGGACAGGACCTGGCACTAGCCATGCCACTCCATTTGACCGTCCATTCTACTTGATTCTGTCCGTTGGGGTTGGAGGCACCTCTGGTTGGTTCGCAGACGGAGTACAAGACAAGCCATGGGCGGATGCGTCGGTCACACCAAGAAAGGACTTCTGGAATGCTAGGGACCAGTGGGGGCCCACTTGGGAGAAGAAGGGTCACGGCGAATTGGTTGTTAAGGAGGTCGCCATGTGGCAGCAATGTGATGCCGGGGCGACCGATCTTTCTGGATTTGCTTGATATACTTTGTTAGCTTCATTGGAGTCAGGCCGGCGGTTACTGCAACTTGGGACTTGGGATGCATTTCGAGCACGTTTTTCTTTCTCTTCTGTTTTGTTGGATAGACCTAGATACCCCTTCAATTGGAGACTTCCAAGCCGCCTCGTACGTCAGGCCGCGTACTTTTGCGTTGCAGACGGCACGGCTATAACTGTTTGTGAAGGTGGCGTAATTCCCGCGCGAGGTGAAGGATCGTGGCTGAATCGCTGTGAGACGGGCGAACCAGAGACTTGGAAATTCAGAGCTGTCAAAAAAGCCACCCGCCTTCCTATCAGTGGGTGTGAGCCGCCTGTGTTGTTGCTCTCGGCCCTCCTACCCGTTTGGGAAGAGCTTGCGCATCCACATCTTGAGCTAACAAACGCCCTAGGCCGCCGCCATATTTCCCGACTTTCCTCCACTTCACATTCCGCTTGCGAATATCTTATCTCCTGACAGGTTAGCACAATGACGGTCTGGAAGCAAAGAGCCACGTCGATGACATGCCGATTCATGTATCGCCATCGGCGCGATCCCTAGGCTACGAGGAAATAAACTTTGGCTAACGAGCACCGAAGATGGACCGGCGATATTGCTGGCTCGCAGACTTGTTGAGACCCTTGGCAAATCAATCATTCGCTCTAGAGCGGCTTGAGAACCTATGGCTTTGCCATCCTAGCCCTGCCTTAAATCTTCCTCCGAATATGGCCTTCTTCTGATGCTAGCCGTATTCTGTAGGTCTCTGTCTACCCAAAACCCTCAGGCAGTGATGTTCACGAACACCATCACTCAACCTTAGTCCTACAGCAATGCTGCCCATACTGTTCCTCATGGGCGTTCTGCCCGCGCTCGCTGCAACAGTAACATCAGAATTTCACACGTCCAGCAAGCGAGGCCTGATCTATATACCAAAGTCCGACTTCCCGGAGGATGATCAGATATGGATCGAAAAGGGGTCTGATTTGACATGGTACTACAATTACAAGATGTACCCGAGCCCGGAATATGTCAATCACACATCGCTAGAGTTCATACCCATGCTTTGGGGTGCTCCCTCCAGTTTCAGCGATACAACTTTTCTCGAAAACGTCACGGCTCAACTCTACGAGGGGAGAAATATCACCTATGTCATGGGCTTCAACGAGCCGGACAACACGGGTGACACTGGAGGCAGCGACGTAGATCCGTCTGATGCTGCAAAGTACTGGAAAAAGCAGATGGAGCCTTTGCGAAAGCTGGGTATCTCTCTCGGCGCTCCAGCTGTGACTGGTGGCTCCGCGGGCTTCACTTGGTTAGAAGACTTTGAGGATGCATGCGACGGCGGATGCACCTTCGATTTCATCCCTATTCATTGGTACGGCAGCTTCGATGGTTTGGCAAGCCATATTGCAGATGTCCTGGCCATTTACCCGGACAAGAAGATATGGGTGACTGAGTTTGCGTTGGATAACTCCGGTCTCAACGAAACTCAGGAGTTCTTTCAAACCGCGGTTTCCTACTTGGATGACAATGAGTGAGTTCAAACGCTTTGGTTATGAAATCTTCAAGATACTGACAGGATCTCTTGCAGAAATGTCACTCATTACTCATACTTTGGCTCTTTTCGGTCATTCACATCCAATGTCGGCATCAATGTCGCCATGTTGAATTCTTATGGTGTATTAACAGACATAGGTGGTTGGTACTTGGAAGGCAATGCTACAGGAGTGAAGCCTGACAATATCACCGTCAAGCCTAATCATACAGCTACTGCTACTCCCTCGGCAACGTATACTGTACCAGCATTGGTGTCGACTTTATCCAATGCACAGTCCGTTTTAGCACCGAGCTTTTTCAGTCTTTTCAGTTTTGGTATATTAGCGATGGTTCTATGATTGTTTCTGTATTATAGGCATTAATCTAGAGGGTGGCTCGGATCGGCGTTAGGGAAGGGTCATTGAATCTGTTTAGAATACCCCAAGAGACATTACTTAGATCGCTAGGATTGACTATCTCAGTAGAATGTCGTAGCTCAACTCTCAGCTTACCATAATTTCTGCAGCCACGTCCTTCGCCGGTGCACACTTCATGTGTTGAACCAAATGCTCGTTTGCATGTTTAAAATTCAAAATTCATTTGACATCTGCGGGGACCCCTCGTCTGTCGCTATGGTGACCTTGCGGGAATGTGGTTCCATTCCTCAAAGTTAATCGCAGCGCAACCTTTCGCGCGCACTTACAACTCCCAAAGAGGCATAGCTCATTGTTATACTCCACCATAGCAGCTACTTTGCCTCATGCAAACAACACATCGCACAACGTCATGGAATATCTTGCCATAGTCCGGCTCACGGCCGCAATTCTCAACAGTTACAAACTTTCGGTATTCGCCGTTAATTAGGTCTAAATCAACCTAGATCCGGCCAGGCCCCTGAAGATTCCAGTCATCGGAGTTTTGTTGGATTGTATCGTCTTCCGACATGAGCCCCTAGGCAACCGGTCAAAGTTTAATATGGAGCCATACCTGTTCCGGACGCCTATCACAACCGGATGGCGACTAACATGATTACTCCGACTTCACAATGGTCTTTGTGGGTACGGAAGTTTGTCTCGAGTGCACTGGTAGCAATGGGAGACCCGGACGTAGCAGGAAGCCATGCCATAAGCTAGATACCCCCGTTCTCCATGGCGGGCTGCAAGCAGTAATCACACGCACAAACTGCGTTTGGAGGCCGGACAATCTCTCACTGTAGGAAGTGCCTGCTTGACTCTCTGAAGCAGACCTCCCCGCCGAAACAAGTCCGGAGTAGTGGTTCATCTCTTGCCTTGACACTTGCCATGAGAGGCCGTTTTCCTCTTCTGTCAGCAACGCGATGAGCAGGAAGACGACTATTGGGGAGAAGACACCTGGCGCGAGGACGCCGGGTGCAAGACCACGAACAGCGCCAACGACCGACGGGGGCTTTCCCGAGGAATTGAGGGTTCAAGAGCTCTTCAATAAATTGCAAGGGCTGGCACTGAGGGATACCACAGTTCTACCAAAGGTATGTAGATGTTGTGGTCGCACACAGTTTTGATTTCCATTCGAGCACCACTAAAACGTTCACTTCAGATAGTCATCATTGGAGATGAGGCCAGTGGCAAAACATCCGTTTTTGAGGCTCTCACAGGATTGTCCTTCCCAGGAGCAAAACGTCCATTGACCAATTTTGCCATTCATGCTCAGTTCAAGCGGACGACGGGGGAGAAATCTAGTGTGAGAGCGCGTATCTGCCCTGGGCCTCTCGACAGTCAATATGAGGCTGCTGTGGAGCACTTGGAAAGCTTCGAGGTGATCTATGATGGAGACTTCACAGGAGATGTATTCGTCAAGATTCTGCATGAGGTAAGCTTCATCCTTGAAACCTTTTCTAACCTTATCTCATCATAACTAGGCTGCCAACCATATGGATGTTACGCTGGCCCGTCCTGAGACCACTGCCTCTGATGATGGAGCTTTCAATCAGCGGCAACTCTCTGATAACATCCTGGTCATTGAGATATCTGGACCAGAGGTCCACAATCTGAGTGTCATTGACTTCCCTGGATTCATGCAGAGTACGTATTATGCGTTCAATTGGTAGGATGATTCTAAACCGTGTCTAGGTAATACACTGCATGATGTCCGTGAGGCCCAAGCTATCAGAAGCTTGGTAATGGACTACATTAAAGAGAGCCACTCAATTATATTGTATGTCTGCATTCTGTGACAGCCAAGGAAGTTTGCTAACATCACTCAGAGCTGTTGTGGATGCTACAAATCATATAGGCAACCAAGAGGCGTTGGCACTTGCCAGGAATGTAGATCCAGAGGGCCGTCGAACAGTCGGCGTTCTCACTAAGTGCGATGTCGTTCAGCGAGGTGACGAAAACAGGGTCAGTGCGAGATTTGAGATCCAGTGATATGATAATTCTGACTTATTCCTCTAGGTGTTGAGAATTGCTCGTAACAAAGAGCATCATCTATCCCAAGGATGGTTCGCTGTCAAGAATCGGTCAGTGCAGGAACGGCATGAGGGCTATGACCTTGAGCAGCGACATGCGAGTGAAAAAGCCTTTTTCGCATGTCATCCATGGAACAAGATCAATCATAGCCGAGCCGGTCTCACTCAGCTCAGAGAATTTCTAAGGGACTTGGTCAATGGCATGCTTCAAGACAACATCAACTCCTTGGTGCAAAAGATTCAGGGCATGACAGAGTCCACCACTGACGGCTCACGCTTCACTGATAGCATCGATGATAGGGGGGAATTTGACGAGAAGGGTGATAGTTTTGATCAACTTCGTCCAGTCATTGAGCCAACTTCCGAGGTCGAGGAATCAAGCAGCGGTGACCAAGATTCCGATGTGGAAGTTGGGGCGATAAAGAGACGACCAACGATCCTAATCAACGCTTGTACTTGTGCCCTAACTGTTGCTCTCGTACTAACTCTGATTGGTTTGGGTTGCGCGGAGTTGGCACAAGAGATAGCAACTGATGGAAGCTGGTACCGTTTGTTTCTATTGGTAACTGCACCACTGCAGATATTCGTCAGTCTGGTAAGTCATTCGCAAAAGCTCTATTGAAGTTTATCGATCGGTTCTCGTTGTTCAGGGATCATCCTTGCTAACTTTATCAAGTTCTTTTGCCAATCTCTCATCAACACCATTTTTCAACTCCTCGGTCCCGTCAGCCAGATGAAGACAAACTCAAAATTCTTTTCAGCAAACGCAGTGAAGCGTTTAAATATCAAAAATGGACCACTACCGCATGTCACAGTTCAGTGTCCTGTCTACAAGGAAGGTCTCGAAGCAGTCATTGTACCGACTGTAAACTCCCTTGAAGCAGCTATCCGCAACTATGAATCTCACGGCGGCACTGCAAATATCTTCATGAATGACGATGGTATGCAGCTACTTTCTCCAGCAGAGGCTGTAGAGCGTCGAGCTTACTACACGGCCCACAACATTGGCTGGGTGGCTCGACCTAAACACAACCCCGACGGTGAAGGACTGCAGAAGTTCATCCGACGAGGCAAGTTCAAGAAAGCATCCAACATGAACTATGCTCTGGAAATAAGCATGAAGGTGGAAGATAAACTAGTCAACATTGACCGTGGCGTTATCTGGACCCAGCACGAGGAGGAGGAGGCATACCAAAGATGCCTCACCGAAGTGCTCGATGACGAATTGGGCCGTGCATGGGCCGAAGGCAACATCCGTGTTGGCGACTACATTCTAATCGTCGACTCTGACACACGTATCCCTGAGGAATGTATGATCGATGCAGTCAGTGAACTCGAAGAATCCCCACAGGTCGCCATTCTTCAGTTCTCCTCTGGCGTCATGAACGTCACAACAAGCTATTTTGAAAAGGGTATCACCTTTTTCACCAATCTCATTTATACTGCCATTCGCTATGCTGTCGCCAACGGGGATGTTTCTCCCTTTGTTGGTCATAACGCATTTCTTCGCTGGTCCGCCTTACAGGAGACCAGCTTCGAGACCGTAGACAACCCACTCTACGAGAATGATCCCAACTCCACCACCCCTTATGAGAAGTTTTGGTCAGAATCCCATGTCTCTGAGGACTTCGATATTTCTCTCCGCCTCCAAACCAGGGGTTACCACATCCGTTTGGGAGCCTACTGCGGCGACGAGTTCAAAGAAGGTGTCTCTCTTACCGTTTACGATGAACTTGCTCGCTGGGAAAAATACGCTTACGGCTGTAACGAGCTTCTATTCTACCCTGTCAAGCTTTGGTGGAAAAAGGGTATTTTTACCCCTCTCTTCAAACGCTTTCTATTCTCCAATATGCCCCTAGGATCAAAAGTCTCTATTCTGGCATATATTGGAACTTATTACGCCATTGGATATGCCTGGCTCGGCACTCTTTTGAACTACTTCCTCATTGGATGGCTGAACGGCCACCTTGATCACTACTACATGAACAGCTGGCGTGTTTGGGTCGCTTTGATCGTGGTCTTCTCTGGCGCTGGCAACCTCTCACTCGCCGTCGTCCGCTACCGTGGCGAGGGTCTTGGCTTCTTCCATCAATTATGGATCTGTTCACGCTGGATCCCACTGCTCTTTGTCTTCCTTGGAGGCATTTCGATGCACGTCTGCCAAGCCATCCTGTCTCACATGTTCTCTATCGACATGAGCTGGGGTGCCACCGCGAAAGAGGTTAGCGATACCTCGTTCTTCATTGAAATGCCGATGATCGCTCGGCGATTCAAATTCGTTTTTGTCTTTTGCATCGCCATGATTGCCCTGATCATTTGCGGCGTCTACGCCTTTCCTTTTCTCTGGCGAATCGATACACTCATCGCTATATTTCCGCTCGCTTGCGTGGTCTTCAGTCATTTCTTCTTACCTGTCTTGTTAAACCCAGCGTTGATGAAGTTCACCTGGTAAAACCTCTCTTCGCACCTATTCACTATAGATATTGTCTTTTAGAAAGGATACAGGAAAATTAGGTACTCATAGACCGCTTGGCTGTTTGCGTATGAGCATCCCTTATGTATATACATATATTACCACGACATGCTGTTTCGTGCCAATCAGTACGATGTAGCTCATGAATGACAAATGAGGAATTACAAATATTTGAAATAAATTCTTAAGTTTCAAAGCTTCATTAAAACTAATACTCAAAGTGAGGATAAGTAGGTGATTGGGCGATGAATTGCATTTTTGGATGACGAATGACATCACTTTTACGCAACCTCGAGCCTTGTGCAAACTACAGCTTCAATTCTACTGCGCCAATCTTGAGAGCAACAGCAGGAGCTTTGGACAGCACAAACACACTATAGGTGGATGAGTTACTCACACCTAGGTTCTAGAACAGCCTCACATATCTGAGCGAGTTTCAATAAAGACCGGCCATTGCGCCGTCTTTTGCCAGCAGGTCATCATCGGGCGGGGCTGTCCATGACTGGTCCGCCTTCAAAACGTTCAAGGAATAACAACGTTGCAGCAGCTTGTCAGGCATGCCGCAGGCAGAAAACCAAAGTGAGTGATAACTTCCAGAGTAATTTTGATGGTGCGACTTAGTCTGCTGGTAGTGCACTGGTGAACGACCGAAATGTTGTCGCTGATCTCAGCGGCAGATCGATTGCCAGTATGCCACACAACCAGGAGAGACGTCTTCACAAGCTCTCAGACGAAGTCATGAAATCTTGCAAGGTCGCGTGACGATACATGAGGAGATGATTGAGCTCTTGAGAACTTTGCCTAGCCAAGAATCTCAGGAAGTACTGCGGAGAATCAGACATGGAATTGATATAACAACAGTACTCAACCAAGTCAGGGCCGGCGACCTTTTGCTTCAGCTAGCTGTGTCGCCTGAGACACGATTTCGATATTGGTTTCCGTACCGATCGGAAATGCTGAAAGAATTGACCTTGAGTAACCCGTACATGAGCTCCATGATTTACGAGGGTGCATCGCCATTCTCTCCGACCCAATGCTCGGAGGCCTCAGAGCACACGCACTCTACGCCTCTCACAAGACTGGAATCCGCTGAGTATCGGGATCTGTATCTCAAACCATTTCACGCTGCACAAGCTGTCGAGCCCCGTCTCTCTGATGCGAAACCCTCGTTGTGGACCGGTGTATGTGATGACGACGTCCTCATGCGAGATCTACTCAGAGTATTCTTTCGTTGTGAGTTTCAATTCATAGCAGTTTTCCAGAAGGACTATTTTTAGAAGATATGGCTACACAGCGAGAGGATTTCTTCTCATCACTACTTGTCAGCATAGTCCTTGCATATTCTTGCGTACGGTGTTGCTGTGATTTGTAAGTGGCCTCTCTAATCAGCTCTGGGTCTGCTATTCGGCATTCTCGAATCGCGCGGAGTACTGGAATCCCCATACACTACTTTACCGCTTCCTTGCTGAAGCAAGACGTATCTGGGAGTTGGAGGCCGCCGAACCGTGTATTACTACAATACAAGCCGGCATACTCTTCAATGTCTTCTGTAACCTATGTGGTCTAAACGAGATCAGCCAAGCATACAGGGTCCAGTCTATTGAATTGGCTCATGAGACTCGCCTCTTTGACAGCAATATAGTCGAACGAGACCACAGGTTACGCAGTGGAAGAGCCTTCACCACATGGGCTTTGTACAGTTGGGAGACGTGAGTGTTCCAGTCAATAGCTTGCTCGGCTGCTTATTAAGACAGGCTTGTCGGATTCTCCTTCATGCATCCTCCACTACTTAGAAAGCCACCCGACGTGACACTGCCAGACCCATCGGAAGATGCAAAATGGTATGGGGAAATATGGCTCAAGTACCCATTAAACCAGAGCATCTCGCCATCTTATTTTGGTCAGCTCTTCAGGGCAAAGTGCCAATTTCGGGTCATCATGAATGCGTTTTGCCATGAAGCATATTGGGAGTGACGCTTGACAAAGCCAACGAGTTATACACGCGATTAAACCACTGGTTTGATGGCTTACCAGGCTCACTTCTACCAAAAACCATCGTACTTCCCAGCCAGTTGCAACTTCAGTGAGCATCCCAGTATCGCAAGGCCCATCTGCTGAGAAAAGCCACATGCTGGTGACACCAATTACTCTACTCGTTTATTCCTGCTAATCATCTCCACGACGCCAGCATGTATTACCAAAACATGATCCTTTGCCTTTACGAACCGTTACTCGACATTGAAACAAATCAAGAGCCATCTCCACAGCAGTTGGTTGCCGATGCCAGCAAACATCTTCAGACTCTCATCCGACTGTATTATCTTCGCCATGGATTCGATTACATGGATCTCTTTATATGTATACCGCTCGTGCTTTCCGGGTATAAATGCCTTGATGCCATTGACGAGCAGACTCCAGCATCCCAGCTCGAAGACTTGCGGTCCACACTCATACTGGTTGCGCAGGGTTAATACAGTCAGCGTCGGAACCATTATCTCGCAGATGCTTTGTTCCGGGTCATTCGCGGACGGATGCGCGTACAAGAAGCAAATCTACTCAAAAACACGATCAAATTCGATGAAGACGAGGCAGATCACAAGCAGGCTATGGTCCAAGCTGTGCGGAGCCACTGGCCAGTCAGTGTCGTCAGGAAAAAGAAAGATCTTGATTCACACGGACTTAAAAATCTCGTTCAAAAATATGCCCATTTGAACGTTGACGAACGGACCGAAACTGCGTATAGCTCTGGCTAAATTTGCTACACTGACGATTCCAACGACTTGGAAAGAAGGCATCATGTATTCTGAAATTGATGTTGATTATCTATTGAAGACATGTGCTTGAACTGACCACTTGCAAAGTCATTACTACCACATAATCTTGAATTTATCAACAAGTTATTGAGCTTGACACTCGTCCAACATGGCATACTGCGATTATTTTTTAGTGACACAAAAGAATCGCATACAGCCTACACCATCAATGCAGTCTGTATTCCGGATGGACCTAATGCCCGGCAATACCGAAGATAATATCGCAATGATACCTTCATCACGTGCATCATTTATCGGGCGGGGGTTCTTGGGTACCTGCAGTCCAAACCTTGCTTACCGCCTTTCGTATGTTCAGCACATGGTATCAACTAGACTCACATTAGGGAATGAGAAATCGAATGGCCTCGTTTCTAATGGCTAAAGCAAACGACCATTAGACTCAATATGCCGTATTTGTTATGCCAGCGGCCGTCCAGCAATTTCATCTCCACTCCAAGACTAAGAGGTGGTTAAGGGAGCCAGCATGGGTTGTTAATACGTTGATCTCTTGGAACAAGACAACATCCAAGTCGTGATGCAGCTCGGGACTATTATTGCAGCTCGCCCTCGATCAGGGAATTCTGATTCACAGTCGGTCGCAGAACCCGCCGCTGCTGCACCAAAGCGGAAAACCCACAGGAAGAGCCGCGGCGGCTGCTTGCCTTGCAAAGCGAGGCATAAACGGTGTGATGAACGAAGACCACTGTGGTATGTTCCTTGTATCTCTCTGTTGGTCTCCATTCGCCGTGTCTCGATTGGATGTTTTCGTTACTCTGTTGTGGCTTGTCGTCATGATCTGTATGCGGCTGCATAGGCTACCTGTGGTATCCTTGCAGGACCTAACGCAGGTTGCGTATAATTCACGCGACCACTCAGAAGCAAGAGTAGGCAAATTGCCATCCACTTTATCACTAATCAGGGGTTCTATAGCACCAGTTGTTTAGTTCGAGGACAAGAATGCATCTATCGCACCACTTTGCTTGCCTCTGATAATATCAATCAAATCGAGGAGAGCCAACACACAAGCGGACCGACCACGCTGCTGTCTGCTGCCTCCTCAGATCCCTTTGATGTATCATCTATCAAGTTGCCGTATCTGTCTTCGGAGCTCTCAAATCATAGTATGTCTTATACCCTCCAGCGGCCTGTGCCGCATTGCTTTCGGGAGGACGGCCCCCATGAACAAGCTTACACCTGCATCTTCTTGGCAGAGCGACTAACATGACCTGCTATTACAAGTCATACATTATCGAACACAAATTCGGAAGTTCTTTGGGTTTTCCCAACCTATTGACATAAGTCTTGGGAACCCGACATTCTACCAAACAGCGTTACTTATTGCAGCTGGTCACACCTCTCTAGCCAGGCCATCTAGAAGAGATTTGCGCGAGACGTTCACTTATCACAAGCTCGAAATAATTAAATCTGTCAAAGATGAAATCGACCAGTCTCCTCGCATCCCGGGCTGGATGGGCTGTATTGTATCCGGGCTAGTCCTGGCAAATGTATGCCTTCATCCCTCGTGCTATCAAAAATTAGAGGCTTACGAGTGATGAGCGCAATAGGCTGATAATGGTGAGTACGACGAAGCAGAAGCCCATTTGAAGGGATTGTTCAAGATCATGGACATATATGAAGGCTCAGGTCAGTTACTTTCAGGCTGGATCCTTGGAAGGGTAACCATCATGTAAGTGTACAGCGTGCCTGTTGCTCATCACCAAGCTAATCGATGCATGTCATCATAGGCCTCTTGCTATGATCTTCGCCACCGCGTGGAACTTGCCCTATGGTGGCTCCAACAAGGACGACTCGAAGCAACTGCCTCCTTCTGCAAGCCACAAGTCATTATGGGCAGAGGCCGCATACTTCTACGAATTGTTTGCCATAGAATTCCTCCGTGACCAGATGACGGGTTCAAGGCCAAAGGCAGGTGGCGAGGCGGAGCGTCTGGACGTGATCATACTCAAATGGCTGTACAATCAGCGTAAGAACGAGAGAACAGGGCAAACCCAAACACAAAGACCTACAAACCCCGAGTCGACGGCACACGAGGGTGGAAGCAGTAGGCCGGTTATGACTGTTCCATCTCACTTACACACCTCGAGGTTGCCGGACGAGATTTGGATTGCTAGGATAGCGGCTGCAGCACTGGCACTAACCGTAGGACTAATGCACCCGTACGGTGTGCAGCTGGAAGACGCCAGTGATGCATCTCGTAAACTGACGACCCAGAACCAAGATTGGTTGGATGACTGGATCTGGGTTTGGAGAAATAGCGGCAAGCCGATGACCGCTTGGCCATGGCAGCAAATTCTAAAGAAGATTGCGTGGGTTGAGACTGAAGAAGGCTTCGAGTTCATCAAAACCGTATACCACGAAGCAGCAAAGGAGCAGAAGTAACATGCGTTGGCAAGAGCTCGTGTCACCACTTCTACGGCAATCTCATAAGGAAGAATTGGACTTGCGAGGATCCTTGCCTTTCACAACAAATGGCTTTCCGTAGAAGAACATTATCATGATACCCGAGAGAAGCGAAAACAAGGCCAAACTTAATATTTGGGCACTGAACAGAGGCTGCAATAAGCCGCATCTCCCTAATTAGAAGCCAGAAGAAGAGCTCATCTCAGGAAGCCTACTATGTCTCGGACAACAACCAAACATGCTTTCCGACATTAATCGGCACAATCCGAAGTCTGTCTGTATGATGGCCGCCGGCGCGCCGAAGCCCAGACTTGATGTTGTTGATCGGCCCCGAGCGCCGAAGCCCCCTGGAAGCGCAACGGCCGTGACGGCCAAGAAGGATTAAAATGGCGTGGTAAACGGAGACAGACCAATTTGCTGAGGGAGTGGGCCATCGCCCAGCCCACTTTCACTGAATTGCATCTTTGTAGCATTGTAGATAGAACACATATGGTTCTCTCAGTCCATTGGATATAACTTAAAGCTAGCAAATGGAATCCAGAAACGGAAAGGAGTCTGCGTGTGTGTTATTGAGCGCGTCAAAAGAAACAATGTGTGCTCGTAAACAAGGAGGCTCCTTGAGTGAGACACAGAGATAGCTGACCCCCACCTTCAAGGTCTTTCAGGGGTGACAGCCCCCACAAAACTCCAGTGACGGGGGCTGCTCCAGGCGCTCTGGCCCCCGAAGCTCGGGGTCATCGCTGTAATTATCTCCGGTATCGGGTTAAGCTCGTGTAAGCTGAGTATTCAGAGCAAGCTCATTGGAAATTTTGGAGTCACTGCAATTTACCTGCACATCTTCGTGTATCTACACTTTGATACTGCAAAATTGAAGCTTTCACGACACTGTGATAGCACAGATTGAACCCCAACCTGCCTCGTATAATGGCATAGACATAGAAATCCACGTTTTTTTCTATTTCAGGGTGTTATTCTGTCTGTTGGTGAGCACAAATTAGTCGCCGGGGATTTGTTCAAGTAATCCGTCCGGTCAGCCAGTCTCGACTAAGCACCCGCGCAAACTGGACCGGGAGCTGCGGTGTTCACGATGCCAGAACGCGATGACAAGCTGAGTGCTGTGACACCCCAATTCAAGCTGGAATCTCCCGCAAAGCTGCCCATACCGACCCCAAAGATCGACATGGCCGCTAAGCTAGAGCGCAAATGGAACACCAAGAACCTGGGCCTCAGGCTTGGTGTTGATGCTGTTGCCGCAGCGTCAGCAGCTGCTCTGATTGCCCCGGTAGTCTCCATTATTGACAAGTAAGTTATTGCGTCTACTCTGCAGCCAGGATCCAGGCGCTGCTTGCTAACGCGCAATACTTCAGATCCGTCATGGAGAATGCCTCCGGCCGAGCAACCCTCCTCACCTCAGTCAAGGCCTCTTTGCGCACCCTCTTCCTCCGACCACACACGATGCTTTTCTCGAAACCTTTGGCCCTCATCTTCATGACCTACGGTGGAACCTATCTCACGGCGAACAGTCTCGACACGGCCACATCAACAGTGAAGAACAAGCCGGCCACAACAGTCACAGCCGGCCCCGCGAAGTTCGTATCGTCCTCAACGGCCAATGTCTGTCTCGGCATATACAAAGACCAGGTGTACGCGCGCATGTTCGGCCCCGCTGGCGTCGTCAGCCGCGTGCCCTTCTCCAGCTATTCCCTCTTCGCGCTCCGCGACTGTATAACAATATTCGCATCCTTCAACGTCCCGCTGCTCATGGGACCGGTGGTGACGGAATTCTTGCCCAAGCAGGTCGAGAAGTTGGTGAGTGGGCACACGATAGTGCAGTTTGTTGCACCAGCAGCGGTGCAGTTGATGTCCACGCCGCCCCATCTGCTCGGCTTGGATATGTATAACCGACCAGGCCTGCTGGGATGGAAGGACCGCTGGCTTCAGGTCCAGAAGAACTGGGCTATTAGTGTGGCCGCCCGTATATGTAGGATTGTTCCTGCTTACGGTGTTGGTGGCGTGGTTAATGTCAAGGTTCGTCGTGGCCTTATGGAGAAACTAGTATAAACTGGTCGGACTAGATGTGCCCTGTAAAGTGTGGTCTTTCTGCTTTTAAGAGCCGGCGGCGTTGGGAGTCAGGAACTGTCTCGGTTGGGGTCAAAGGCTAGATCTCCCCCACTTTAGATTTGTATGAGTAGAGACAGGTTGGGACAGGATATAGAGGGATACTGGCAAGGATTCAAATATTCTACCCTTTCTCAGAGGTCCTGGGCCTTGTCTTTAGAACGTGCCTGAGCACAATGATAAATCTTTATAAAGTTCTCATATAAACCCGCTGTCTTTTAATGCTTTGACAATCCTTTCCGCTTCGACAGTCGCCTCATCCTTTCTTGTGCGACCCTCGCCTGTGTCAATGTAGTTCTCCCAGAACTTCAAGCCTTCAATGCCTTCTTCTCGACACAGAACGCCTCGTTCTTCTGCCATTTCTAGCTCTTCTTCTGCGACACCAATACTCCAGCCAAATCTTTCTGCAGCATCCTGAGCGGTGACACCTCGGCCAAACTCTTGCCAATCCCATGGCACTTCTCGCTCGGGCGGGAAATCATGCAAGTCTCTCAGCCAAGCCAGCAGGGTCTTGATGGTTGTGTCATCAGTGCGGTCTCTACCTTGGACGACCATCACTCCACTCTTGAAAGTCCTTAGACGAACTGGTAACTTCAACTTCTCCCAGAGGGCAGCCGCCTTCTCAAAGTCCATTGGACTTACAAGCTCTACACCTCCACGCGCGCGGTTAAACATCGCCCAGAGATCGACCAAGCTTATGATCCCGCCTGCTTTCCTCAACACGCCTCTCGCGTCGTCCGTCAGGAATTCAGCAACGTTCCGCGCGAGTTCTGACAAGTACAACGACTCGTTGCTGCTCCCACCACCGACAATATCTTTTGTAGTGATCAGCCCAAGTTGGCTAGCTGACTCGGCGAGTAGAGCATTCGCTTCTGATGAGCCGGTCCCGCCATTCGACTGTCTTGAGAAGGTCTCGGCAAGCGCAACAATCTCCTTGGCAGAGGCCATCAAAGCCTCTAGATCTTCGAACGCACTGCCGATCACAAGCTCATTGTTCTTACGCATATCCAGCCCCCGCTGCTCCAGACCTGCAATCCCAACGGTCTTCTTCCGGGGCTCTCCGTTTGTTGCTGACGAGGCTGATGACGTCGCATCTCCCCCTAACCTGCTAGATTTGGGTATCGGTGGAGCTCCTTGAAGCAACCATTTCCGCTGCGTCATGGACCCCTTAAGTCGTTCGTAGAATATCTTCTCACCACCATTACGGAAAGATATTTTCACACTTTCCGGATTTTCCAGGCCCGTCGCAGCACCTAAGTTGAGCATTGGTCCCGGTGATTCAGTCCGCTCCGGGTTCGGTCGGCTGTGTTGTAAGACATCTGATGGGACATCGTGCGAGATCAGTGGCGCTCCGCATATCTCGCATGACAGTAGCGAGGGGTGGTTGAGAAATGTACAACGAGGACACTGGAAGGAAGCATCGGGATCTGTAGACTTAGGAAGCCCATTAGTTTGCCCCTGAGCTTCACTCTGTTCGGGACCAGCCGACAAATTACCGATGCTGGCTGACTGTGGTCGCGGGCGTAAGGGAAGAGGAGATGCGACAGATTGTCTGCTCGTGGCATTGGAAATTGCTGCCTTGAGAACATGCGTGAGGGCCGGTTTGATCCCACATGCTAAACATGGCGGGAGGGGTGTATGCGCGTTCGCCGTCTGGGCATCAAAGTTGGAGGGAACAGGATTCGAAAAGCTACATATGGTGCAGACCCATGTTGCCGTGCTTGCTGGTGTCGGGTCCACCGACGCAGGGCGAAAAGGGCTATCTCCTCGTTGCACGGGCGAAGCAGTGTTACTTCTCGTAGGTATAGCGCCGGTTGCGGGAGATCTTGGCTGGAAGGAGGTACGTTTCGCTGGTTTCGGAATCAAGGTGACCTTTGCTGAAGACTTCAAGAAGCCGGCCTAGACAGGGCTTTAGCGACAGATCAATAGAGCAATATAATGTTCCTCATACATAGAATTCGTACCGCTCGACGTCCTTCAAGTCGAGAGCTACGGAGTACTTTCTCGGATCTGCCCTGTCGACATAGCAAACACGATGAGATGTCAGGTAGACCTGTCCATTCTGCTGGTTCGGAAGCTTATACTTCCTGAAGCACAGTCAGTTTAGCGACTTGCAAGACCTCAAGAGACACCTCGCCATGCCAGACTCACCCCTCGTATAACCCCACATTATCTTGCACAAAGAGAAGGACTTCATCTGGGAGGTAGGCCGGCCGCAGGGCGGTGGTCAGGTCGATCTGCTTTAGGAACATTCGTCATATCTGGCAGGCAAGAAAGCCCTAACGCTGGCACGCTGCTAGGTTGAAGGACAGTTTTGCAGTTCCCGGAATAGAAGCCAAGGGTTGACGTAGTCTCGCGAGTATCAGGGCACCTCTCAGATCTCTGCTCATTAGAAGGATATCGGCTTATCAGTGGGGGCTTAGGTAATCAGAGTAGTTGTTGAGGCGGCACTTCCCTTGACGGATCTGATTAGTGCGCTGTTCGCGCGTAACACAACCTAAAATCGAGTCGCTTACCGGACTGTCTCTCCGCTTCACCTTTTTCGCCTTTGTTCTCTCAAACCCCCAACTCTGCCTTCCATCACCACACCTAGGAAGCGCCCTTCTGCCATCTGCGACACACTACAATCAGCATCGCGATCATCTTTACTGAGACTACTAATTTTTTCTAAATCCAGCGATCGCCATTTCGTGCACAACTCGACTGTGCACACGTCGTCAGCATGATGCCAAGTTGGACAGCGGTTCCGCCGCCGCCTGGCACCCAACCACCAGGTTACGCTTACCAAGGTGAGTCAGTCGTCTCGTAGATGCCTACCGACACGTCCTTCTCTTCGTCGGGCTCATCTGCTAACATTCGCTGTCTATCTAGCCCCAGCCTACACACCTGTTCAAGTCCGACAAAGCTTCGGTCAATCGTATCCAGTCCCTCCACCGCCTTTCCCAGGCGTACCGCTTCCTCACTACGCTGCTCCTCAGATTCCCTCTCAGATTCATCCCTCACCGCCAACTAATCTCACTCCTACCATGGCTACCCCAGCTGGAGCCGAACCCGCCAAAAAGAAGATTGAGTGGCCCGATTCTGTACGCAGCTACGTCCAGCGGTCTTTTATTCCGTCGAACCTGGATCCTTCCGTGTCCCGCGCCGAAATGGAGGCGAAGTTGAAGGAGACGATCTCCCATGCTAATGAGGCCGGACTGATGTACAGCATCAACTGGGATGAGATGCCGCTGCCCCAGCAGCTGATCCTGAATGAGAGGGCCGCCCGACTTGCCCAAGCCAGCGCTGTCCAGCCAAATGCCACAACTTCGAAAAAGCGAAAATCCAGTGACTTGACTGCCGAAGACGACAATGCCCAGGTTTATGCCCCGTGGCGTGCCACTGCCAATGGTCGTAGTTCACTCGAGGATCGCATCACTTACCCTTCCGCCGACAAGCGCCGTGCCATGGACGAACCGCTGCCCAAGAGTAGTAAGTTTCAGAAGCAGCAGGAGAAGCGTCAACGACGCTTCGAGAATGAATATAAGTCAGCGTACAAGTCTCCAAGCCCGGAGCCCACTCCTGGTCCCGTTGTTGGTACGTGCGAAGTACTCGAGAAAAGGTATCTTCGACTCACTTCTGCACCGAACCCGGCCAACGTACGCCCGGAACGCATCTTACGCCAGACCCTGGATCTTCTCAAGAAGAAGTGGAGGAAGGAGAGCAACTACAATTACATCTGTGATCAGTTCAAGTCCATGCGTCAGGATCTCACAGTGCAGCGCATCAAGAATGATTTCACAGTATCCGTCTACGAAATCCACGCCCGGATTGCCTTGGAGAAGGGGGACCTCGGTGAGTATAATCAGTGTCAGACCCAGCTGAAGGCCCTCTATCAGCAGGGTCTCAAGGGAAACCCCATCGAGTTCAAGGCCTACCGTATCTTGTATTTCATTCACACCGCCAACCGCTTGGCGCTGAATGATGTTCTTGCGGATCTAACCAAAGCAGAGAAGGAGGAGCGAGCAGTCAAACATGCCTTGGATGTCCGGTCAGCCTTGGCGCTGGGCAACTACCATCGCTTTTTCCAGCTTTATCTGGACACTCCTAACATGGGTGCGTACCTGATGGACATGTTTGTTGGTCGCGAACGCCTGGCAGCTCTGTGCAACATCTGTAAAGCGTGAGTTCTCACCCTGCTTCTCCCCACCTTGACACGTGATGCTAACATTCTCATCAGATACAAACCAGATGTGAAGCTTCGTTTCATCACTGAGGAGCTTGGTTTTGAGTCGGATGTCGATGCGGCGCAGTTCGTTATCGACCATGGCGGCCAGCATCTGCTTGAAGAACGAAATGCCGACATCTATTTTCTTTCTGGCAAGGCCGGCCAAACGTTCGAAGGCGCCAGATCTCAAGCCTTCCGCAGAGTTGACATCAAGGGCCAGATTTGATCATTTCCGCGTCTTTTTCTTCTTGCTTACTTTTCCTCTTTTGCTATACGCGGACCCGTCCCAATCCTCGCCTGATACCATATACCCAGCCTACCCTTCCATTATCTTTATAGACCGTCGATCTCCGCTTCGGCGATCAACGTTGCCCATTTTCATAAGTAAAGGGACTCTTGTACTCGACAAGATTCCCTTTCACCGGTCGCATTTCTCTCAAATATCGAGCTCTATCTCGAAGACCCTTTCCGTAAAGTCGACTATTGACGCAACTCTTTCTAACCTCGATTATCAATTATCCCAGACCTTGTAGTACTGTCTCCTCTCAACTTTTGTCAATATTCTGTGAGGGACGGGCTTCAGTGGTATTCTCAAGGTCGCTCATGGATAGGATCGACTGCCTCTTAGGTGGTTTACGATTTTCGTGGCAGATATTGTCGCCGGAGGATGGGGATCTTTTCCGACTATCTCTGCTGTTGCATCAAACGGCGTTCCGACTGTCGGTTGCAATTGTTTGACGGCAGTTTACATTCTCCTGTTGATACCCCACAACGGTAGATGCATTTGGACTTGAGCGCCAGACTGTATCTGGCCATGACTGGCGTTAGAGGGCAGGATAGGACTTGTGTAGCTAAAAGTGATCCAGGGGATAGGTGTTGATAGATGATAACCTTATATGAGACTTTTCTCAAGATATCCTTCCTTTTGGTGACATGAAGATACCATGTGCGGTAAGTCTTTACAAGTTTAGGCTTTGGTGACCCTTCTATAATATTGCATATCAGATGAAATGCTTTGTGAGAAAGGAAGTTTCCCAGCGAGGAAGGTTGCCAGAACCGACACATCAGATTGATGTTCCTTGACCTACCTAGTAATTTGAGTTGCCCGTATTGGCCTACTGGGGTCTCACCTGGTGTAGATTATGCACTTCGCTTGTGTGAGTTATGCTACATGGCTGCATGCATTACTTTTAACAAGAGGGCATCATGTGTGTAAGTGGCTGATCCATTAGATGGGTTTATGCGGTTCTGCATAAAATTTCAAAGAGTTAATAAGGACTTAACGCTACTGCAGGCTAATACTGCCCTCATAAGTACATCTGGCTCCCACACTTGTGACACAAGGCGAAACACTAAAAAAAATGCGCTTGCTTTTTGCCGAGTTTTTCCCAGGTATATGCTCCCCGCCACCTCTTTTCTTGCTGGAGCACAGAGCCGAATCTTAGCTCACTTGTCGCCCGCCGCTTTTCCAATTTGCCAGGACGCGCACAGTAACAGCAGGCCTGCTAGAGAAGCCTCTTTACAACGATCAACACCAACGCTCCATTGCCCCGACTATTCAATTCCTCCTTACCATCCATCGCCATCCGTCGCTAATCCCGAAATCCTCATCACCCGCCGAATTGAATCGCCGACCCCATCATCGCCGTAACTCCATAAGCCGAAAAATAAAAAACGGAGTCGCTCGTTCTCCCGCCGCTCGCCGCCATGTCCGCCACGGCTCCGGCCACGGTTGCGACCACGGCCAGCTCCCCCAAAGAGCGCCATTCCCTCACCCTCGACCAGCGTCGTGCCCTCCGTAGATGGGCCAATGCGCAGACCGTCCGCCCTTCTCACAAGGCGTGCATCGAGTGGTTCCTGGGCCAGTATCACCAGACAATCAGCCAGTCCACCGTGTCGCATTCGCTGTCGCCCAAATACGCCCGCCTCGACGGCGATCCTCAGCTGTCTGGCTCGCGCCTCAGATTCGGCAATTGGCCCGATGTCGAGAAGCTGGTGCTGCTATGGCACCAGTCCATGGTGAACAGCGGCCGCCAGCCGTCCAACGAGGAGCTGGCTGAGAAGGCAAAGTCGATCTTCTCCGAACTGCCCAGATACAAGGACGAGCAGCCGCCCGAGTTCTCTCCCGGCTGGATCCATCGCTTCAAGAAGCGCTACGGCTTGCTCATCCGTCGCCAGCGCCGCCATGGCAGCACCGCGACGCAGGGAGACGACATCCCCTACCTCGTCGACACCGTCCCGCGCTTCATGAACATCAGCGCAGACACCTCCCCGGCTGCCATCCGGGACTCTGTCCATCGCATCGTCGGCGTCGAGCCCAGCCTCACCACCTGCGCGCGCGTGCGCGACGAGATCGTGCATCGCATGGTCGGCACCCCTCACCCGACCCACCACCACCAGCAGCACGAGCCGCCGCCCATCAACGGAGACCCGCTACCGCCGCCGCCCCCTGCCCCCGTCGAAGGCGAGGTGTACGGCGACGACGATCCAGAGGTCGTGCTGCAAAACGCCCTCCGCGCCATGCAGCAGGAGGAGGCCGAAGCCGAGGCCAACGCCGCCGAGGCACGAGCCGAGCGAGAGCGCGCCGACCGCGGACTGCCGCCTCTCATGGGCCTCGCCGGCCAGGCATACGCACAGCACGCGGCGGCCGGTGCACTGGCGTCCACGCCCACGCCCGTGCGCGCGAGCGTAGGGCCGCCGCCGCCGCCCAGCGCCCCTCCCAGCGGACGGTACTCGCAGGCGGACGACCTCACCCTGACGCCCATCCCGGCCAACGGGCCCCTGTCCTCCCACGAGCGGCCGATGCGGTGTCCCTTCTGCGTCAACCAGCGCATGCTGCGCACCATCAAGGAGGCGGTCGAGCACATGTCTTCGCATGTGGTCGTTGACTAGGACTCATCACCCGCCGTGCCATCTCCAGCGGGATCATACCACCCGACTGTCCCTGGGGCGCCGTCGTCATGGTCTTTCTCATCATTATCACCATCACCATTGATTGAACAGGGAGGAAACCGGGCGTTTGGCAGGGATGTTGCTTTTGATGCTGCTTTCTAGGTACCTGCGGCCCACAAGCAGGGAAGCTTGCTGGGTAGTGATGACTACCCATCACACGTGCTAGACGAGGATAGAGGACCATCGTCATGATTCATGAAAGGGTTTTTTTTTTTCTTTTTCTTTTCTAGCTTCTTCTCACTTCCGGTTATGCGTATACCAGGCTTTCAGGGGTCACCAAAGCATAGGAGGGAAAAGGGGGTTGGGCTACCACAGAATTTGCTTTGCATTTGTATGGCCTTAGCTTGAGGCTACTTCGCCTCAGCAAGTCAAGCAGTGCGCTTCGCTCCATAGGAAAATCTGCATGAATGTGTAGAAAGTTGTACGAATTGAAAGACTTGATCATGAATGAATGAGCTGCTGCCAACCTGGCCGATCACAATTATTAATGGTTTCAAAAGCAACTGGTTCTTCACATGAAATCACTATGTCCCAAGAGCACATTATTTACGAACTTTTGATTCCTCGAATTGCGCTCCTTCATATACTTCGTCCTAATCATGTCTTGGTGAAGCCAGCCCCATCAATCGATCAATCACCAAAAAGACTGATGATTGAGTGATGTCTTCATGAGGCCCTATTTCGAATCCGTCTCTTTCGGAATACTACCCATCAACCGCTCATCATCCGCCCACCCGTCCATTCCATACAGTCCGGATATCCTCCTTTTCTCTTTAGTCCCCCATCTTTCCCTCCCTAGGTATAAATATCCTAGCATCTGTCCAATCGTTATCGATCCCTTTCAGAAAAAAATGTCCTCCAAGAAAAGGGGCTAGAATGAAAAATAATAAAAAGACTAAAATATGGGAACGGAACGGTATCTCCCCTACATATCCATCATGAAGAGAGAAGGATGAGAAATATCAACCCGAGACGCCGCCCCTTGGGGAATATCCTATAGAACGAATCCATCATGAATGCTTGCTTGCGCTCATCCCAACCTCTCTTCCACAGCGCAACCAGTCCAAGAAATAGAAAACCCATCTGGGTATGAGAAATTCGGATCTGTAGGTACAAGCCTCAAGCCCGCAATTTCGAAAGCGAATGTGGGGTGCACTGGAATGTGGCTTCGCAGCTAATAAACAGTACGTTAAGCATCCACGTTCGAGCGGTTGTAGATCCTATGTTTGCATATCGTTGGAGACACTGGTAGAGCTGTATAGAGCAGACAATATGTTGGGCAAGCAAGACCAAAAAGCGAAGAGCTGGCCAGGGGTATGCTTCTGAATACGACCACAGGAGGTGTGTGCCGGCAATGGAAAGAAAATCAGTGGTGGCAAGCAGGATCGAGCTGATCAGTTGGATCACAGCTCACACCTGCTCAACATAGAGCAGTAGCTTCTCATTCCGTTGCAAAGCTAAGTCCAGGTCATTGTTGCTAATCATTGACGGCCGGTCGCCGGTGGCCTCATCTTTGTAGAAAAGCTGGATCTGCTCGCCGGCCGGAATCTTCAGACGCTCTCGTATCTTCTCGTACAGGTCTCGGAACTGGATATCGTTTGGTACGCGAATAGCGATCAGATCCCCGTTGAAGCTCAGCTTGACCTTCATCGCTGCCGTTTGCTGGTTTAGACCAGGTGAGAGTGATGTTTGTGAAGGTTGAGAAAGAGATGAGGCCTGGCGGTTCATGGGAGGCTGGCCGTTAGGACCTCTTTGAGCTGGTGCCGCTGAGAGACCTGAATAGCCATTGCCGTTCAGGTTATTTCTAGATGACTGACGGGAGGCGCCGTCTCTTGGCGAGTCTGTCGATGACGGCTGTGAACCATTTGAGAGTCTATACTCCTCGCCGGCAGTGTTGGCGTCAATCTCGTAATCACCCTCCCTAGGAGCGAAGAACTGCTTGACCAGATTGCACTTCGAAATGTACTCGGGCTGTGCTAGAAGGTTCTTCACGTAAGCGTCCAGATTGTGAAGCCTTCCTTCCGTGATAGCGTCGGTAACGTAGTTAACGGGACCAGGCATATACGGCAGCGTTCGCTTTTGTGTGCCTGTGTTGCCGGCTTCAGCTGGAAACTCTGTGAGGAGGGCGATTTGGAAGTCGTAGAAGTCCTCGTAATATCTCGATAGCTCCCAATGCCGTCCATCTTCAAGAGAAGCCTCGATAACAAACCAATACTTGTCCTCAGCAAAGCAGTAACGGGGTATGCGTGCGGAAATTGGGGCGAATAATTGCGAGTTAGACCTGGCTGCATACGGATTTTGTTGGATCTGGCTCTGGCTCTGGGTGTTTCTCTGTGAGTTGTAGCCAGATGGCTGCAGGAGTTTGTTAGTCTCCATTTCAAAAGAATGCAACAAATCACACTCACATAATTCGCTCCGTTCATTTGGCTCGTACGACCACCGCCCTGTTGCAAGCTCATGCGTTCCATTCCTTGCTCCATCGACTGTTGCGGTGCTCCGCCTGCTTCAAACTTGCCAAGAGTGATGCTGCTGTTCTTGTATTCTGCGGCCATTTTCTTCCACTCCTCTACCTTCGGAATCCCTGCCCTGCGTATGGAGTCTTGGGGATTGGGGACGGGAGTGTTCGTTGCCATGTCTCGAATCTCAACAAATGAGACTGGTATCAAGCCCGGACCGCCTAGTCTTCCAATAGGCTTGGCCACAAACCATTCGGGGTTCGATTGCGCGATGACGATTATGGCCTCGCCAGCTTTGGCTTCCAATTCGTCCGCCCTCTCCGCTTGGAAGTCATACATCACGATTCCGTACACCATTGCACCTGACTTGCCTCCCGACTTGGAGTTGCGTTGGCTCATCGCGGGAGTTGGCATCGCACCGGCCGACGGTGTTGACGTCTCCGCATAACCAGAGTCATGATCGGGGTTCTTTGTCGTCGGAGTGGTTCGTGGCTGGCTTGTATCGGACTGTGCGCTGTCTCTCTCGGTGCGGCCTAGAGCCTGGAAGAAAGCAACGGGAACCAGACCCCGAGCGTCTGGGAGCGCGGGGTTGCATGCTTCGTACCAGTCCGGGTCGTTCTCTCGCCCTATGACATGGAAAAAGTCGCCTCGAGAGAAGCTCAGTTCCTGAGTTGATTGCGCCTCGTAATCATAAAGCGCTCGAATAACCTGAAGAGTTGTCTCGGGCATCAGCATTGCGCACAATCGCACACAAAAAGGCAAGGTGGGGTCTATCGAATGACTCTTTTCCCGCTCCAGAGAAATGAAGAGCAAGGACGGGGGCACCAACACGCTGCTTGGACGTACCTTTTTCGGAGGAACAATCGCAACAGCAGATTTTGGAGCTATGGAGATGTGAGGGGCCTTTTGGTCCTTCTCCCCTTTGATGGACCTGCGGAGGGCCTTAAATACGCGCATGATTATTAGCTTGGCGCTCTCTACAGATGAATTGTGTGCAACAAGTGACTCAGCTGAGCGTCTGGAAGCCTCAGAGCTGCGCGAGCAGAAAAAGGGAGCATGGAGAAAGAAAACGGATATGGATGTAGTGGCAGAGACGCATTTGAGGCGGCGAGAGCGCGTCGACAGGCAGACGGGAAGCTCAGCCCAACAGTGCCGAGCGATGTGAATGACTGACAAGGACAACGGAAGAGTGATGGGGGGATGGCTGAATGACGCACCTTCATCGTGTTACGGCTGCCTTCTCTACTTCCTCTTTCAGGAGGTTGAGGTGAGGCAAATTGGCAGTTACTCAAACCAGGAGTCTTTTGGCTTCTCGATCCGACCCAGGCCAATGAGTCTGGAAAGCGAGACCTGATGTTACGCCGACTCAGTCGCTCCTGCCGTCGGGTGACTGTGAATCAGTGCGACTGTTCAGATATTGAAGGAGCACAACCGAGTCAATGCTGTTTATGCCCTCAACCTTAATGGAGATTAGGGACCTTTTGAAGTGTGAGGAGGCGACGGACGCCGGCGCTGGCGGGGACCTCAGTGGATTTGGCCGGGTTGCACGCAGCTATTGCTGATGGAGTGTCGTCGTCGTCGATGGTTGCAGCGATACCCTCTGCTTTGCCTCGAAAAGTGTCTGTTACAGAGGTTGGCTCTCGATTAACCTCAGGGATGTGGCGGGTTGGTGAATGGGTGAGTCGCACTCGCACGATTTGGTGGGGGAAATGTACTCGGTCGGTTTCCTTCTTCTGTCGTCTCCCGCGGAATGCTTGTCTTCTTTATCTTGCTTGTAGATGCCTGCGCTATGCTGCTAAGACTCTTTGTCTGAAGTGTGTGCCGTTTCCTGTCAGCTGCCCCTATCGAGTCAAGTGAAGAGTCGGCCAACGGTTGTTTGTGTCGTGAAGAGAGAAAAGGGGGGTGTCGCCGAAGCAATTGACTGTCGCGTTTGTGTTGACTGACAGCGGCGGCGGCGGCGGAGGCTGTAGGCTGTAGGCTGTGGGATGTGGGATGAGCAACAGGAGGAGCAAGAGAGGAAGAGATTGGCGCTGTGGGCGCAGTCTTCTTGTCTTGGTCGCTTTGTGTCAAAACCCAGTCCAGTCCAATCGAATCCAATAGGTCGCTTCAAGTCGCTCGCTGACTCTCTCTGGCTGGCTGGCGGGCGGCGATTGATTGGGGAGGGGAGACGACGGGAATGCGGGAAATGGGTGGAATAATAAAAAGGCGTTGGCGCTGGTGTGTGCGCGCGGGAGGGAGGAGGAGGGAGGGAGGGATCTGAGGAGCCACCCACCAAGCCCAGACAACCTTACTACTGCGTACTGTATGCAGTACGAGTAGAGACCAGTGCATAGTACTATGATAGTAGTGCAGTGTAGGGGCCACTAATAGCGTTACCTAGGTAGACCAGACCCAGAGGAGCAGGACGACAGGACAGGGGGGGCATGGCTCGAGGATCCGGTGGGTTTGCTTAGCGTGAGGGAGGTGGAGTGTACATACAGACTATGGTACATTCGAGTTGTGGTACCCTAACGTGCCCGATGCTAATGTTATTAGCCATCATCCAGGGCACCTGTTCGTCTTCTGCATGGCAAGGTAAGGTAAAGTAAAGTAAGGTTGCATGACTTGACTTGACTTGACTGGACTTGTACTGTACCTACGAGAGTTGACATGCGAGTGGTGTCGGTCTGACCTACACTACTACACTTCAGGCCATATCTCTGTGTGCCTTCCTCGGGCTACGTATGCCTGTCTGTCAATCTGCAGTGAAAACGAGGGTAAAGGCTTGTCATACATCATCTTCTCTAAGGCGCCTTTACTCGAGTCGATCTGTCGATGCCTGTTTCTGATCGAACGGGAGGGATGCTGTTATTGCAGGTGACGATTTGATATACCGGACTTCGGTACCGTTACCCGTGCCCCTATTACCACAGAACCCGTGCCTTCCTATCAGGGTACTTTACACACATTAGGCAATGATGACATTTACAGGCTTCTCTAACACACAATACAGGGTAAGTAGGAAAGAACGACTCTGAAAACGTCCGAGACGAGGAAGGAGAAAACCTTGGAAGGAGCTGGCGTGCTTGCCAGGCTGTTCTCGACTTGTACTGTGCCTTGCCTGTCAACTCGTAGTGCCCAGGTGATCGTCGCTCAGCTTCTCAGCCTGGCTAGTCTTTCCTCCACGGGTCTGCCCACTTCATTAACGTCTCCTGGACACAACACACGCGCTACCGCAGTCGACATTTGGGAAACCCTGCAACCCTTCCACGTCCCCCGAATCTCGCCGACGAAAGACGTTGAACACTAACGTTATGAGAACACACACACATCCACTCTGCCGGTGCTCCTCTGTGTAACACCTTCTGTCAGGTTAGTCGCTCTTCCTTGTCCTGTACCTACCTGCAGCGCTACGGGGTAGCGAGGAGCACGAGTGGCCCGAACAGCCAGACATCGTACCTATCCTAAGTATACGGAAAGCCCTCTAAGCTCTGCACTCAAACACCTTGTGATGAAGTGATAAGTGCTACAGGCTACTATGAGCAAACCGGCTCGTCAGCATTCGATCACCAACAAATACGACAAGGTATTCTCGAGTCAATCCAATCCAATACAAGTTCACGCACTGCCAAGCGTGATCAAGCTGAATCGAATCCTCCTTACTACTGCATGGTATACTATATGAGTATTCCTACCTTGACCCTCAGTGCCGGGTTTTGCTAGTGGTGGCTCAATATGATCAGTCTTCTATCCTCTGATTCTGTCATATTTTGCCCCTTTTTCGCAAATCCAGTTTGGACCCGGCGATGGGGAAGACCCCGGCTGCTTATTTCCAGCCCATCCATTCTTTCCATGGTGTGTTCGCAGACCCCAAGCACGAGGAATGCAAAAGTCGTCATTGCCCAGGTTTTGTTGATTCATTCGCTTTTATCTTCTCGTGGTCTTCAGCCTTCAGGTTGCTTGACACGGTACCTCGAGGGTACCTACAGATCATTCTGCCTGTCTTCTCAGTTTACGCACCTGATCTCTTCCAGCCCGTCCATCCCATTCACCGCACATACAATTACTGTACTATACTGTACCGTACTGTACTGTACCTAATGCTTGAGATGCCCCTCCTCTTGCTTCTTTCGCTTCCTCTGCCCCTCTTTTCCGTCGAGGTCTAACCACCAGCGTCCTCCACAAATTTTGACGTTTGGAACAGGCACTTCCCCTACACATGCCTTGACATGCATTCGCAAGGTCGCATTCGAGCGGACACACACTACACGCTTCGAAACAAAGCCTACTGCAGCGTCTACCAATCACGTTGGCTCGGGATCGCAGGATACTCCAAAAATCAAGCCCAACCCAAGTTCATGCACGCAAAAAAGCAGACAAACGACCGTCAAGGCGACGGGAGGGGGCTTATCGATTGCTGCCCGCACACAAGCACGTACGCAAGCGGGATGGCCGTGAGGCCGTGACCGCGGGAGGGACTGGAGTGGGAGTGGGAGTGGGAGTGGCATCGCTCACAGCCTCTCTGATCTACGGTGGTAGAGGGGTTTTATCGCCAACAAAGCATGATTTCGCGTGCGTCCAGGTCAGTCTAGATCGCACAAGCGACCGCCTCAACGTGGTAGGATGGCCTCTGTCGCCCAACCTAGGAAGGCTTGGGGTGGATGTACAGTACCTCCAGTACCTCGACAGCGCCTTCTTTTCTTTTTGACGCCCCCGCTGCAGCCCAGTACTCTACTTCCTTCGGGAGCTTGGAGAGGGCAGGGCCGCTGCTAAACGGCCCAACGCTTTCGCCATTTGCCACAATGGATCCCTCTCCCGGCCGTCTAGGCGCGGCGGGCATTGCCGCCTGGGAAAGGGTAGGTACAAATTGTCTGCAGAGCTGTGTGTCACGACAAGCTTCAGGTCCGATTTCGACTGTGTTCAGATGAGAACAGACTAACCGCGTTTTTTTGTGCTGCACTGCAGTTCAGCTACATCGTAGCCCCTCCCCTATCAAATTTCCCACGTTTTGCGGCCACACTTAACGTTAGTCTGCGATGCAAGGACTGAGGTGCAGGCAATAATCCGATGGTGCTATTGCCAGGGAGAACCCCGGCCCCCAAGCGGCGCCGATGGAGGTTCGCTGGGCGGCTTCTCTCATCCGACGTCGAACCCCAGCAGGCAAGACCCCAGCTTGGACAGCATCCTGGAACCGACCTCTACCCTACTCTAGGCCACTCTACATGTACGTGGCAATCTCCTCGAAGCCGAAGAGGCGTCAAAGAAACGCCCCCGCGAGCCATACCCTTATGCAGATGGGACGCAGGTCCAGCTTAGCAACATGCATGTCCCGTGTGACAGCATCGAGTCCCGATGCGAAAAAGAAGAAAGGTTCCACGACTCCCAAGCGGCACGGGAATCGCATGAGACGACTCTTACTAGTTCTATACACTGGTACAGGCGCCGTCGCGTACTACCACAGCAGAAACACATGCACAAGGCATTAGGCTGGGCGCCGACACTGGGACGGCCGATGCGATCTTACTCACATACGCAGCCCTTTTTTTTTCATGTCTTCCAGCTGTAGCGTCAATCTTACTCGTGGATGAGCCATCTTGATCAAGTGACCAAGCCGATCGAAGCCGTTATGGCCATTCAAGCGCTCCTCTCGACCTGCCCTACGCGCTGCGCCGTTAGTTTCTCTGGCGCGCGCGTCGGTTCCAGCGTTTCCATTTGTCCCCCACTGGCATGATTGGGGTCCCATTGTAGGTAGTATGTACAGTACAACGAAAGGACGGTGTAATGACATGACTGCCTCGGGCGGATAGATACAGCCCTTCGACTTGCCTGCATTCTCGTTCCTGCTGCCCGCCTGCCTATGGAATCTTCTTCATCCCAACTCGACCCTTCCATCAGGTCGCAAATAGATTGGACGCATCGAGGATTCTCCTCAGGGGTGCCAGGGGTGGATGCTGGGCAGTTAAAGCACTGCCAGGGATGCACAAGCAACCCAAGCCCCAGGTGTTTCGGCGGGGTTGATGTACCAGCTCCTCACATGGCCCCGCGAAATGTAGGTCACACCCCTCATGCTTCAACTCCCTTATCTGCTGTTGGCAACGTGTAGCGAGGAAGGTGCCGTTCTATCTTGGCATGATCGCCAACATGGCAGGTCTATCTACCGTGCCCTAGGACAGAAATAGTACGGAACCACATAGAGGATACACAGTCTTGGACTACATCCGTGCAATGGGGGCCGTTGAACGAACCTTCGAGACGGCAATGACCATTCTGTTTTCTTCCATCGTGAACTGCCTCTCCAGGCAGGACTGACTCAAGAAATTTGAGGCAAAGGCATGACGTAGGAGGAAATCATTCACTTCGCTGCATTTGTCTCGCCCAGGAATTAACATTGCTTTTCTTGTTGCTTCTGCCAAAACACACACCAAGCGCAAGTACCTCTCAATGTAGCACGCAGGTCCCTCAACGAATCGATAACAAGATCCCGAGCGTCTCGATATTTTCCAGAACCCAGCCCGTGTTCTTTCGAGAGCCAGAAACATCTTTGTGTATAGCAATGACAAATTCTGAACCCTGGTCGAGCCGTTTCTCTCGTTATTCATCATTCATGCTCCAGCCATCGCTGTTCCCTCTGCTCGGATCCAGCCCGTCCCGATCGCCAGCCGACGCAACTTGAAACTCCGGGGGTCGAGGTGGCCGCCCCGACCTCCTGAAACGCACATCCTCGGCGGGCATCTTCCATTCAGGCCCAAAATTTCTTCGCAAGGTGACGTCCGCGAGGACGGACTTGCAGTTGGGTGCTTACGTACGCTACTGTGAGAGCCGCACTGCTATGAGAATGACTTCACTTCGCCCCGCCTGGCCTGGATGTAAATCATGATGCCGTCAGCCGATGGGCGATTCGCGAGAGTCCTGTGGGTTTCTAAAGACTGGCTTATGATGCAATTATCACCCCATGCTTGATCTACCTGAACGAGTGCGTGCTCCGCTCTGTTGCTGGACTTGTGAGAGGCACAGTTGATATCGAACTTGACCGAACATTTCGCTGTACGAGATGCCTCAGCCGACACTTCAGACAGCTGATGGGTCAGGTTTCACATGTATTCGTGGGCTAAGGAACATGCTGCTGCCAGAGCCAGCTTGTGACGGGTATCTACGTGGAGCACAGGGCTATTCCGCTCCAAAACACAGCAGACTCGTAGCAGTGATCTGACTTCGTTCACGGGCTCCTTGCTGAAGACCTTTCAAGGACGCACTTCGCGCGCCTCCTCCCAGGTGAACCATTGCGGCCTGTCCACCTCGATCAGCGACTGCCCATGTTGCTCTTCATCCCCAAACTGTAGCCTCCATAGCCTCTGCTCGGCGCACAGGAACATCTCATTGTGCCTGCCAAAGCAGAAGTTGGTCACGCCTCCTATAGCCCTACGGTAAGCATGGGTCGTTGGAAGATCAGGCGTGAATGAGAGGAAACTTGCCTGGAACTTCAATGACTGCCTGCAGAGTTCCGCCAGGGTTCCAGATCTCCAGGCCGTCCGCACAGCCGGCGTAGACGTAGCCGTTGGTATCGCATTTGATCCCCATGGGGATGCCTCTCAGGGGAAACGCAAAGATGCGCTTGTTGGCGAGGAAGGGCGAGCCTGCTCGCATGATCACATCAAAGGCATAAATAGTGGCAGCCCTACAAGAGTTAGTTCATCAGCGTAGACTCTACAGTGAGGGGGATCTTTGGATGTTGACCTTGATGAGCTCTGGTCTCCATTGCCGCGAACCGCGTCCGTATCCGTGACATACACCGTGCTCTCGTCCGGGCTGAACGCCAGACCGGTCGGCCGGCCCAGACCGTCCGCCATGACCCTGATGTCCTCCGTGTCCGGGTTGAAGCGGTACAGGTGGCACGGCAGCTGCGGCCGTGGCCGGAAGTCCTTCTCGAAGCCGTGATACGGGTCCGTGAACCAGAGCGAGCCGTCCTGCGTGACGACGACGTCGTGCGGCGAGTTGAACTCCCGCTCGTAGAAGCTCGTCACGACGCCCTCGGGCGGCTTGCCGCGCGGCATGTAGTACAGCCCGCCCGTGCCGGCCGTGAGGTTGCCCTGCGAGCAGTAGAGCACGCCGCCGCGGTATGCGGCCGCGCCGGCGGGCATGGCCATGTTGGGAGGCGGCCGCAGTTTCATCCATTCCACCGACTCGACGTGGCCGGCGTCACTGCGGTGCAGAACGACACGCGAGATGAGGATGATGGGCAGCGTGGAGCTGGTGGTGGACTGCAGCAGGTTGGAGGTGACGAAGAGCTCCTCGTGCTCTGGGTCGTAGACACATGCCTGGTGGAAGAAGGGGTTCCTTGACGTCTCGGCGGAGGAGAGCAGTAATGAGTGGCGACATCGCGGGTCGAAACTCGTCCCGGAGGTGGACTGATAGAGAGACACAATTATGTCACTCGCTGCCTGCGGCGACGGGGACCTGTTGAAGTATTAGCTTGTGCATTGTCCTTGAGATGTGGAGAGAACAAACAGTGGCGTCGCAACTCTACCATTCGGTCGGAATTTGACAAGCTACAAACGATATTAGTGAGTTGTCTCTGCTAAGAATCCGGAGATAATCACTCACTTGCACCGGCGTCTCCTCGACGGAGATGTTACTATTGGTAATGGACGCCATCCTGTGACGAATTACCGCGTCCTCCTCGTATGCATAGCTCACAGGCACGACAAATGACGATAGTATGCAGTACCGGTGTTAAGAGCTGTAAGTTGCGGCTGATGGGTGAAGTTTGCACCGTTTAGATGACCCACCCCCGGTTCCGACCAGTAGAGACAATCAGCCCGTACCGCGTAGCGCCAAGCCGATCAACCGGCGCCGTGATCAGCACGCTTTGTGGCTGGCCTCCCGCTATAGCTTACTATCGGGATTATATACACATCGGACAGCTCTATGTCCGAGAGGCTTTATAACTATAAAATCATATGGTATTCAAGCAATGATGACCAGATACTCGTAGAGAGTGCTGACCATCTCAAGTATAGACTTTAGGCATCGACTTAGTTTGAGACCTTTTATTGATATCACCCGTCAAGAAATACAGCGTTTGTATTCTCGTTTTTAGTCCAGCTTGTTCATCATGATCGTGTTAGTTACTGGAGGCAACAGGGGCATTGGCTTTGGTATTGTGCAGGCCATAACACAGCGAATTCCAAACGCAACTATCCTCATAGGCTGTCGAGAAATCAAGTCTGGTGAAGAATCTATAAGCAAGCTTCAAGAACTTGGGGTCACAGCTACACTTGATACTATCAAGGTGGACGTTGAAGACGACGATACCATTGCTGCTGCCGCCGAGGTCGTCCGTACCAAGTACCGGAAGCTCGATGGTATGTTGATCGCTTCAAGTGTATATTGTTATACTCCTTCTAACCGATTGGCAGTCTTGATTAACAACGCAGCTCAGATGACTTTCGCGTCTTCATCAGAACTCTCGGAGGTCAGAAGCACTATGAACAAGAACGTCAACAATGCCGTCACCTCTCAAGCCATAGTCACGAGAGCATTTTTACCCCTTCTAAGGCAAAGCGAATTCCCCCGAGTCATCATGGTCTCCAGTGCTAGAGGCAGTCTCGGCATGACTGCAAAGAAAGAGGCAAGCCTGCAACACCCACCGATGATCAATACTTAATACTAATCCATCAATTGCAGCTCCCGCCCGTTCAGCTCGTGGATTATTGCGTCTGCAAAAGCGCACTAAACATGTTGACGCTTCACTTTCAGCAAAGCGAGGATATGGACAAGACGCTGGACAAGAAAATCACTTTCTGGATGGTCAGCCCGGGATTCACCAAAACAGCATTCAACAATTTCAGAGGCACAAAAGATCCCGTAGATAGCGCGGAAGTCGTGATGAGGCTTCTGGAGTCAGAACAGGGCGAGATTCCACCTGGGACGTTCTGGGAGTATGAGCACGAGTCGTTCAGGGCCGTGCCATGGTGAAGAGGTCCGGAATCTCGCATCTCGAGGAAGTAAAGTGTGTGGCAAGAACGGCTGTCAGATTCAAACATGTGCTGGACGAATGCCGTAGGCAATGTCGTGTCCAGGACACCATCAATTCGCGATGGACTGTCTTCTATATATGTACACTCGTCGAGTAGTAGTCACGAGCGGACTCTCGCCGATTGGTATCCCATGTCGTCTAGTGCACCTAGTGTTTGGCTTTTTCCTCCGAATCCGCTTGCTCCAAGAATTTCCTGATTGGCAATTAGCAGCTGAATCATCTCTTGATGTCAATTGGGTCGCATTACTTTATGAAGTCGGCCTCGTCGGGGCTGGAAGCGTTGATCGGGGGTGTCTGAACAGCCTTCTTGCTGCCGCCCGTGAAGAAAGAGGCGGTTCCGAAAATCGTCGCAAGGGTGATCATGGAGAGCTGTAAGCACATGCTGTTAGCCGCAATTGATGCCAATGGCTCGTCGAGAGCTCCCAGGCCAATCCATCCTCATTGACCCGAGATGCCTCTCCGGATACCAGGGGTACTGACGTAGTGCGAGCCGACTTGGCGGCCAAAGATTGTGTAGTATGAGACCATCTTGACAAGAGGCGACAATGAACCGACTAAAGTACGGGTGGCGGGAGGACTGTTCGGGGATATGAAGGGTTGTCGTGAAATTTGGGCGATGTGAAAACGACGCAGCTGCCGATGGAGCTTCTCGGGTAGCCGAATTGAATTTGTCGTTGCCTGAGGCATCAACTCGTAAGTAGAGTTCCGTCTAAGGATTATGCGTCTTAAGTGCATAAGTCGTGTTCTTGCATAGATCTTCAAATGCCTCCCCCGCAACTAATGTGCATTGCGGATATGTACAAAATCCCCACAAGCCGAGCGATTCCGCCCGAGGTTAGCACGTTAGCAATAAGTACGTCACAGTTGGCTGGCGTTACTGAGCCTCGAAGCTTCTCAAGGCGGCACCAACAAACTTGTCCTGAATTACTTCCGCCACACCTCGCGATAGACAACAGAGCATCACCGGAATCGCCGGACACGGGTCACCATGTGGGGAAGAAGTCAGGACAAGACTCCTAAAGAGAGCACTCCAGAAGCACCGAAAGATGCTGGCAAAGAGCCTGCCGCCCCAGATCCCAACAAGCTGCCAAACCGCGAGAAGCTGCCAGCAGCATTGCAACAGATAGTGGACAAGTCTGATAAAGAGGACAACTTCTTCGATGAGCTTGTGGAGGGATAGTATGTGTATAAAACTTTTGATATCATTACATTTTGTGACTAACACGCATCTTCACAGTGCACCAGAGTCGACCGAGTCTAATGTGCGATTCGCCGCCTACGCCACTCGAGTACGAACAATTCTACTATCTGCACAGCGATATGTGGCCTACACTTCAGATATAGGAGAGTCGTTCAGGCCAGTTGCGCATCCATACCTTGTAAGAGGCGCCTATGGTATCTCATGGGCGTATATTCTAGGAGATGTATCATACGAAGGATACAAGGCATATTGGCATAATCAGCGCACACTCAACCCAACATTGGAGTTGACGGAGCGCCAGAAGAAGCTCACGGGCCTGGACACCTTCGTTCCTGTTGACCAGGGCCAACTCAAGCCTGCAACTATCCCTCCCCTAGAGGACTATAGGACTGTCATGGCGCAGCGAGCAATTTTCCAGAGCTTGGCTAGTATGGGTCTGCCAGCCTTCACAATCCACAGTGTAGTGAGGTACTCGAGCAGAGCTATGAAGGACGTGAAGAACAAGACAATCAGGACATGGGGACCGATCGGATTGGGTCTAGCTGTTGTTCCATTTCTACCCTCATTGTTCGATAAGCCGGTTGAGAATGCGGTTGAGTGGGTGTTCCATAAGGGGTTCGCGACATTTGGTGGAAAGGAGTATGTGGGCGATGCTCCGACTACCGGAAGAGAGAAGGCGCTTATCCAGAAACCCAAGGAAAAAGAGCTCTGAGTTTAACGGCGTTTGGCAAATAATGCGAATGAGATTCGACAGACTCTAGCACCTCCATTCACGATACTTACGATAGAGATAGTGTCTCTGAAACCACTCTGTAAAAAAATCAATATATCACAAACTGCTCACATGAAAGTACGGGTGACATGTTATTGAATTAAAACATTTTAATAATTCTATTCGTATCTCGTTAATGCCGACAAAGATTTGGTATATCCAGACATCGAATGCCATCCCATAAACTCCATCAAATGCGATGCATAGGCTAGTATAGCAGAAATCGCCTCAAGCCTCTATTAGATCCGGAACTGCAGGTCCAATACCCCTGAGCAATACAACGGTATTGCCGCTGACCAAAGCTGAGCCCACCTTCTCGTTGAACTCTAGTACTCGTCCACCTTCAACGTGAAACACACGTAACTTGTCCTTCTCGTTCGCAGACTGGTTGTTAACATTCTGGACCTGCAAGCTCTTGGCCGCAGCGTCCAACACACGGCCAATCACCCAATCCTTAGAGTAGTAGAACTGCCCCTTTGGAATTTTGGCCACTGTTGTCTCTGCTTCCGCCTCCACGTATAAATATACTCTCTTCTCTGGCGCAAGCTTCTCATCGCCCTTGGCCGTCTTTTTGAGATTGTTAACGGCGACCAGTCTTGCAGCAGTCGATGTGGGCTTCGCTTTTGGAAGTGCACGCCCGGCTTGTTCCTTCTTGGCAGCACCCCATGCCTTCAGCTTGTCGAGAGCCGACCGGGCCTTCTCCGTCGCATCGAACTGTGTTGGCCGCGCGCCGATTGGTACAAGATTCTTGCAGTTGTGGTCCTCCTTTAACCTGTGCTTCAAGCAATAGTCCCGGTTGCAGTTCGAGCAGTGAACTCCAGGCACAAGACTTGTGCCGATGACTGACTTGCACTGTGGCGACGCGCATGGCTTCTCCGATACAAAGTCTTTCATTCGCTTGCCTTCGCCCAAGCTGTGCTTCTGGAGTTGCGCCTGCCGCCGCCTTTCGGCCCAGGCCCCGGCATTGGTGCATTTGTGTGAGGATTCGGTTCGGTGATCGAGGCAGAATGTCTTCTTACATGACTGGCAGTAGAATGGGAGGAAGTCGAGCTGGTTACAGTAGTCGTACTGGCAGTGCTTGCCGACGAGGCTGACGTCGGGGAGTCGGTCGACCTCAGTCATGTTGACGTAGCTCGTCTCTTGAGCGTCGGGGGTAGTTGAGCCAGACATCTTGGATCGTTTACGCCGGAAAAGGACCCTGATTTATTATAGGACGTCGGGTCTTCGACTCAGGCTACCGGCGGTTTCGTAAGATGGCAATCTAAGCAGGCAGAGGCAAAGTTCGTCAGCCTGGTCGGTCGTGAGGCTCGGCTTGTGATGGCGGGGTTTTGCCCGCCAAGATGCTTACCAAATGGCTGGTGTACCCCTGGAAGTCTCTCGAATCTGCCAAGTTTAGCGGGGCGGAAACCTCCAAAAGTCGCTAATCGGTGCTACTTTCGGGACCACCGCTCTAAATATTTGTTAATTAGCTAGAGACGGTCTCTAGCTTCGTGTTGACACAACGGTTCAAGGTTGCGCAGAGACTCAATCTTCAACTTCTTCGTAGATCTATACTTAGATCCAAATTCTTAGAAACGTTGTGCATTTTCATGTGCTCTAGATACACGCAAAATTACCAAATCTTTGTCAGTAATTTTTTTTTGGATCAGAGATGTCTCGCCTTACCATCATCGTTTGGACCGAGTTGCCATTTCAATAATGTGTGACATGTATGATTTGATCTCAGGAGGAGATAATAACAGGATTGTTTGAAACTCCCCTTCGTAGGTTCCATATTCGCAACACTCTCTCCCAGATTGGTTGACTTAGATGGCGTTGAACGGCGAGATGGATGATGCTGATGGCTTACTCATCCGTCATCGGTTCCTGCATTCCCCCAAAACTTGGTCAACAATCCAAAGTTGGGCGTCCTCATGAGAACAAGGCTGTGAAGCCTGGCTTCATCAGAGTCGTCCAATTACACATTCCTCGTTTACTCGCCCGTCATGAAGTATTATCCCAAAGCCACCGAGAAGCGGCTTCCGTTTCATGATCCCGTCATGCATAAGACTCGCAAGAAGTTCTTCGCTGCCGCCGGGAAGAACTTCGCATTGCTGCAACTTCTGTTCTTTGCCCTATTTGGCTACGTTTTCGGATCTTTATATCAGCAAGCGACACATACTCACAACATACACGTTGTGTTTGTTGACTATGATGGTGGCGCAATTGGGCAGGCTATTAGGAAGGCCTACTCCGGGCTTCAAGCACGAACATTCCCGACACTTGTTGAGAAGTCGGCGGCGGAATATGCGAATCCAGGAACCTTGGAAAACGCTGTTTGCCGAACTCGGTTCTGGGCGGCTCTATACACATCTGCGGGTGCTTCAGACAGGCTCCATGATGCCTTAACATCTAATGAGTCAGTGGTATACGATCCAACCGATGTAATGACATATATCTGGAACGAAGCCCGGTACTCAGCAGTAGTTGATCCCGTTGTTTCTTCGAACTTGCAGACGCTGTCGTCAGCAGCTCGTGTGGCATATAGCACCAGCAATGGGACAGGAGGGATCACGAGTCTGTCGTCCCCTGCTGCCCTTTCAGCATTTGCGCAGCCATGGCAACTGGGCAACCAAAATATTCAGCCAACGACTCAGGGCTCCAGAGCGATCTATAACACATTGGTGATTATTCTGATCGTGATCCAGGAGTTCTTCTATCTCGGCACGATCAATGGTCTATATCAGGCACTTCAGATCTACGTGCGAGTCCATCCCGTCCGCATAATCATAATTCGAAATCTGAACTCACTAACATATTGCCTGGTGGGTTCCGTGTGCACCGCTGGGGCGATTTGGGCTTTCCGATCAGGGTGGGATGTCGATGCGAACCAGTTCGTCTTGACGTGGATGACTCTATGGCTCTTCGCGCATCTCAACTTTGCTACCATGGATGTCTTCACCGTCTGGCTGCAACCTGCGTATGTGCCCATGGCGCTTATCACTTGGATGATAACAAACGTCACGTCCATCCTTCTCCCATTCGAGTTGTCTCCTGCATTCTACAAAATTGGCTACATGCTCCCAGCACATGAAGTGTATCAGGTTCTTCTGGATATCTGGTCAGGTGGATGTAATCCGCAGCTATACTACGCTTTGCCAATCATGTTCTCGTGGTGGGTGTTAGCCGTCTCTCTGAGCGCCCTCGGCGTCTTCCGCAGATGTCATTACGCCACGCTCGGCCAAGAGCAGCAGGAGAAGCAGTTCCAGGAGCGGCTTGACGCGGCCATGGAGTTCGAGCGGAAGAGGGAGAGGGAAGCACAGGAAGCCAGCACGGCGGCAGAGGCACAGATGGAGAAGAAGGTCACTAGCCCAGGAGAACAGGAAGATACGGATGCTGAAGTCCAGCGTGAACTTGCAGAAGTCATTTCGAGGACAAACAGCAGAATCCGTAGGGAACAGAGAAGGGAGAGCAGGACTTGCAGCTTTGGGCCGGCGTTTAGTGTTGCTTTTGGCAATGAGAGTGATTCTGACGTGTCTGAGGCGCCGAAATAAACTTCGTTTTGGAAGCTTTACGAGTTCGTGGAATTACTGGAAACTGGCGTTGATATAATGGGTCAATGAAGATGTAATGGAAATGAGCTCCCTTTCTGTTGAGCAAAGCATAGTTCTTGAAACTGATACGACAAATGGCTTTCCCTTGTATAGCCCTGTCGTTGAAGATCACGAAAGAAAGGTGGATGAACAAACGCCGAAACTGCATACCAAAAAAAATCTGATTAAACGGTATGAATTTATGCTTTTTTATGCAGTCGTGGGGGCGTTAGTGCTTTAGATCCCGCCGCCTAAAGCTCGCCACGTGCTTTCGCGACATTCCAAAAGCGCGAACTTTGTACCTGGCGAAGTCTATGACGTTATCGAGTTATCTCAACGGCATAATATCTATACCTTTTTCCAGGTGACATTTCTTCTATACAATCGCCACGGTCAACGTGCAGACGATGAGCCATGCCGCCGTCAGTCCCACGCAAGCGCTTGCGGGATGAGGACGGCGAGAGCTCGAAAAAGAAGGCAAAGACTGTCGCGACCAAAGCCCCGCCGAGGAAGCCCACCTTGTTCGACGACCTCGATGCGACATCCACGCCGCGAACCTCCGGTCGCAGCAGCCGAGCACCAGTAAAGTATGGCGACAGCAGCGATGATGAAAGCGCACTGTCATCACTCTCGGATGCCGACTTCGAAGATGTCCTGACTGCCAAACCCCCGAAGGCGGACGAGCCAAGCGACGACGACGACGACGACATCGAATTTGAAGATGTCCCGCATGTGGCTTCCGCTGTCCCTGAAGGGCCTGAACCTTCGGGAGATCTTGAGCTGACGCTATACCGAGATCCGCATGTTTCATACGAAGATGCGCTTGGTGACAAGAAAGGACCAACGAAGCGCGAGCGCAGGATTCGGATTACAACGCACTGCATTCATGTACAGTTTCTTATGTGGCACAACGCGATACGTAATTCCTGGTTATGCGACCCGGAAGTACAAGGGATACTACTCTCACATCTTTCACCATCACTTTGGGAGGAAGTTGAGCGGTGGAGACGGAACAGCGGCTTGCAGCCTCAAGAAGAAAGCAAGCCGAAAGTCTCGAAGGACACGAAAGGAAAAGGCAAGAGCAAGCCGACACCCAAGGGGAAGGGCAAAAAGGGAGCCGAAAAGCCTTCTAGGGACTGGGGCGATGCTGCCGAACGACTGGAAAAGGGGGCCGTTAATATGAGCCATGGCGATCCGTTGTTCAGGCTAGTTAAGGCGCTGGCTGCGTGGTGGAGACAACGATTTCGCATTACGGCGCCTGGCCTTCGAAAGCTGGGGTGGATGAAGTTGCAGCGTCTCTCGCGACTCACGAAGGAGTTTGAGAATGACAAGGACAATCACGAGCTGTTTGGCGAGAGGATCCGCAACATCGAGGACTTTAAACGACGAGCCCAAGAGTGTACGGGCAGTCGCGATTTAGGAGCACAGCTCTTTACGGCTCTTCTTAGAGGACTCGGCTTGGAGGCTCGGATGGTCGCAAATTTGCAGCCGGTCGGGTTCAGCTGGACGAAGCTCGAGGAAGCAGATCCAGAGAAAGAGGATGAGAAGGCAGAAAAGACACAGCCTCCTGTCGAGCCTGCAAAAAAGGCAGCAAAGACGAAAGCGAGCAAGGTGTCTAAGCCTAGCCAGCCAACCAGGTCATCACGTCGGACAAATCAAAAGCACACGAAAGCTGATGCGGAGGATTCTGATGATTTTGACATGTTGGAGGAGAATAGCGACAATGATTCGGTCATCGAACTTCCCACCCCTAAGAAAGGCGCGAAATCAAAAGTGTACGACAAGGACCTCGAGTTTCCTCATTATTGGACTGAAATCTTGTCTCCGGTCACGAATAAGTACCTTTCAGTGGACGTCATTGTCAAAAACATTGTTGCAACCAATCGTGAGCTTGTCGAAGCCTTCGAGCCGAGAGGCGGCCAGGCTGACAAGGCCAAGCAAGTCATGGCTTATATCGTTGGCTTCTCCCCAGATGGAACAGCTAAAGACGTCACTGTTCGATACCTCAAGCGCCAGACACTTCCTGGGAAAACCAAGGGCATGCGCATCCCTGTCGAGAAGATACCTGTACACAATAAGAACGGGAAAGTGAAAAAGTATGAGCAATTTGACTGGTTCAGATCTGTCATGCGGGCATATGCTAGAGGCGATAGAAAACACCCCTTAACAGAGGTCGACGATGAGGAGGATTCCACCGATCTGAAGCCTGCGAAGCCTCAGAAGAAGGAGGTGAAAGAAGGAGAGGAAACCTTGCAATACTACAAGCAGTCTCAAGAATTTGCTCTTGAACGACACCTGAGGAGAGAGGAAGCCCTGCTGCCGACGGCGGAGCCAGTCAAGGTCTTCAAAAATAAAGGAAAGGGCGGTAAAATAGAAGAAGAGCCAGTGTACTTGCGAAAGGATGTTGTGCAGGTGAAGAGTGCCGAGACATGGCACAAGCAAGGTCGGGCTCCCATAGCCGGTGAACAACCACTCAAGAAAGTTCCTTACCGAGCTGCGACGACGAATCGACGACGGGAGATCGCGGAGGCAGAAGCTGCTACCGGGCAAAAGGTTCTCCAGGGGCTGTACAGCTTTGATCAGACCGATTGGATCATTCCTGACCCCATCCGAGATGGCATTATTCCCAAAAATGATTACGGCAATATCGACCTCTTTGTTGAGCATATGTGTCCTGAAGGTCAGTGCCCCTGCCTTTTCCTGTGTTACATCTGCTAATTTTAATCAGGCGCTGTACATGTACCGTACAGAGGAGCGGTGCGTGTTTGCAAGCGAATTGGGATCGACTATGCTGAGGCAGTTGTTGACTTTGAGTTCGGCCATCGAATGGCTGTTCCTGTCATTCAGGGGGTTGTCATCGCGGTGGAGTATCATGATCAGGTCATGGAAGAGCTCGCGAAGGACGAGGCAGAGCGTTCCCGCAAGGAAGATGAGAAACGCCGCAAGGCAGCCCTCGCACAGTGGAGGAAGCTCCTTATGGGCATGAGGATTGTCGAGAGGATTCGACGAGAATATGGCGGACTCAAGGACGACTTTGTAGCCTTTGGGCACAGCCGTGGGGCAGATAGTGATGTGCTCGAAAGTGCACTGGCCGACGAAGATATGGCTGGCGGCTTCTTACCTGCAGGATTTGAGGAAGATGTCCAAGAAGAGCCACGTCAAACCTCTAGCTTCTTCCCCGTGGTCGACGAGAATGACCATTCGGAGGACAACGATGGCGAGGATGCCCTCATGGTAGAAGATGGAGACAGTGAGCTGGTGTTTGGACATACCTACCCTACACCCCAGTCAGGGGCAGTTGCCCAAGAAGAGGAAGTCAAGCCTCGAGGCAGGCGTACCGCTCAACGGGCGCGAAGGACCGTCCCGTCTTCAGAAGATGAGGAAGATAGCATGGATTCTGCCGAGTCTGACGATGATTACGAAGCATAGACTCATGACAATAGGAATTGTACTAATTCTAAAGGACTCTTAGGTCCCGTTGTTCATCCTTGTCTAATCCCCTTTGATTTGTCAAAAGCTTGAGCTGGTTAGAGCTCGCTATCTGGTGAACATATAGATATCTCCTAGACTGAATCGATTTTAGAGCACGAGATAGAACGGAAGCCACATGGATACTCAAGACCACAATGTGACTGGTCTTTGGGACTTGGTTTCAATTTACACTATAAAATATATCAATTACAGTCGACTCATCAAGGGGTTTGGCCCTTGGTTCTCGTGGTCAGACTCTCAGCCAACTCTGAGTGACCATTCTTGACAGCATAGAAGACTGGCGGCCGATTATCCTTGTCACGCAGCCCGATATCCCGGTACCCCAGAGCTTGACAAACACACTCATTCCCAGTGGCGGCAGCATAGTGCATGATACTTCTTTTGCTATAAGTGAACTTAGACTCCTTACCACGAGCAAACAGATCAGGCTTCTGTATCCGGGTTCCTGCTAGTACCGCAACGTGAAAGAAGGTGTGGCCAAACAGGTCCTGTGCGCCGATGTTTCTGAAATTATTGAACCCGTGTTCCATAACACTGTTGGGATCTTGCAACCATTGAAGTCTGACCCGCAATTTCAGCAACTGAAGCAAATCTGATCGCATCCAGTTCCAAAGGAATGAACAATCAACGAATGCCTCACTACCAATGTCACATCCCCATGATGCGCAAATTAGGTAAGCCGGAAGACTATGTACTTCGTTCTTCAGAATCGCCGGAATCTGAATACCAAATAATAATTCAGTGCGAGGAATTCGCTGAAGAAGAGGATTACCTAGAGATAGCAGATGTTCAAGTTTCTCGCTCGACAACCCCCGAGGAGACTTTGAGATGGATCGCGCAGACTTCATGAAGTCGTTTCCAAAAACCTCGGCTCCCATCATGTCAGCACGAATGCTATCCACAAGTGACAATTCTGGGAGCTGAAGGAATTGGGAGACGAGACGCAGCAAGCCTTCTTCGGCGCCTCCCGATGTTACCCTGAGCAACCGTGCCCGGACTGCTGTCTCTAGTACCCTGCGAAAATCCTCGATCGCGCGAAGTAGATCTGTTTGCGGCGGAGTCTCGTCTACAAAATAAAAAAGATCCACCAATCTTCGGCGTTGGCGATGTAAGATGTTAACTTCAATCTTGAGAGTCAAGAAGATATTCGTGGCATCCAACCTGCTACGCATCAGTCAAATTCGATCATATAGATATCACGTCTCAAAGGCACTCACAAGTCTTGATAGTTCCATGCCTGCTGCTGAGGCGGCTTTCTGGGGCTTCTGGTTGGTGTATGGAGAGCCTCGTTGATTTCCTCCTCGTCCTGGCCATTCTGTTCTAAACGACCTACACGAGATGTAGAGACTCCTGCTCGTATCTGGTTGTTTGTTGCCCTTAAGGACGGACTGGATGTCTGAGGAGGAGAAATAAGCTGTAACTGTTCAGGGGCTGCTGGTCTCGCGTCTGTTTGCTTGGGTCTTTTTTCCTTTCTTGTTTTTACAGTGTAACCGCCACAGTTGCGGTCCTGTCTTTTACATGTATCGCAGCTTAAGTTTGTTGGGGTGTCTCTCTCGGGACTGCACTATATTACGGACAGTGCCTCCGTCAGCACGGCCATGATCAACATCAAGTTATAACAAAAATTGTACACACGCGTAGGTGGTTTTCCCGGCAGTTATCACATTTCGCTCGGGCCTGTTTGCCTCGCTTCAATGGGCGTTTTCTGGGTGTTGGATCTGTTGAAGAGGCTGGTTCTCGACTCAATTCCCCGATAAAATCATTGACCTCATGCGGTGTATCCATTTTTCCTGGTCAAGGAGGTGGAATAGTGCCAAAATAAAAGTGAATGTCTTGAAACAATAAATTACAAGTCAGGATATAAGTCCCCTAGAACGGGCAGTTGACAGCTTTTGAAGTGCGAAGTGCAAGTGCGGTCGGTGTGTCCCGGGTTAACGGCGGCTGACTACGGCTGACAAGGACCATCTGATAAGTCCCAGTCCGGAATTCGCAGGAGCCGTGTAACAATTGTTGCTCGTCTAAGTTCAGGGTCTCAGCAACGTCCATGGCTCTCTTCATTTCAAGCTTGCGGGAGGCCTTCACTCTGTCTCCTCTTACAACTTTGCATTGATGTTCATTTTCGCCATAAAATCCAAGAAGCATTAAGGAGGGCGATACTAGTCTATACACTTAAAACCAATGCCGGACTCGAACACCATTCTTAACATTGTGTCCATTATTATCGCCGTCCTTGCTATAATCGTCTCCTACATTCTTGGTCGCCTACAACTACGAGCGGCACATCTACAACTTCGCCAAGCACAACACGACAACGCTGATCTCCGGCGCCTTGTTCACCGTATCGTTGTTATAGTGCATAGATTTTGACGGTATGTAAAGCTTGATATCAAATTTCTGTTTTCAACTGCTGTCCTCGCGCCAGTGTTAACTGCTCTTGCAATGCTCTAGATCGCCCTCGCCATCATTGAACTTGCAAGTCATTGGAGTCATGGGGCTTGGTTATGATACCCGTTAGCACTTGCTGCAGATGTCCAAGGCCTTCTAATTACGTTTGTGTTTTGCTTGGATACCAGGGAGGCTCGGGAGGTGCGAAGATCTAGGGCTAGGATGGTCGCCTGGCAGGCAAAGGTTTCGGACTGTCTGGAGCGGGCAGCCAACTTGGTTAGCAATTCTGGGGAGCAACCGGCGTTCGAGATAGGATCTTTTTGGTAGTTCTGTCTTTTGATCATTTGTTGCTCTAAAGGCACGACAGTGGTGAGAGGCTAGACGGATGAATTTTGACAAAGGTGCCGTCCCAAAAATCCAGAACCAATGATCTCCAGATAGAAAATGAGTGTGCATGCATACCTTTTTCCGTCATGCAACCACCCAATTCAGTTCATTCAGGCAACCAAGTGCTGCTGTGACAGTATGCTGCGTTCTCTTCCCGCCCAATTTAGGGCATCGTTCAGCAAGGGGCACAACAGCCATTTTGGGCCATTCCAAGGTTAGTTCTGGCTTGTGTAAGTCAAGATGACCCACACAAGCTTTAGGTAGTGTTTACTGGAGCCCCACCACCACATTTGCCCAGTGAAATGGGTTACAAGCAGCAGGCTGGAACTGTTCTCATAAAACTAAACTCTTGACATGTCTACCAACTCTATTCGATGCAAGATGCCATGAATACACGGCCAGAAGCAGCCACCAATCCTGATATGCATTATATACACACAGAGAAAATAACTTCTGAACTTCATGAAGCCTGAAGTTTCGAAAGTTGCTGGTCTTCACTGCGAACTCTTCAGATGCTTTACACACCTGTAGTTGTTGCCAACCATGAAATCTAAGTTGCTCTTCTACTCCGTGGCGAGGTTGTGCAGACTGCATTTAGCGTTAGAAGTTGAATGAATCCCAGGATGAAAAAGAGCACCACATACCTTATATCGACACGGTTCTCCGGATTCCGGTCTGCACCGTGGCCGTTGGCCTCACCGTTTGTGAGGCGCGGGGCCTTATTCTCCGAACCATGCACCGCAACACTTACAGGGCCTCCATTGCCAGTCAAAGCCGAATTCGGGACGCTCTCGCCAGCGCCAATCTTTCGCTTCTTCCCTCGCAAGTGACTGAGATGCTCAAAGTAGCCATCTGGCACTGGGGTGGTATACTGGCCGCAGAATACGCCACACTCAAAGTCGGTGACAGGAGTATCAGGGGCAGCTTCAAAACAGGCCGCCTTGAGATCGTCGAGGCTCTGGTAGATGACTTCATCGGCATTGATGTGCTTTGCAATATCTTGCCTAGTCTTTTCATGTGCAATAAGCTCCTCAGGACTTGCTAGATCAATGCCATACTAGAGCCCCGTTAGCACGACTGATTGATTTCCTGCAGAGCTCGAACACTTACAATGTGTGGATGGATGATCGGGGGTGCACAGCTGGCAAAAATGACCTTGCGAGCGCCAGCTTCGCGAGCCACACTTACGATTTCCCGGCTCGTATTTCCACGCACAATACTATCATCGACGAGCAGTACGACTCGATCTTTAAATTCGCTCTCCATAGCACTCAACTTCCTCCGGATGCTCTTTTGACGAGCAGCTTGCCCAGGCAGAATGAATGTTCGGAACACATAACGACTTTTCTTCAAGGACATCAGTACAGCTGTGTAGGCTAATATTTAGGACGAACTTACAACAAGCCCATTCGAGAAAGGTTTGCCAAGGTGCTCAGACACAACTGCAGCAGCAGTGTTACTGGTTTCCGGAACTGGAATAACGACGTCTATTTCTTTGAGTGCCTCCTCACTCAAAGTCTCCCTAATCTTGCGAGCGAGCTTTGCACCCATATTCTGTCGGCTTCGATGGACAGAGATCTCCCCGAGTATGCTATCAGGCCTAGCAAAGTAGACAAATTCGACGAAGGGGAAGTTAGTTTGTCTCTTGAGGATAGTAAACGTACAAGGGGATGCAAGAGAGGAGTTGGTGAGTATGACTCAGCAATGAGTGTCCATGGTTGGACTGTATCTTTGTCTCCAACACTCAAGTCACGGCTGCTGTACTTGAAAATGAAATTCAGAACTTGCTTACATACTATGAATAAGAATTAGTAAATTCGCTGTTGGAGTAGTGGAACAGGGGGGGAAGGCAAAGAAGATGAGGGGGGTTGGGTTGGGTTGGTTCGAGGTTGCATCAAAGATGGCTCAAGAACATTTAAGTTCGAACTAAGTGGTGCATCCAAAATTTGAACATAATAGAGGATGGTATTGGAAAGAAAACGAATTCTAGGAGTTGCTTACTGTCAAGAGAGTAACCCTGGGCTGGTACCACCTGGTGGAATTGTGGCTTTCCACCTTTCTGAATGAAGACAGCTTGACCTGGAAGAATGTCTTGAATGTCTTTGAATCCGAGTTGGCGCAGGGCAATGCTCTCAGAGGCAAACATGTAATCCATCCCGCCTTCGATGGTGGCTGACGGACGGGAACCAAGTGAAAGAGGCCGGATGCCGAAAGAGTCCCGGAAAGCAAGGATACCAAACCCAGCAATCATAGCTGTGACGGCCCATGCTCCCTCACATCGCATGTAAGTCTTGGCCAGAGCGCTAAAGATGTCGTCGGTGTTGACACGAGCCTTGCCGGTCTCATTGAGGTCGCTGGCGAAGACATTGAGCATCAGTTCGCTGTCGGAGTCGGTGTTGACGTGACGGTGGGCCACCTTGTCTAGGTAAGTGCGCAGAGCGGGGGCATTGATCAGGTTGCCGTTGTGCGCGAAGCAGATACCGTAAGGGGAGTTGACGTAGAATGGTTGGCTAGAATTCGATCAATATAATCGCGTCAATACCATTAAGAAAGTCCACTCACGACTCGGCGCTCTAGAAATGGGCAGGTTAGCACAAACCATAGGGGTCGGAGCGTGAATTGAACATACCGAGCTGGTTCCAGCAGTCGGATAGCGCAGATGGGCAATGCCAAAGTATCCTGGGAGGTCCGCGACGCGCTTGCCATCCTCGAAGACCCTGATTGGTGGTGAGCAAAGGATCTGAGATGTACGACTTGGCAGAGCTTACTTGGATGCCATTCCATTGCCCTTGCATTGGAAGATTCTACCTCCAGCAGCACATGTGGCTATACCACAAGCATCTTGGCCACGGTGTTGCAAATAGTACAAACTCTCGTGCAAGTCTGCTGCCGCATCCGACGAGGTGTCGGCGAGGATGAGGGCGACAATTCCACACATTGTGTCGATATGCGCAGGGATCTATGGAGACTATAGCAAGGAGTCGAATGCAGGAACGCAGCTCTCTCTCAGTCTGCCTGTAACGGTATTATACGCTCGACGGACTGGGTGACGTTGAGGTCGTGGAGGCTTCGGGTAGTGGGGTCTCGAGGGAGGCGGTGGACGAGGAAGGGCGCGCCGAGAGTCGCGGGGGACAGTGGGATGGTTGGGTTGCTGAGAGACAGAGAAGATGAGAAATCAAAGATGACTCTCACAAGTCTGTAGACACCATTGTCATCGGTGACCAATCCAGGGCAAGAAGAGAAGCCGAAGTTGCCTTTGAGAGGAGGAGGAAAGGTTGACGGGATCCATTTTCTCGGGATCTTCTCTGTGAGAGAGATAACCCGCCGCCAGCCAGCGACTTCGCTTTGGAGGGGGAAATTTTTTTGGGAGGGATGGGGCAAGTTAATGCGGGGCGGCAAGCTGCAAGGCGCTAAAAACCCTTAACAGTCCTGACTATCACCTCCTTATCGATTGGTGGCCTTTCCGTGGTAGCCGCCAACTTAGGTAGTTCTACATTGGTACTTAGTATGGGGACCTTGTCTCTGTCATGTTGCTGACTTACACGAATAAGGCAAGTAGCATTAGTCTCTTGCAGAGCCCTGTTCTTCATCATACATGATAGTCTCAACTGTGGGAGATATGTTTATTGCAGTAGACTATTATGCATTCTTATTTTGAAATAGATACCAAATATAATGATGTGTCATTTATACCTACTTGGCTAGGAAGTGTCGATACTTCAGGAATGTACCTTATGCTTATTTGTAACTAGACCTAACGAGGATCCTGTATCAAAGCCAGAACTTGCCTCATTCAAACCGCTGATGTTTGTTGTCTATAATACAAGAAGACCTGATTTAAGCACTTGTAGATGTGTATTATTATTACTCTCTAAACTATGTTGTATTTCTGGTTAAATCTTACGATATTCTCATCGGGGACTGTCATTAACGCACGGACCACCTGCCACATCTTAGTGGATCATGGGCAACAAACAGCCTTATTCTGTCTTTATTAGGCGACCTTGACACCCGAGACCCGATAGCGGGTTGGCAGCTGCACAGGCTGTCGCAGTGCCAGTGCCTCTTTTCTTTGTCTGAAGGACTTCCTTTGATTGCCTGTCTCTCCTCTCTCATTTCTACACAGTCGGGGCAGACTTTGCAAATTATCTTCTTCAGCAGTCTTACAAAGTGGTGGTTCATCCCAAGGGAATTCAGTGAACTCCGACTTGTCCGCAACCTTATCATCACGCTCTTGGGCTTGGAGCCTCACCCACCTCATCAGCAGCAGAAGAGCTTCTGACATTCCGCCTTCACTAATCGAGGCTGGCAGGGCTCAATGAACCATGTTGTTCAGTCGCACTTGAATGGTAAGCAGTGTTCTGAGATTGTCGACACACTCTCCTCTGCTCTACTCTTAAACTTTCCTCAAAATGCTACCCGCCAACTAGGCGGCTAGTTGATTATTGTGGTTGAAGCGACACATTTTGCTAGTAATCATGAAGAATGAGATACCATTTCAAGTAAATTTGGTTGTAGCAATGTTTTTTCTGCTATACTGAGATTCTTTGCGGACTAAGTGGCCGTGATATTTTTTGGAGATAATTGTTTGTCACAATAATGAAGACCAGAAGGAGTAGGAAACGTGGTGGACAGCTTTGTGTAACTAGGGCTCCCGTGAAGTTTATTCCAGGCCTGAGCACCCTCATCTTTCACTGGCACCGCTCACTGCACACGTACACACACCACACAACACGGATCGAGCCTCCCGTAGATATCCCACCTGGTGTGGGGCCTTCTTTTCCTTCTCACCTTCGTCCTTTCTTCCGAGAGATTTCCTTCTCCTTCTCCGATACATTTTCCTGTTCAGTGACGAGCTCAAGACAACAAACCCGTAACTGTCACTGTCACCGACCTCATCAAGCCCTAGCGCACCTTCTTGGAGATACCCCTCTCTCTGTCCCTTCCCTTTTGTCCCTCCCCGAATACAAATGTCCCACTCTGCTGACACAGAACTTTCCTTGTAAAGTATGGGAAACTTGCTTTGCGTCGCCAACGATCCCGGTGCACGCCAGGACCACGAGAAGCTTTGTCCTGTCCCTCAGAGTCAGGTCAACCAGGGCGTCAAAGCCAGTAACCCAGAGAGCCGCTCGCCTCCTCCTCAACTCCTGCCTCAGACCCAAAAGAGGGCTGCATCCCCTCCCCAACAAGTTCAGACAATGGATCATCCAGAATCTCTCAAAATCACCTGCAGGGAGGCAGTCCTTACGGTCTTCCCCGATATCTGCCCTGAGTTCCTTCTGAAGGCTTCTGAGGAGAAGGGCCATGACTTCCACGAAGTCATCTCTCACGTTCTGGACCAGTCTGAAGATGGCAAATCTTATCCCAAGCGGCCTCGCACAAACCTCAAGCGCAAACGGACCGAGGATGGTGCAGAACAGGCCAATGACAGCACAAGACGCTTTGACAATGATGAACGTCGTCGCGAGCAAAAGACACTTACCTACCTCAAGACAAGGTATGTTCACAAGCATGCACCTAGTTCCTTTCTCACGATCATTTTCACCCGACCATGGTCTTTTTCACCTTGAATCTAGCCGTCTCCAAGTTTGTTGTGTTGTCTTCCTTCATCTGATCAGTTTGCTCACTCCACAAACCTTTATTTTCTGACAAGTTGCCAGCAAAATCCTTCTTCAGCAAGGGTTTCCTTTGGTAGCAGTAAGAGATCTTTATGCCACCTTTAGCCAGAATGGTCAGTGCCTCTACCCTACATTCATGGCGATGGATAAAATCATGTCCGAGTATGATGAGCGGGATCCGCCGTTCACGCTCAAGAAGAGACCCATCAAGGAGAATGCTTCATACCTTGAGGAGGCCATCGAGGAGACTATCCAGAATTGCGAAGACGTCGCCGAAAAGGAAGCCCTCATTGAGTTCCATGAGGCAAGAAAAGCGAGGGCTATTCTCAGAGCCGAAGCAGATGCCAAGTTACGCCATGATTTGGCAGAGGCTGACAACTTCAACCATGCCAAAGCTGAGGGCACTGTCACCACCTGTGAATGCTGCTGCGACGACTTTGCTTTGAATCGCATGGTACACTGTAATGCTGAGAAGTGCCATGTAGGTGCTACCCCCTATTCTCTTGAGCTTACTAATTGAACCAATAGTTCTTCTGCTACGACTGTGCTCGACGGATGGCTGAGAATGAGATTGGCCTCTCAAAGTATGAGCTGGGCTGTATGTCTATGGACGGATGCCAAGCTGGCTTTGCAAGAGACCAGCGGGACCTCTTCCTCGATCAGAACGCAGCCATCGCACTTGAGCGTATCGAGCAAGAGGCTGTGCTTCGCCTGGCTGGCATCGAGAACCTCGAAACCTGTCCATTTTGCCCCTTCGCGGCCGAGTATCCCCCAGTTGAGGTCGACAAGGAGTTTCGATGCCAGAACCCTGAATGCGAGTTTGTGAGCTGTCGGCTCTGCAGACAGGAAACTCACATTCCCAAATCATGCGAGGAAGCCAAACGGGAAAACGGTTTATCTGCGCGACGAGAGATTGAGGAGGCTATGTCTGCGGCTCTTATACGTACATGTAATAAGTGTAGGTGCCCTTATACTTGAAACCTAAATCGCGACAACTGACACTTCACAGGTGGAACGCCATTCATCAAGGAGAATGGATGCAACAAGATGACTTGTACTCGAGCCGGCTGCATGAATGTTCAATGCTACGTCTGCAGCAAATCTTGTGACTACTCGCATTTCGATGACACTAGCCGAGGCGGCAAACAAGGCAACTGCCCCTTGTTTGACAGCGTAGAGCAGCGTCACGAGGCTGAGGTCCGCGCTGCAGAGGAGGCGGCCCGCAAGAAGGTTGAGGAGCAGAATCCTGACGTGGATCACGACATGCTCCAGATCAAGGTTTCCAAAACAGTCAAGGCCGACGAAGAAGCTCGCCGGAACAGAAAGGAAAGGGAATTCGCCGGATTCCACGCCAGAAACCGTGTTCTGAACCCCCCCGCGGCTCCTGGCGGCCCGCCAAACGACCAGGAACGGCAACCTGGTAGGTACAATTGCTCGACTATCTAGTCGATTACTACCAAAAACAAAAACAATTCATTAGGCGTTTTAGCTAACCTGAGATAGCAATTGCTGATTTTTTCCGGGGGCCGGGATGGCGTCTACAGCCGCCCCCTCCTCCTATTATCAACCATCCTGCCGGTGATCTTGCAGGGGCCTTGCCAAGAGCAGCACCTCCTCCCAGACATTTGGCCAATCCTGCACTAAATGTTGGACCTCAGCGTCAAGGCCTCGGTAGAGACGAGTTGCCGGAAGATGCGGCACGCCGATTCAATCCGTATGCATACATGGATCTGGGTCGTATTGGTCCTGGTCAGCCGGTACAACCATTCCCACAGCCTCTCCCTATGGCTGGCATACCGGTACCGTTTGATTACGTTAACGGCAACCGCAACCAGAAACCCGGTCGGCGAGTAGGCCGCAATCGTGGCGGCCCAGTCCCTGCAGGGGAAAATGAGAATGGTGCGGCAGGTGCAGCGGAACCTGCTGCCGTCCCTATTCGCTCAGGAAGACGTCGACCTAGGGCCTGAAGAAATCAGTGCTACTCTGATTGCGGTGTTTCGACTTCACCGTCATTTCTTTGTCCTCGAGATATGCGAGGCGTGGTCCATCGAAGCTCGCAGATATCACCCCGGCTCAGCGGTCATGACTCAGTGACCTTATGTCGATAACCCGTTTTTCACTTGTTTTTATTGCCTTCGTTCCATCCAGCGATCATAGTTTGCGGCATTTCACGATAGCATGATAGGTGATCAAATTCTCTCTGTAGCGTTTGATACCCATCCTTAACGACTTTGCACTTAATGCCCAAGCAACCTGCCTAGCTGTGCTAGGAGGTCAGGGACGGAGTTTGGATCGTAGTGCGCGAGAAGTGCTAGACGTAGCTAGCATAGCATAGTGATTAAGATACATCCATAAAACAGTTCAGTCCACCATTAACTTGTGACAATCAGGCTTGCGCAGTCTGCCTACGCCGTTCCAGGCATACCAGTCACCTCGACCTCCCGAATTTCTCATGCCACTTGCCCTTGGCTGCCGGTGCCGGTGCTGCATTTCCTGCCTCGGCAACTAGCTCAACTGTATCATGGACAGTTGCAATTGCTGCCACTCCTGCTTCGGGGATCTGGCTGGAGTCTGGCTGCAATTCGGCCACGGAGAGAAGAATTAAGGCATTGGACGTGTTCTTCTGCCGTAACGAGTATGTCTTGTCTGCTGTCTTTAGGAGCCCGGCAGTTGGCGAAGATTCAAGCGTCAGGCTATAGGTATATGCTCTGTTAGTTCTCATCACTTCTCATCACTACGCTTGATGCACTTAGACACGACTTACGCTGGTGGGTTGTCTGACTCTAGAAGAGATACAAGCTCCGGCGGCAGCTCTATGAGCTTGTAGCCAACGCCATTGGGCGCATGACTGAGGCTGATCCCCTGATTGTCTTGACTGGACATGCTGCTTCGTCGACTTTAAAAAAGTCACATGCGAAAAGGGAGACGACGTTGAACGGACTGAGACTTTTCGATTAGATAGCGCGATCTGCCAGGCCCGAGGGGTGGTTATTTTTTAGTGGAGTCTGTATCTTGGAGGGGCAGATCTGATCCGCGTGGGCAGGGGTCAGGGGTCTAGTGCGGGAGCGAGTCCCGTGTAAGTGGCCAGTGCAGGGTGGGGCATTGTTTACTCCCGGCACTCACCGCCGCCAAACCATCAATGTCTCACCGGCGCCCGACGCGATCAGCATTGTAACTATCGCGCCTTTCTCTCAACCGTCGAAAAAACCCTCCGGATCAGCCTCCAGCCCGCTGCACCATCCAGCGCCCTTGTCGCCGTTCTTCGCTTCGGACCAAATCCCGGTCGACATCCTAGGCTGCTGGTTGGCGGTCAATTGTAGGCCATCTCATCTTCCTTTCTTGTACAATACTTTGCCTGCGATCTCGTCATTCCCCCGTAGTCGCAAACTCGCTACCCGGACCGGTCAATTGCGGCGAACTTGGTAGACTGCAGCAGCTTGTGCGCCATCCTGCGCAACACACCTGCGCACGCCCGGTCAATAACGCGACTTGCAGCTGCAAGCATCCTGCCAATCGACGCGCCATCGCACGTACTCTATGTTTACTTGAGGCATCCTCGCCAGTCTCGCCGATCCCCGCTACCTCCTCGTCCTCTTGCGATATACGACGACCATCACCGCCCCGTCCCGCCAATTCTCTCTGCCATTGATCATCCCAGATCGCTGGAATCCCCGGCCGGGCAATGCCACGGGCCCAATAAGTGGCCATGGTTCGAGTCACCGAGGAGCTGGCCTTGTCGCCAGAGCACGTCACTCTCTATCATGCCAGCGATCCATTGCTGGGCCACCTGCCTGTCCTTGTCTTCCACGGCCCCTCGACGACGGCAAACTACACGCTGAACAGCTCGCGCGTCCAGATCCACATCTACAGCCCAGCCGGTTTCCAGTCCTACCCGCGAGTCACCATATCGCCCAACTCGCCTTTCTATGGCGTCGTCACCCACCTGCCTCGGGAGTTCCAAGGCGACGAGATATGTAGGGGTCTCGCGTTTGGACTGTTCAAGTACTTCAAGGAGCTCCCGGAGGTGGTGAAGAATCATCTGAAGAATCAGTATCCCACCACTCGCGGCCGACGACCGGGCTCGGCTCCCGCTCTGTTTGGAGAGCAGCACGCAGCGGACTTGGCCAAGTCGATGGTCAAGTCGGAGAATACAGCAGAAGTCATTCGAGTGCTTCAAAATGCACTGCAGACGCAACACATCAACAATGTCGACATTGATTTTGTCCTACCGCCCGGCTCTATTGTGCCCCTCCAGCCTGAGGAACTTGAGGAAGTACCCGAAGACGAAGATGATATTCTGGATCCAACATTGAGACAGTATGGCGGATACAACCCGTTGGTCAAGCTCTGGGGCGAGCCCGTGTTCTTGCCCACCTCGAGATTACGACGAGCGCCATCCAAGCCAAGCTCCCTGAATAGAAGCAAGTCTTTCACCAAGGACCAGAAGCTTGAGTTGCGGATGAAACTCGGCGAGCTGGTGGATACCGAGGAACGATACGTTCTAAAGCTGAACGAGCTGGTCAAGCACATCGCCGATGACTTTCGCCAAAATGCGCGGAATCGTCCAAAGGAGAGCCTCAGTCCGTCAGACGAAGATATAGAGAAGTTGTTTCCACAATCTGCAGACCGGATTCTACAATTGAACTCGGCGTTCATGGAAGAGCTTCGAAAAGCCATGGATGACACTGAAGAAGATGCTGTGAAGGATATAGAAGGCCACATTCTGCCTGTCGGATCTAGACTGGGCGTTTCAGCGAAAGCAAAGGACCCTAGTGGCGCCCTTGCTATTGCTAGAATCTTTCTAGAATGGTTCCCCAAGTTCACCGACAGCTATCAGGACTACATCCGTGCGAGTCAGCATTTCCCGCAGTTATTGAACAACTTCCTCAACAAGGAGTCTAGCTTCAGAACAAGGGTGGCCAACACGGGAGAGCAGATGATCCGATCCATTCTCATCGAGCCGGTTCAGAGACTGCCTCGATACAGTCTGCTGATCGATCAAATCGTCGGCTGTCTTCCTATCACACATCCTGCTCTGCAGCCTATGCTCCGAGCACGGGATATCATTGCGAATATCTGTTCGATGGACGAGCCTCTGCAAGACAAACCCCATATCACCAATCGTCTGCGCAACATGGTCGAGTGCTGGCCGCCCGACCTGGAACCCCAGGGCAGATTGATTTTGGCGGCAGATTTTGTAGAGATACCAGCGCCTTATATCGACGAGCCTCAAAATGCCAAGGAGAGCGAGAGAGCGGGAATATTCCTCTTGTTCTCGGACTCTGTAGTCATCTTGAAGAAGTTGACAACCCCTGGCCTTACAGGGCGAGAGTTCCTACGTGAAGTTGAGAAGCCCTCACCGGCCGGTCTTCTCGCATCAATGACCAATGCGGCAGGAGGACCTGGTACATACGAATTTGCATTCACCGGATGGCACAATTTAGCAGATGTCCGCTTCACTGAGTCTGCTGATGGACGTCTGATCTGGATGACATCTACGCAAGAAATGAAAGGCGCACATGTTGGAGGTTATGTAACTGGCAAGGCTGTTACTGCGCGTTGTTTCCTTTTGCAAGAGACCCTGGAGGGGAAGGCAGCAAAGTGGAGCGAAGACGTCGTGAAGGCCCGAATCGAGGGCCGTTTCTCTGAAGCCGAGCGTGAAACTCCCGCATGGACTCTGAGGTCGGTGAGGATGCCAGATAGCAATCTGGGAATGCACGCGGCCGTATTTCAGGAAGCCGCCGAACAACTTGTCGAGGGTCGAAAAGAGCCTGCCCCTATCAGGGTGGTGATCGACAATGACAAGGGAACCAAAAGCGCACCGGTGGGACACTTTGGAGTTGAGGTTGTTGTCGAGGTGCAGAGTCGTGATTTGAAACGAGTGCGGATGAATTGTCTAGGTCTGAATGGGAAGGGGTATACCGATGATATCGCTCTCGAAGACTTCTTGCCCACACTCTCACGGCGCAGTATGTTGCATTCTTCCCGATTTACTTTAGGAAACTAACTCATTCTTTCGCAGTCATACAGCTCTTAAGCACGCAGTTCAATGTCTCAAACCTCCGGCTGGCACCGGCTATGGTGTCCTATTACACCAAAATAATACGGGGTCTCAAATTCTCGACGAAGATCGAACGGCCCAAGTCATTCCTTGCAACCTCGCCCGTTAAGCTGCTGTCAAGCTTCCTCGGTGGCGGAACCGTCTCTGAGACGACAACCAATACAAGCAAGCACCAACGCCCTGCCGTTGCGAACGTCTTCCCACCGCCTGCGTTGAATAGATCAACAAGCCAGAAAGAGACGGAGTCTTTTACTGATTCAATCCGGAGTAGAGACGGTGGGCGCCAAGCAACAGACGATGACCGACCGGAAAATCCCCTGGTCCGTCTCGAGCAGACATTCACAGGCTATATTGCGTGTCTGCAATCTCGGAAGGGTCAGTTTGTCGGCCGCACTCTGCTCAACAGAGGGGCTGCTGACGAATTGTCCGTCAACGACCTGTACAATAGACTCATCGAGAGTCCATACGACTGGGAGGTATCTTCAGATCTGACAACCGAGGTCATTTTCGTCGCGTTTGAGAAGTTCGTACGTATTGCGTGGCGAGATCAGATGGGGCCCATCATGACCATACAGGCGCTTGACTTGTTGCAGGAGCGCGCTGGTCGGAGAGCTGTAGGCGATTTCGGCGATTTCGTGAACTACCTCTTCTCGGACATGGCTCCTCAAAACCGCAGAGCCTTCACAGCGCTTATCAAGTTACTTGCCAACTTGTTGGACGGTTGTGGGAACGATGGTGATCGAGGTGCCCTCACACTTGCGTTCGCCGAGTTGCTTGTCGAAGATGGCAGTGCCCACAATTACATAAATCTTCTCGATCGCCTCGTTGAAGACTGCGATCGCATCTTCGATGAGGTCGGTTTCGGTGCCGGTATCCACCTTCGGGGATCTGCATACGAGTCGATGAACTCGACAACACGTAGCTACAAGTCTGGTTCAGGATCCATCACATCCAACACCTCTTCACTCCGAAGAAAGTTTGATACCCTTTTGCGACAGAATAGCAAAGCTGAGACTGAGCGTCCTTCGATGTGGCGTAGTCTAAGCAGGCACGGCAGGAATCCTGCTACTGGTGAGAGCTCAAGCCTATCAAAGGCATCTGTCAACAGGGCGAGATCAATCGATATGGGTCATCCGGCTGGACCAAACAAGTTGAGACGCCCGCAATCTCGCGATAGGCCGCCTATTGCGGGTGCTTTCGACGAAACAATCCAGCGCCCGGCTAGCTCCCACAGACTGGAAACGATCGGCGAGCCAGAGGTTGAGGTCACAGAGCCCAAGTCTCTCAAGAAGAAGCGCCGAAGCTCGCTCTCCGATCTCAAGAGTCTTATGGAGGCTGCCACGCTTGAAGATACGCCGTTGCAGCCCCTGCGCATTACGAAACAGACTTCTGAGAAATTCAACTCGAGCCTTCCGTCACCCTCGAAGATCCCAATCAGCCCTCAATTCCAAAGCTTGCGATCGCCGCGCCAGAAGGAGAACGCGCCCGGTGACGGCTTCCCCAAGCTCGCATCTCCGCCGGAAGTCCTAAAGACTACCAGCCCTGACAAGTCCGAAAGGCGCCCTCATGCTAAGACCCTATCCACCTCTAATATCCCGACTCTGAAACTCACGCGCATGGCCAACAATTCGACCGTAGCGGAGTCACCCACGCGGCCTACCTCGAGCCCCAGCAAGTCGTCTAACCAGAAACTACGACTACAGTCTCCGCAGAAGCTGCGAGAGCGTCTACAAGCGGAGAAGAAGGCAGTCGACGAAGTTGATGCCAGCCTCAAGTCCGAGCTCTCACGCATCGGCGAGGACATGGCCCGTGTGAACGGCGCGATGCCGCGATCGGTAACGCAGGACATCCACAAGCTCTCGGCGTCGCTCAAGGCCCTCGAGGAGCGCGTGCCGCAGGTGATAGAAGAACTGAGCGAGCGGCACAGCGCGATCCAGCGAGACCTAGAGAGCACGCTCAAGGCGAGCGAGTCCAAGGTCAAGGCGATCGACCAGCTGTTCAAGGAGTCGACGGCCGAGAACGAGCTGCTGTACGAGAAGTTCAACTCGGAGCTGGGCAAGATCGTCAAGGCGCTCAAGGGCAAGGGCCGCGAGGACAAGGAGGAGCTGATCACCAAGCTGAAGGAGCAGAGCGAGGAGACGGCGCGGGTGAAGAAGGAGAACGCCCGGCTCAGGAGAGAAATGGTCAGCCTGCGGACGCTACTGAAGGGTGGCGACAACTAAATGATGGGATACAATGTGATGGGTCAAGGCGTTGAGGGGATGAGGTCGAGACATGGCCTTTGTATAGTACGCAGCACCTGAGCTCGAAGGAAGCTTCTCTGGTCCGGAAGGGTTCAAGATTGTATTATGTATATGCTGTAGGATCACACGTCTGTCTGGGGTATGATGATGATAATGGCTAGGACTAAACATGATGAGACCAATGCAAAACCAAACTGTCAAAGCAACCATGCCAACATCCAGGATGTGTTCAACATAAATTCGTCATACGAAATACCAAACTCCCGCGTCATGATTCGAATGCTTCATATATCCCTAACGAGTCTCCATCATTGTGCCTCGATCCTCAATGGATGTCTTCACGACCATCTTGCCAACTTGAACAGTTAACACAGCGTGACGCCTTAGAATTTCGTTAGCAAAGCAACGATGACCAGGGACTACCTAGTAATTCTCGAGTCGCTTACCTTCTCGTTGATCCGCTTGCGGCAGTATTTGCATTTGACTGTATGCTTGATAATCGGATCCTTCGACACCCATTGATAGAACCCGGCCAATCCGTAAAGCGCAAGTCCTAGGCCAAGGAAATTGACCAACCGGCTGATGAATTGGCTGTTTCATTATGTCAAGTTAGCAAGAGTCTTTCAACTGCAGCTGTGAGACATTTGTATCATTTGGGCACTTCACAAATTAGGGAATGGTTCTGTTTGGACTCAAGGATTCAAGGATACTCAGTGTAGAGGCAACAAGTCAATTACAACTCACCCATAGGCCATGACCACAGCGCCATCTTCTTGGGCCTGCTTCAGGGTATTGTACCCGTGGTACTCTCCAAAGTGCGGCCCCTTGCGCAGAACCGCGAACTTCTCATCCAGGTTCTTGTTCATCGGGAGCAGGACGGACAACGGCGGCAGCAGAATGTCCGAGACGAAGGACGTAACAAGCGCAGTGAAAGCCGCGGCAAGACTATGTGGAATTCAGCTATGACTCCAAGGCCAGAATTTCAACGTTTTCCCTGGATGGCTTACATCAAACCGAAGGCGATTTCTATAAAAGGTTGGAGTCAGCATATTTAGCTTTCCTTGGTAAAAGGTCAAACGTTACCGAGGACATTTCCCTGGAGAGCGAAGTCAAAAAACGAATCAACAAACCGGCGCGAGTGTCTTCTGCCAGCCTCTAAGAGGCCAGCCTCTTCTTCGCCGCTATCGCTAAGGCGAGGCATTCCACGCTTTCTTGAAAGCGCAATCGTACTGACAAAAACCGCGTGATGAGAGAGCCGCGTGTGAAACAGCAGACACGACACGAAATGGGGAAGAGTAGAAAGAGCCGCAACATTCGCTGGTCACCAAAATGGTCTGCCTGGACTGAGATCGTCACTGGGGCCAGGGCGGTTTGGGCGTCCTGGAGCCAACGTCGTCATAAGCCACCACCGTTAGGCACCGCAGCTTGATTGGGTGCCACAACTGGTGGATTGCGGGGATGCGATAGGCATCGCCCAGCCACATCGTTGCTTCTAGGTACTGTTTACCGAAATTGCTCTCAAGATAGCGTCTAAAAACAAAAGAAGTCTGACCTTGCAATGCGAAAGTTCTGTGATAACTTCTCGCCCAAAATATATCATAAGCGGAACGGGTTCGAGATTTGCCAATTGACAGCAGCCGCTATGGTGAATTGAGATTTCAACATTCGTTCAAAACACATCCCATTATTTCCAAAGGTTTCTGACATATCTTATTCGACAGCCTATAAGATGAAGGGGTAATACAGCCTCATGATAGCATTCCCGCGTTCTGCTGATTAAGGGATCGATTCTGGGTCAGATAAAGCATCAGTGGTACAATCCACTCAGCGCTACGACAGCGCCGCTCAATCTAGGTATCGAACCCCAGCATCACGGTGCTGAAAGTTACAGTCGTCGAGGGTTGTGGCCCGTTAGGTGGCCGATGACGCCCCGGACCAGACCGCTTGTCCCCACTCCAAAATTAGCGGCAGGCTCCTCAATGGCAGGAGTTTAGCGGGCGAGCCACACAGCCACACCCGACGGCAAAGCAGGTTTGAACGGCGTTGATTCAGGTCCAACCACCAAACCCGCCGATGACGCAACACCATCAAAGAGCCGGCACCCTCCATTGGGCCACCAACCAAGACAACAGAACCTTAGGGCTTCCTTGCCACTCGAGCCACTGCCAGTTACCGCCAGCCAGTCCTTGTACACGTACTTGCTCAGAGCGGCAGCCAGGGCCGTTATGCCCACTTTGTAGGCGAGTGTGTGAGGAATGGCTGGATCACGGTGCATCTGCCGTCCCTTTGTCTCTTATCCTGGAATGTGCTTCGTTGCGTCACGCTCGTACTATATGTCACCGCCAATGGAGGTGGTAGCCAACCTGCCAGCCATCCAGCAGGGTCCGATCTAGCTTTATATTTGATTCATCGGCACCCTTTTCCAATCCAGACGTTTTCTTGTAGGTTATATTCTTGTAGTCGATATACGCAGCGCTTCTGAGCTCTCCCTACCTGAAGAGCCGTCATAAACCTCTTGGTCGTCGAATAAGCGTTTTCGTTGTGCCTTTTGGTAATTCTTACTCAATTCCCCAAATCTTGAAGACGATAGCATCATATTCTTTTTTTAAAATGCGGATCATCGTAGGAGTACCTATCGTCCTCTCCATAGTGAGCTTCGTGCTCACTATGTTGAGTCTTTTCTCCGGCTACAGGCGAGGATTCATGGAGGATTACCATATCATCATGTTCAACACCTCCGAGCTGGGACACAACCTCGTACCGACGCCGACAAGCGGTAACAGCGGCCCGACATCGACATCTGGAGGAGGTGGGATCGGCGGATTCTGGACGAGCCTTGTTTCAGAAGCTACCGCCGCGGTGGGCGCCATCGAGAGCGAGCTGGCTAGTATTGAGAATGACATCGCCGACGAGTTAGCCAAAGCCCTTGGCATCAAGGAGTTCTACTCGCTACACATCATGGATGCTTGTGAGGGCTATTTCAAGCCAAATGCAACTACTCCGCACGCTGGTTACAATGTCACCAACTGCACAGAGCCGATGGATACTTGTAAGTTTAGATTTGTTTCTGAATCTTGTGATACTTACGTTGACTCTAACCATAGCTTATCTCAACGTCTCTGCCCTGCTCGACGAGGAACTGCGCGTTGGACCATTTGAAATCTCTCTGAACGATCTAGGCTTCTCTGATGACCTCCAGGAGAAGCTTGATGAGGTTCCCAAGCTCTTCATGGCCATGAGCGTCCTCTATATTCTTGGAGCTGGCTTTTCAGGGTTGTCTTTGCTGGGATCTCTTGCAGCACTATTTATGCTCCCACAGTCTGGTCGGATACTCGTGCTTGTCAATTTCACCCTCACATTTCTCGCGATGGTATGCCTCCTCGCCGGAAATCTGGCGACAACCATCGGCGGGAAGAAGGTTGTCGACGCAGTAGCTGATTTTGGGGACGATATTGGCCTATACGCTTCCAGAGGAGATAAGTTCATGGCACTCGTCTGGACTGCGTTTGCACTTATGGCTGTCAGCACGATCTACTGGGGTTACGAGTTCTTCGCAGAGACACGAATGCGAAGAGGTGGAGTTCAGAGGCGCGTCAAAGAGGAGCGATACTCGATGGATTCCTATCCACGCGGTGCCCGCCACTGAAAGCATTGTTCTGGCGTTCCATTGCAGCCAGCATCCTGGTGTTAGTTGGGGCTGTTGGTCAGAGCAGGCTTTGATTTGACAGCCCAGGCGGGTGAACGAGCTAAGGTAGTTTCAAATTGTTTCACTGATCACAAAGCGAGTAAACTCAATTTTTAATTAGTAGTATATATATAATGAACAAATATCATACATAGTGTGAGCACTCAAACATTGATTATCATGTAATTAATTTAAGTTTATCACCTCAACATTGGAAACATACATATTATCTACTTGGCTGGCCCTACTAAGAGGTTTAAGGAACCGTGGTTGGGTCGACTCGCCCTCCCTATATAAAATGACAACGGTCCAGGAATGGCTGCTTAAGAATTATGTGTGATAGCATTTCGAGTAACTCGCGATGTGTTCAGAAACAAACCGGATGTCATTCTACAAAGCGGCATTTTACTCTGCAGGTGCACAATTATGGTTCATTTCTGTAGACCATAGGCAAAACTTTGATAACGAATCAATGATTTATGGGCTCATAATTGGCTCTTAGTCTATCTATGCCACGAACTCGGTGCAAAGCTAAACAGCAAGCAAGTCAACCGACTAAGAGATGTAAGTGTCCCAAATGTGCCCCACACCCGTCTGCCATTCATGTTGAGCTAAAAGGCAAGCAAGATAACGCAGATATTCCTCGGTCCAAAAAGTGTCCTTTGTGTGCCCCCATAATTGCGTCTAAGTGCCAACTATGAGCGCGTTCGCTCCAGGTTTGCCAGAAGTACCAGGGCCAGTCGAGGGTTCGTCATCACCGTCAGCCTTCTTTGGACCCTTCTTTGGCACCTTATTGTTGCAGCTTCTCTTGGTTTTAGCACGCTTGGGCTTCGATTTGATCTCGTCGGCCTTTCTCTTCGGGCGTGGCCTTCCAGGAAGATGCGATGGACGACGATCGATCCATTTCTGGCCATGCTCAGTTTGTGAAAATAGCTTGTCACAAGATGAAGGGACATGCCCTCCATTGCAGCATCGGACCAATTCCATCTCGATGATGGTAGGGAGAGTTCGGCGTGAGGCTGACATCGATCTGGCCCAAGTTTGGCGCGAAGGCTTTTCGTTATAATCCCATTGACTATGCAGCTGCTCAAGGAAGCGACAATACATGTCAATGCCAAGATCTCTGTCGAAATGCCAAGAAGCTTGTCGGACCTGAAGTGGAATGGGCTCGACATAATCTCCTTGGAATTCATCTGAATAATGGTCAAGCTGACTCTGCTGAGCCATAGGAGTCTGCTCATTCGCCGAGCCTAATATGGGTCGTTAGATATCTTCTTGGAGAGAACTTTTAGAGAAAATTTGCGATGTGAGTACACATACCAGTCTCATCCTGAGGCGCAGATGCAATATCTTCGTCAGCAGCATTATGCTCATCATTCTCACCGCCAGAGCCAGCGGCATCGTCCGCCATCATGCCAGATCTGGTTCTTTAAGCTTCTTAATGCAAGCTAATAATTGTGTAAATCTGGTGCTCTGACTGTCCTTAGAGAAGACTTAATAATGAGAATAAAATAAGATAGTTTGAAAAAGAGGAAGAAGTTTAGAAAGAAAGGATGAATTAAATGTGGAAGGAGTGTAGCTTGTGTACCATATAACTATCCACTCAGAGCCCTGGAGTTAGGGCACCGCAGAGCAGGAGGTTTTCATAAGAGAATAGCTGTGGCTTTCTTTTTGAGGCCAAGGTCCGCCACCGTGGTGTGGAGGTTTCGATTTCCCTCGAAAGGGGGAAGTCACGTCTTGAGCTCCACCCCTGACACGCTTTAATGTCCACCAACAAAAATCTTCCTCTCTATTTCCATTTCCATTTCAACCATAAAATATTTTTCCTCACACACTCATCCCTAATATCATTATTATTCATATCTGTCGTGCCAGTACTGTACCCATACTCTGCTGATATATAACCTGGTGCCAAAACTGGCAAATTTGGCACCAGGTTACGCGCCGAGTCTGGCTCGAAGAAGCGCGTCAGCAGCTTCCAGTACACCTTTCCCCCGCCAGTAGTTGGTGAGCTAGGAAAATGGCGCCACGCAATAAGAAGCACGCGTCGAGCCGGATCAGGGACGATAAGTCGTCAAGCATCTTGAACTATTTCGCGCGCCTGGATCCGTCTCAAAAGAAAAACGCGCCTCAGTCAGCTTCACCTGTGCCTCCGCGAAACGGTGAGAGCTCATTCACGTCGGGCCAGACTCGTAACGATTCGCCCTCCGGCAACTTTATGAAATATAAGGTTGCAAGCCATTCTCAAACGCATGATGGTATTGAACCTGAGCCAGCGTCCCTCATGCATAAAAACTCAGGTGAAGACGCGTGGGACCAAAAATGTTACAACACACCATCTGCATTGAAGCACGTCCTCGATTCCGTTCACTCGCAGCTCGATAACGGATTCATGACTGAGCCCTCGAAGCTCGGTTCCAGGAAATCCACGTCAGGCCAAGATTGTACCGACGCGGATTCTTTTCCCGGGTCATTTGCATATCTTCAGTCACACCCAGAGAGCACTGCCGCCAAACCGTTGACGCAACTTGGGTACCCAGCCGCTACTGAAAAGCCCGACCTCACTGAAGGCGCAATCAAGGAACTTGAGATGGTTGCAGAACTTCTTCGGGCCAGACCTGATCCGGAGTTGATGGATAATCCAACACCATTCGTGCGTATGCTTGAGAGACGCATTGAAAAGATTGCAGCAGATCCCTGGATGTCGAATGTGGAGAGCCTTGCCATTCTAAGAGCCTCTACGCCCCTAGAATGGGCCTCTAAGATAGCTGCCCACACCCCTCTGTGCATCCAGGAATGGTTTCTGCAGGACACAGCACCCGAAGACTGGTCGGACCTGGATTGGTTTGACTCGCCTTCCTTCGGAGTATACGGCTGTCTGGTGGACAGAAAGTCGGCCTATGTGGGCTCGGGAACTTCGAATCAAAGCGGTGGGGGAACTCGGAAACGACGCAATGATAGGCGGGCTACAACATCTCGGTGAGTATCTTCGTGTCATTTAGGGACCGATCTGACAATTTATCTTAGTCCTGGAGACTCCCTTCGAGGATCTATCTTCGACAAACATGGAAGAGAGGCGGACCAACAATGGATCTTGCTTCTCGACATCAGCCTCAAATCTCCTATAGATGGCCATGCAATGACGACCATGGAGCTATTCGATTGGGAAGACTTAACACATTATCGAATGCTTTGCGTCTTGGCGGAGAATGTCTACACTATCTTTCTCGATGCCCATAAGTACAAGAATCTCAACATCGATCCAGTGTGGAAGGACCATAAATGGACCGGCCTTTGCACACATGCATCGTTTTCAGAGTCAATACGAGAGGCTATGAGTAAGGAGTATATCAAGGCAAAAAATTCCGAGCGCTGTCGCGAGTGGCGTGATGGTTTGTCTCAGCCGAGTAAGTCAGTCGAACCAGTCTAGGTCCTTTCTAACTTTACACAGGAAGGGAGAAATTGCTCGCCGAAAAGCGAGAATGGGGCCAAAAAAACTCCGAACGTCTTCGCGCCCTGGCCTCAGCGCGTTACTATGCCAATAGAGACGCTATCAATGAAGAGCGTCGCCAGCAGTGGGCTGCCATGACTGTTGAAGGCATGTACATCGTACCAATTTCGGCGCTCAAAGCTAACATCAACGCAGAGAGAGAGGAGCTCTATGTCAAGCGGCACGACAAATATGAGCAGCAAAAGTTAGATCGATCTCCCGAAGGTAAGATAAACATCGGGCCAAGATTGGGTGCATGCACTGATATCGAAACAGAGGCAGCAGCTCATCTCGCTCATGCCATAGAGCTGCAGACTGCGAGAAGAGCAAACTGGACTCCTGAACGTATGTCAACTGTGTCGATCCAAGTACGGTTCCTTGAAGCGCTGACAATGAATCAGAGCGGGAGAGTCACAACACTGCTGCACGCATCCGCCAGCAAGTCAAGGTTGAGAACATGGACCCTGCAGGTTCGTGGTAGTGTAGGTCCAAATGCGGTATCATATCACTGATAGAATCTTTAGCACGCGATACATATCACGAAGCTGCACGCAACCGGCAAGCATCTCGATTGGCCAAGATGACTCCTGAGGGTATGTCACTTCGACCCCGAATGGGACCATATTGACATCGAAATAGAGAAGCAGGCTTTCAAAGCCCACAAAAGGGAAGTGGAGAGGGCGAGACTGAAGCGTCACCGCGAGCAGCTGTCTCCCGAAGGTATGTTCCTGTGCATGGATCCAAACTTGGCATTACTAATATGAAGCAGAACTAGAGGCGGAGAGAAAGGTCAGGAGAATGAAGCGCCGCAAAGGCGCAAACGCCTAGGTCGCAAACATGACAAGCTACTTGTTTCACATCATTATCAAGGCTATAGATTGGGTTGGGACCATATTGGGAGCTTTACGGGCTACAATTTTATCATGTTATTGGGCTTCAGGGAGGAATTTGGGATCCATTCTGGGTTTATAAGGATTGTTATCACATTATTCAACTGGGCGAAGGAGCACGTTCAGACCAAAGCTGGCTCTATGCTGAATAATTCTAGCATTACTCTCCACCTCTAATGTTAATCTTAATATTATCCCAGCAAGAGAAGATGACAACGCAGAAATCTGCTGCTATCGAACAGTAACATGTTGATGGGGTACCTGAAGTTGCATTGTTCATTGTCATGAAAACCCATGTCTAGCCACTGCATGTACAATATGTCTCAACAATATAGAGACTCAGCAAAGACACAAGCATCATATTCGCAACCTCACGAAATATTCCAGAAATTACAGAAAAGTTCAAGGAAGCGTCATTGCTTGAGATTTATGCAAGAGACGAAGACGTAATGAGGTTCTTAAACAGCCATGCATCACAGTTTCCGCGTTGCGCGACCCGCTCCGCTGAACTACAGATGGAAATTAAGACCAAAATCGGGAGATCCGTCAACGGCATGTATGCATTTTCTCCTCTGTTGTTCCTAATGTAATACTCAATATTTACAGGTTCTTGCTTGCACAACTTTTTCTTGACTCCTTGAAAGGGAAGAAATCCCCCACAAGAGTCCGAGAAGCCCTTGACGACCTTCCGACGGGCCATGATGCTTATGAACAAGCTTACAAAGATGCCATGGAGCGAATCAACAGGCAAGAACCAGAAGAAACAGAATTGGCGATGCAAGTTCTTGCTTGGATTACCCATGCGCCTTTCCCGTTATCGACCGTCGAGCTAGAGCACGCAATGGCGACAGAACCAGGAGAGCGTTGCTTTGACCAATCTAATCTTTGCCCTGTCGATGATATCATCTCAATGTGTGCCGGGCTAGTCACCGTTGATAAACAGAGTGATGTCGTCCGGCTAGTTCACTATACTACACAAGAGTATTTCGAAAAGACTTGTAAGGTTTGGTTTCCAGACGCAGACACACAGATCGCATCTACATGTGTTACTTATCTCTCATTTGATGTTTTCGACAAGGGATATTGTCATTCAAAGGAGGAGTTTGCGCAACGCCTTCTATCATATCCATTGTACGCGTACGCATCCTCGAGATGGGGTTTTCATGCTCGCAATGCGGTATCTTTCGGCGAGAAAGCTTTAGAGTTCCTTAAATGCGAAGCAAAAGCCGAAGCATGCAGCCAAGCATTACAAACACGTAGGTTCCAATGGTCAAATTCAACGAATATGACAGAGAGAATGGGTGGTTTACACTTGGTCGTTTATTTTGATCTGCCGATTCTGTGCCGCAGATTACTTGAGACAAATGAGGTCAACGTGAGAGACACTCATGGAAGAACGCCAATCCTGTATGCGGTCGAACAAGAAAGTGTAAAGATTGCAGAGATACTACTCAACAATGGTGCTGACATCAATATGCCTGATAACCTTGGCATCACGCCATTATGGAAGGCTGTGAACCTCCAGAACGAAGAATTTGTCCGATTATTACTTCAGCAGGAAAGACTTGACCCGAATATCAGTGACTATAGTACATGCCGTACACCTCTATGGCTGGCTGTCCACAAAGGAAATGAGGCCATCATATATGCTCTGCTCGCCGGCGGAGCCAATGTCGACTCGAGGGACAGCAGAGGTCTCACGGCTCTAATGCTAGCTGCCGATGATGGAAGATCCCACATTTTCGGGCTGCTAATCGAAAGGGGAGCGGATCCTTGGATGATAGACGAGTCTGGACGAACAGCAATGTCAATAGCCATGGAAAAAGATGGGGTATATTTCACCGACAATCTGTACTCTGGCATGTGGTCTTCAGGCGATGTCGGACTCTACCTTCATCGTATCAATCAAGTCTTATTTGAAACTATCAATCCTCCTATCCAAACCAGCTCCCTGGTAGAGATTCGTCAGAGATGGTTTGCAAGGCTTGTGAAGAGTGGACATATTGCCATGGTGCAAGACTTACTCGCATCAAGGAAGGTAGACATAAACTGGAGAGATGATGCAGAGAGATCCCCATTATGGTTTGCTTATGTCGGAGGTCAGAAGGAAATTGCACGGTTGCTGCGCTCCCGGGGCGCGGTACTCTGATGTACCGCATGCCTGCATGTCGGGTCATTGATTCATATATCCAGATCAGAAGACCTATCCCATAAACATAAGTATTCCGTTACGCTCCTTTTGCAGGGGAAGGTCTGTTCCATAAACATTAGTATCCTATTAAACGCTTTTGAGAGAGAATCTATCCCGTTAAAATAAGTATCCCATTACGCTTTTCTAGCAGAGAAAATCTATTCCATTATTAAAAGTTCCTGTTACGCTCTTTCAGAAGGGAAAACATATCCCATTAAAAAAGTGTCTCATGACGCACTTTTGCTAGAGAAAACATATTCTATAAAGTAGGTATTCTACAAAGCCTCTCTTGTAGCAATAATCTATTCCATTAACAGAAGCATCTCGTTGTTACATATTTGAGAATCAACTCTTTCAGACAGTGAAAAGATGTTCTAGTAAAAAAGATATACCATTATCGTATTCTAGCACTGAGAAAGATATTCCAGTAAAAAAAAATTCTATTACCTTAATCCAGTAGTTAGGAAGGTATTCCAGAAAAAAAGATATGCCATAACCTCAATCTAGTACTCAGAAAGCTATTCCAGTAAATTCAGTATATCATTACCCTACAATAGCACCAAGAAAAGTCTTCCAGTGAAAGATATATTCTATTACCTACCACAGCACCAAAAAAAAGTGTTCTAGTAAAAACATATTCTATTACCTGACTCAGCACTACAAAGAAGTATTCTGGTAATTAACGACCCTAGTAGTACACTATCTCAGTAGCAAACCATTAGAGTAGTAAACTTTCGAAGTAGTCAAATGTCTCAGTAAAGGTAAGTATCCCAATAAAAAGTATTTCAGAAAATAAGTGTTCCAGTAACCCGTTTTCCAAGTAAAAATGTATCCCATCAGAAGGGGTTCCACTAAAAAGGTAGCACAGTAACAAAGTGTTCCATAAACGACTTCTCCGAGCAAAAAGGTATTCCATAAAAAAGCGGTTCGTAAAGAGAAGTATTCCAGTGATAGCATCCCAGTAAAGTAAAGAGTCAACAAACGGACCGTCCCGTCAGGCAGAAGATTGCTCGGGCGCAGTTCAAGCACTGGCGAAGCGCATAAATGCTCCATACAGATAGCAGCTGGGGCAATACCTAAGCTACGAAGGATGAGATTGCGCTTCGGTCGAGTTTCCACTCATGCCCAGGCAGTACAATCAGGGACAAAGGCACGATCATCCAAAATAATACACGAACTGATGGCACTGGGGCGAGGTCGCTCGAGCATGGAAACTGGAATAGGGGCCCGCTCCTAGGCAAATGAGAGCAGGAGGGCATGAGTAGACGGAACTCCGCTGTTACCGAACAGCAACATGTGATGGACTATCTGGAGCATGTTGTTCATTGTCATCGAAACCCAAGTCTAGTCACTGCATGTACAATATCTTCTGACGACGCAGAGACTCAGCAAAGACACAAAGTATTCATCGCCGATTGCAACACATCTGCCACGCCGAAGACTCTATTTGTCATCTCGACTGACGAATCTCAATTACCCTATCTAGCCATATTCTCTTGTATCAACCCTCAACATCGTGCAGTAACACGCTACCTTCACTCTTTCGTAAGATTACCCCTTCGGGAAGGCCACGAAGCGGTGAACCATCGTGGCGGCTTACCTAACGCAAGAGACGTCATTGCCACGAGGCTGCCACCATCACTGGAGTACCACGTAAATACCTCCTCGGCGCGGATGAGACGGCTGTCTCCCGCACATGACACTCACCCATACCTCCATCTACAACTCGGTGTCGAATCCGGCTACATCAAGTCACCAAGTCTGATATCAGAAAGAAACGACCTTGCCTGCCGCGCACAATGCACAGCAACGACTCGGCTAGCTTCCAGAAGCGGCTTGGTTTGGTGTAAGGGGGCCAGTCCAGGCTAGCCGGCTGGCAGCCTTGACTTTTTCAGCTGGAGGGGGTCTCCTGCCCACGGCTCCAACCACTCATGAGGCCCAGGACAAACAGCGACCACCCTGAGTCGCCGTGTTAGGCGCTGGCGGCGGTGCTCCACCGGCACATTACAAGTGTGCATTCTATTCCTGTGCGACCAAGCAGAGCGGGAGGATTGGGGGCCAAGGAACAAGAGAGAGAGAGGGAATAGTCGGCGTTAGGAGTAGGAACCCCAGCTCGGCACAGGCCGGGCTAAGAGCTGACGTCTCGCAACGGCCGTCCTAGACATGCCCTCGGTCGAGCGAATCATACAGACAAAGAAACGAAAAAGGGGGTGGGCTTCATCCACACCGGTGAGCAAGATATAAGTCCCAGGTGCTGCAAGTCATGTGCAGCATTCCCGAGATAGGCTACGCCCGCAGGAATGGGAAGGATGCGAGCGGGTGAGCGAGTGAAGGAGCCAGACAGAAGGTTGCAGAGGATAGTGAGATTGATAGAGAGAAGGGGGAGGGAAGGGGAGAAAGGAGAGATGAGATGGAGGATCGCGGATCCGGGCCATGGAACCCGGCTAGCCCAGATCCAACAGCAGCGCTCTCCGCTGGTGCTGATGTATGGAATGGATGGTACGCCAGTGGAGCGCCACCCCTTCCCACCGACCCTGTTCTCGGGCGCGGGAGGTGCGTTGCGTAGGGCTGAAAAGAAGGCTGTGTAACAGAAGGTGTCGAACCCTTTCCCGCCTCTTGTCAACCCTCCAATGCCGAGTGAGAAGGGAAAATAAAGGACAGCAAAACGCACGCACGCGCGCAAGGGAGGATGACACGCAGGGTGAGATCTGATCGACGCGGGCTACTGTGGCGGGAGTAGGGGATAAGAGCAGTTTGAGTAATCAGAACCGCGTGCGAGATCAGTAGAGAAACCCCCACGTCAATCCTCCAAACTCGGCTTAGGGGGGTCAGGCATAACCCGGAGAACGCGGAGCTTAATGAACAAACAAGATGATAAGCTGACCTGGAAGTAACCTCGTATGGCAGGCAGCAGAAGGAGAAAGAGACGGAGAAAGGAGAAACAACCAAGGAAAAGGCATGTTGCTGTCATCATGAGCTCGCTCTGCAGGGGGGTGGAACATGACGAGGACCAAGTAGCCAGTCCGAGTCAATGACACGATGACTGTCGGAGGTGTGAGTCTTTGAGAGGAGAGACGTGTCCGGAAAGACCAGTTTGTCGAGAATCCCGAGGTCTACGCAACGCGCTAGGGCATCCTTCTCAGATCCGGAGCCATCGCGGTGTGCGAAGTCGTCAGCAGTCAGTGGTGGACCAGGGGTGTCGCGGCAATCGAGAAGATTCCCCAGGGCTGTGTGTGACTCGAGGGGCCGTTTGTATGGCGGACGATCTTGAGATAAGTACCGGGATAGAGCGGATCTCGCATTGCCAAGAGACTGGGCGTCCATGGGTGTATCAGCTCGATCCTTCTCCGTTCGACGACGACGCCTGAGTAATTTGGGAATGAGGGAGACCGGTGAGAGATGCAGATTGGGAGAGAAATCAAAGTTAATCAACAGAAACGACAGGCTTAAAAGGAGGAGAAAGCAGGGCCGGAAACCCCACAACGGGGAGTCGGTGATGGATGTCTAGCAAGGATGCCCTTGACTTGTCCACGACACAAGAGACGTAGCGTCATGCCGGGCCAAGTCAAGTCATTCGCAGGCATCTCTAGCCTACTTAGCCCTGACCTGAAGAGGATTGGACTGGTTTGATTATGGCATGATGCACTTCGCCTAGCAAGCTACCTGAACCTTGGCACAGCCGATGTTGTCGGTACTCGCATCAGCAAGGCAAGAGAATAAGTGATGACTTGAGTGACCAAAAGTCGGCAAGTGAAGTAGAGTTGTCGAAGGTCTAGTGGGAGCCGGGTTAGCGAAAGAGACAAAGAGAGAGCATCAGACGTTTCCGATCGTCCATCTCTTCCCCGCTCTCTTGGGCCGTCGGTGTGTTGTGTTTGTTGGGACGGACTATCTGTCTGTAAGCCCCGTCCGTCCCTCCGTCCGGGCACCGGTACCGTTTACTATCAAACCTCTCCACCCAACCGTTACCGTTTATTACCGTAGGTAGAAGCCTTACCTTACTTGACCTGACCTGACCCTGCCCTGCTATGCCCTGGCCAACTAACCTCGCCTAACTAACTAGGCTGAGCCCTTCCCGCAACCGCCGCCGCCGCCGCACTACCGGCCGGGGCAGGCAAGAGACGGACGGACGAGGGATGGATGGCCTGGGCTGTGGTCCCGCCGCCTAGAAACTTGGACTTGGCCTCAACTGGGAAAATGCCTGGATTTAGGCCCAAAACCTTATTTGAACATCCATCGGGAGGCTGCTGGTGCTTCATCATTCACGTCTCAACCGTCAAGAAGAGTCTTTGGCAAGCACAACTACACCCCGATCCCGAGTGTCGCCGTCGTGTGAGAGATTGCGAAGTGAAATGCCAGAAAGGCGCACCCGCACCCCCGGTGGAAAAGTGACCTGTGGCTGTTTTCCTCCCCCCTTCCTGCTTTGATTTCCCACCCAATTCCCGTCCACCGGCTGCAGTCCGAATCGAAATCTGAGTGTGTGCGAGAGCAAACAACAGTGAGACCAGGGGGGTTCTGTAGCTAGAGGTAGGGGAGGACCCCCCTCAGACAAGGGTTCGTCGCCGTTAGTGAGCTCGTTAGGCAAGCAGGCAGCCGAGAATTGTAACCGGTCTGAGAAGCCAAAAAAAAAAAAAACTGATCGATCGGCCCATCACCCGCACACAACAAAGCGACAGTACATATATGCTTGCCCAGGTAATTACATGACATGCGCTCTCAACATCCCGAGAATGAGTGCTGCGCTGCGTAAAAAGGCGGAGTCCAATTATCCCGCTGCAGGTATCATGAATGTACAAAGTATCATTCTGCACTTCTGGTCTAACAGTGCAAACAAGTCCGTTGTCCTCAGAACGGCCGATTCTCGTGAGGCGGTGTCGAACCAAACAGAGCAATGATGCCCTATCTTGACATATCAAACTGGCAGTTCCGGTTTCCTGGATGTGCCACGAGCGACTGCTAAGGCTGGCCTGTATCACCTCAACGCATACGTCTCTCCGCCCGCTACCGACGTCCGGTTCTTTTGCATCGGTCGCCAGACGTCCATTTTCCTTGTCCCTTGTGGGTGGTGCCACAGTGACCTAGGACCCCCGTTGGGGTTGCACGCTCATGTGTGTGCTAGTGAGGTACTGTACTGTACTCACATCCATCCCAGCGCACTCCAGCAAGCAAGCAAGAAGCAAGAAGCAAGCAAGCAAGGGAAGCAAGCAGGGCTCTGCCACTTCTCGGGAAATTTCCTCGATCTTGGCGTTGTTTGTCCCCCACAGTGCCGATGGTTTGTTTGCTATTCTGCCGCAGTGCAGCAAGCGTAGCTGCCAACCAAGCGCCTCGTTTCCTTAGCATTATCGATCCCCCCCTCCCTCCTTGTTTTATCTGACGACGATTAACTGTAGGGGGTGAACAAGCCTGCTGTAGTCGCTGCCGTGTCCGAATGTCTGTTGTGCCCTTGTTCGTTCGCATACTTTCGGCCCCCGACAATCAGCAGGCGGTCGTCGGCCGGCCGGTTGAGTTTGTAGCCGTAGGTAGCCCCTGCTGCTCGCATGTTGGGAGTGCACTGTTGCCCTGGGGGTGGCTGAACAAGAGAGTGCTTGCTTCCCATACAGACACCTCACCCACACAAGCAACTCATCTTGTCAGATTGTAAGCAGCTCCCGTCTGGGAAGGATGACAAGGCAGACTTCCCTCTCCTCCATCGCATCCCACGACGCTCGATTGCGTCCGTCCACCCATATGCAACAGCATATGCACGTAATCCATCCCCTACCGCAGCAGTACAACTCGCCTACCCGAAACGAACCCACACCCCTTCTCCCCGATTCCCTAGCGAGAGCCTCCGCCTCCTCCGCAATATCGCAGATACACATGCCGTTGCGCTGCATCGCCCTGCTCTGTCTAGACTCCTTACCTTAGACTGACTGCCTAGTAGCAGCAACGGTCATGGACCAGTAGTGGTAAAGGCTGTCGTCGCCCCATGCTGACTACTACCTGACTACTGCCTGGCTACACCCTAGTTACCTGCTCTGACTTGTAGATACTTGACGATTACTACTCCATCTTTCTACTTTACTGCTCCTTTACCAAGCAAAAGTTTGAGACACCGTGTTGGATTCCGCCTTCGCATACCGCCCCTACGAGAAGACCTGGGATATCGGTACTGGTTACGTATGCAGCTGCTGACCCACCGCTTGTTCATGTATATGCCTGCCCTACCCTCTCGGCCCTTTGCATAAGCCCTGACTCAGAGCGGCCACGCCAGAAATGCTTGTCATGGCCCACACCTCAATCAATTGCTGCAGTTCGTGTTGCGGGTTCTCGGGCCATTCCGAAGCAGCTCTCCAGTGATGGGAAACCATTGGCCTGAGGCTGATATCCATCCCACTCGTCTCACAGAGTATACGATACCGATAGTGGTCATACTGCCCTTGAAACGTCATACCTATGTTTCTTGGACCAGCAGAGGAAGCAACACTATGCTCAAGTGCAAAAGACTGTTCGACGGGACGTGAGAGATAATGTAAATAATCTAGATATGCCGCCCTTCAAATGTGAAATATGATTTCTTACGTATGATCATACGAAGAACTTGAGAGAAGGGGGGGATTGTAAAAAAGGTACAAGAAAATAGTAAAGGGTAACTGGGATCAGAGGAAGGAGAATGTCGAGAGATGTTGTCGCATGCAAAATGGAAATCAGAGCAACCAGGATCGATCAAATCATGCCCCCTTCTTGTTGTTGTCTTGCCACAAGGTTCATCTCGCCGATCCGAGGTTGCCATATGTCCCATCATCCCATCCTCGAAGCGAGTGAAACTCTAGCAGGTCAAGCATTGACGCACGAAGCAAGAGTAAATGAGCCTGGGTATCCTCGCAAATGCCAAACTTCGTTACGAAACCATTTCGTGGAAGTCTTTTGCGTTCTTGCCAAAGTTGTCCTTATTCCATAACATCCATAAACCAATATTCCACTGTAGAATATTGGAAGTAGGGCTTATGCCTTTTCCTTTTCCCTTGCGCCATAAACCCCTAGCCTAGAATCCCTAGGCACCAGATCCGAATCAAATCCTGTCAAAAATGCTTTTTCTCGCCTGTTTATCCCATGTCCCAATGCCATGCCTCGTGTGAAATCATGAATGCAAGTGTCGTAAGTTCTCTAACGAATGGGAAGGACGCCTGGATCAAATTGTTGCATTGGGTGTTTCAATCCTTAAACAAATCTTTGAACTCAATGACGCGATTGAGTCCTAGGTCATATTCATGCCAGACGAAGTCGGCGGATGGATCATCGCTGCAGCAGGATAATATCCACCAGAGCTTGATTTGCCCTCGAATCTACCGCACCCTCTTTGGTGATAGGCTTGGCCCGGGTAGAACAGACTCGGGAGCACTTGATCGTACTCCGACTTGGTCTTGGAGGCGTAGTCTAATCCGCTTGCCATATGGGGTAGTGTGGTGGCTGGCTCATTTCTTTGAGATGGGAACATCTCGACTGGGTTCTGTCGCGGGTCCTGGTTGTTCTCATAAATGGCGTGAGGATAGTATTGGTACTCTTTTGGCTCGCTGATCGCCTTTGCATCATCCGCTGTGAGCATGGGATCCCCGGGCAGTTCGTGGTGGGTCCTATAGTGGCCAGTATTCCGCGTGTCATATGGGGCAGCGTACCCGCCACCTAAAAGACCAGAGTTCGGTCCTCCATAGTCACCTCCCATCACCTGTGATCCGGCGTAACCGCCCATGCTCCCTGCTGAGCCACCGGGACCGCTGCTTGTACTCCCTCTTCTTTCCGACTGATAATGACCAGGCGATCGGCCGCGCACTATCATCTTCTCTGACTTCCGGTAGGCTATCTTCTTATACTGATCGTTCCCCTGAGGGCCAATATCTGCGTAAAGTTCCACCATGAGGTGGTAGTACTGCTGTGCTGCTCGTCGTTTGCCGTTATTGGCTGTTGCTTGCTTGAACTGGATTCGCTCGAAAGTATGCTCAATGGGTAGAGATCCTTGCTGGGCTCCGTAACCGCCACTTTGCTCATACATTCTGGAGGATCCCGCCATTCCCATATCGGGCTGCCCAAAATGGTTGAGTGGATGGTGTTGCGCCTGTGGTGGCTTGGGGTTCAAGCGGACTTTATCTGGCGCGGCGATCGGGCCTTTGTCTCGCTTCGGCGTATGCTGCACGAGCTCGATGGTGTGCCCTTCGCTGTCCGCTACAAGAGCTGAGATGCTCATGGCGAACCCATACACTCGATACGTCTGCTGTGAGGCACTGTCGGTCCACTGCATGACCGAATTTGGGTAATATGGTGTGAGGTTGTACGAGCAGACACAGGAGAAATAGTTTCGCCTGTAACAAGTCCACTCGTTGTCCGCGAGGAAGAATCCTTTGTCTATGGTGCCATTGATTTCGATCTTGATAGGCTGACCACCAGAATTCGCGTCAGCATACGTGAGCGTGCCTAGTTGTGTCAATGGTAAGAGGGGAGGGATGTTTTGTTGCGATTTCGAGCCGTAGCCGGAAGGATCCATTCTGAGAGAGGCTGCGATGGGAGGCGTAAAGCCCAAGCTAGGGCTTGGAGTAGGGGATATGTGGGTGCGACGGAGATTTCCTGGAAAAGAGGGTGACCTGGGCGTATGCTCTGGGCCTCTCCTGAACGAGGGCGTCGCTGGTGAGTAGATTTCTCGGGTGCTAATTTGCGTTGCTGCTGCTGGATGGGGTAATGCCGTGTTGCGGTGGGCATGTGCCATGCCCGTGGTCGAAGTGCTACTGGCATAGGTAAGTTGATAGCCCCAGTGCATCGTCAAGAATGGTCAAAATAAAAGGATGTGCTACACCTACTTGGAGCCCAGTCGAGACCTGACGTCCAGGGTTGAGAAAACGTGGGAAGCGGGAGTGTAAAAGGAGCCGCCCGGCTCTGGTGTGTAAGCTGGAGTTGGGTTAAAGACGGAGGTTGGTCCAGAAGGGTACAGATTTATCACTGGCGAGGGCTGAGTCGGCTGCTCTAGCGTCAAGGGGGAGTTATTGGAGTCCTGGCTATAGCTAATCTTGACATCAGCAAGTCTGCCCAACACACTCCAGTGCCAGGGACAGAATTAGTGTTGGCCGACCCTGGTACGAGGGATGTTGTATCTCGTTTCTCATGCAACAGTCGAGGTGTGTGACGGTTTGTACACTCGTCGCACTGCCAGCACCTGCGTCGCACAGAAACGACGGATACAGAATCGGGGAGTGCAGGAATACACTGCATCCAGGTAAAGAGCGGAGAAGGCTGGACGGCTAGGAGTTGTGCTTAGCACCTCCTGGAAGGCAACAAATCCCCATGCCCATGTGCTTCAATTCAAAAATTCAGGTCAAGTGTCGCCGTACACTGGTCCAGGCAAACTTTCCAGGAGAGTACGAAATATCAGCGGACTAAAGGGAAATATGAGGCTGTGGAGATGGGATGCCGGGGCTCGACGCTTGTTAATGGTTATAGAGGGGTGAGAGGGAAGACAGGTGGGAATGGAGATTAGCAGATATTTGGAAGAGCCATAGGAGCTGCAGGCAGGGAAGGTTTTTTTGGCGACTTGCTATTTTAAAGACTGAAGTATTCTTGGGGCGGAAGACCAATTAGAAAATTTCCCACATACCGCATATCATTTGGTGCTGGTATGTCGAGGTACTCCAGCCCGGGACAGGAGGAGGGCGAGGGATCGAAATCCTGCTGGAAAACACAGGCAAGTCAGATTCGGCTGTTCTTTTGTATTTCAGGTTGAATACGTCTTGCGTCAAGGTAGAAATCAACAGAAAAATGAGGGGCTGTCGTCTCAACCCTTCTACAGCGGCAACAGATTCATTGCCGGGCAGTTGGCATGGCTTTCGAACGTCGTTAAGAGAGAAGAGGAGTGATGCATGAGATTTCCTGTGCCGGATGACAGAAACAGTTAGTACGGCAGACTCTCAAATATGCAGGTTCGTATAAGTCATCCTCGAGGGGGTCAGGCAAGTACATGTAAGTGAGTTGCTTAGTGGGAGTACCCAGCAGGTGGATAGGGTAGACTGGGAATGGTCTCGAGTGACAATGGCAGAACAGAGACAAAGACGGGGCCAGGAACTGGAAAGACAAGGGAAGAGTGACCGGTAGGTGGGTAGGTAGGCAGGTATGCTTGCCCGTCTAAAAGGTGAGAGGCAAGAGCCTTGCGCGTGCAATGCGTGTTTGTACGTAGACAGGTAGGTATGGATATAGAGAGGCAGAGTAAGGGTAGGGTAGAGTAGGTAGGTAGGTAGGCAGGTAGGTAGGTGCTGTATATGTGTCTGCAGGGTCGCAGCTGCAAGTTCAGGGAAGTCAGGCCTATCTACTTAGGGAGCTCTCCAGGGTACGAGTAGGGTATGTCAAGTAGGTAGGCCGATCTGTAGGTATGGTGGGATGGTGGGAGCGTTTTCTCCCTGGCGGTACAAGAGAATACGGCCAGGCACGGAGAGGTACATCCGCCCAAAAGACTAGCCAAGGTGCTCATCTCTGAGAGAAGGTGCGAGGGAGGGGAGGTACGTCACAGACAGCCAGAAAGTGACAACAAGGGAAAGCCGCAGGGCCTCATCGGAGGGGAGAATGTAGAGTAAGGTAGGTAGGTACGAAGGTAGGCGCCCTTCAGCTGTCGGGAAAAGAAGCGCGCCCACGTCGTACAGATCCGCACGCTAGAGTCCTTCGTTATTGTGCTCCCGTGTTCTGATCCCGGCGTGGGCTTCGTTGATACCGTGAATGATGGGGTGGGACACTGCACATGGCAGAGCAGAGATCGACTTGCTGCCCATGTCCTCGCCCATGCACAGTGATGCGATGTGGCAGAGGTGATGGCCACAGTGGGCGGCGTGGTCACTAGGCCTGCCACCCACTGTGTGTTTGTGTACGTATTTGTGCATGTGTGAGTGACTGAAAGAGTGCAGCAGCGCAGCCAGGGCTTTGAGCTCATGTAAATTGGCAGGTAGTCGTGGGAGGTAAGGAAATACCTAAGGTAGGCAGGTACAGGTAGTGGTGAGTGAGTGAGTGAATGACAGCCGTCGCCGGGTACAGTCGTAAGTGACACTAGTCGCCTGGGCCGGCCAACAAGAACAGCCCGTTCGGGACAGGCGGGTCGATGTGCAGGGGGGTTCTCGGTCAAGTGAAATGTGAGACTGAGAGGGATTGCCGGGACATCTTAGAGTACCTAAGTATGTATGTAGGGATGCAGGAAGTCTGTCTGGGGTTGTCTGTCTGTCTGTCTGCAGCCAGCATCATCGAGGACGGTGCGTGCGCGCATACATTCATGTTTGTCCAGAGGAAAGCCATGGATCTGCATGAGCAGTCCAGGACTAAACCTAGGTAAGGTAGACAGGCCTGGGAGTTGTGATTGTGGCTTTCTCAAAAAGCTACCCAAGCAGGCAGATGAACTCATAAAAGGCAAAATGGCCCAAAAGCAGACAGATTCAGGTGGGCGAGGTTATGCATACTCACAGAGGTCTAGGTCGTCCTTCCTGTTTCCGTTTTTTTTCTTCTTTGCAGTCTCGCGACTTTGAGTGATAAGTGGCGATAATGTCGCTCTAGGTAGGTGGTTGAGGGTTGAGGTAACAACTCTTCAGCTATCGTGTAGGTCGTTGTTGTCTAAGTACGGGTTGGGGACGGTGGCTGTTGACACGGCTGCTGCAGCTCCTCCACCATCTTTCTCCTCGTATCGTTGTCTTCTCAGCAGAAGCGCCGCGACATTGACGATGATTTGAGTTTTTGATTGCCGTTTAGATTAATGTCATCATCGGCGCCCGGCAGCCCGAGAAAAAGACGATATCCTGGTCGCCTGTCGAATCCAGTCCAGTCCAGTTCAGTTCAGTTCAGTCCTGATCTGACCTGTCCTGCTCTGCGCAATACAGATTTTTGACAATTTGGTCGAATTCTCTTTGATTTGACTTGAGAGCTGAGAGATTTGAGTTGACTTGGCAAGAGACCGCAGTTGCTGCTATTATTGCAGCAACTGCAAATGCAACTGCAACTGCACCTGCCGTTGCCGTTGCCAGTTGCAGCAGGTCGGGTCGTAGTTGCCCCAATAGTTGCAGCAGATCTAGATGCGGCGGTGCAGCTGCGATTGACGCCTCTTTTGTCCTGATGCAGATCCGGAAAGAGCGCCTTCCTTGCAATTCGGACACGGTCCAGGACCAAGTTTGGAAACGGTTGGCGGCAAAGAACAGCAAGCACCCAGGCGAGGCGAGGTTAAAATAGGGAGGAGCGACGCAGGCCACAGCAAGCGTGTGTAGGTTGCGCCGAGCGTGCGCGCGCGCGTGTACAGTGTTATATATATTTATAAAAGGAGCAAGAGCAACGGACGGGTAGGGCAGGTATAATTAGACTAAGGCAGGTATGGATGTCGAGTGTATGTGTGTGTGTGTGTGGGCAGGCGGAAGAAAGGAGGGGAGAAGAAAATAGAGTGAGTAAGTGAGCTTAGCTAGTTACCGACCTTTGGAAGTTGCGAATTCATACGCAAGTCCTCGTCTCTAGCAGGCGAGGCGTCACGGCGCAGGTAATCGTAGAGCTGATAGTGCTGCTGCTGCTGCTGCTGATGGTGCTGATGCGGTGGGTGCTGGGTAGCGGTAGCGGTCTGTGTCCGTTGCGCGGGGCCATTGTTAGCTAAGCTCCTTCTCACCACCTCAGGTAGGTACCTAAGATAGATACCAGATACCCTGGTTGGTAGCCAGGGCCTGTATTTTTGGTTTTTGGGTGGGAATGTGATGTGTGACCGTATATAGACAGAACAGCATGTAGGCAGGACAAGGGAAACCCAGCAGAAGTGAAGTGCAGTGCAGCGCAGGGTGACATCGATTGCGGCAGCTCGCCCGTTGGGTATGTACGTGTACTGTAGACAGGCATCGAGCTTGTAAGCACCACCAAAGATACAGATGCAGATACAGGCAGATACGGAACCTGCAGCCTGTGTCAAACCAAGACTTCAGGTAGGACTTGAGTTGCAGGACTGTATCGTTTCGTACTGTAGGTGCCACCGTACCTCCTCGCTTGATACCTTGGGCAGACCGGTGTTCTCTCTCCACTGCTCTGCCCTGCAGAACCGCAAGGTGCACACAAGCAAGAACATGCACATGCGCTAAGGATGTTCTTCATCTTCCCTCGCCAACGTAGACTGAGACAGTGGAGCGCCTGGCCGGTGTTGAGTTCAAGAAGACTGCGAGTGAGTGGAGCCAGCCGTCCGAGAACTCAGACCAACAACAGCCCAGCAGCAGCGGCAACTGATCTGAGACCTCGAGCTGACTGAACCCGGCGAGCGAGGCTACAGACGCAGCCAGACGGGCCCTAGTGCACAGGAGTGGTAGGGAGGAGTGGGAGACCGGGGCTCGACTTGGCGCTATCTCGACGCCGTCGTCGCCATTGGCTTCCGTGCCGTGAGTGGCTTCTCCTGCCCTTGGCCTGGGGGGAGGTGAAGAGGAGGAGGAGGGGAGGCCTTGTTCTGTTCCGCCGCCCGGCTACCCACTTGGTGCTTCTGGCGTGCCGTGAGGCGTTTTAAGGATGGGA